CCCCCCCCCCCTTTTTTTTTTTTTCCCCGGGGTGCCACGCCGTCATCCTAGTCCAAGATGTTCTCCATAGAGCGAGATCAGGCACCCAGTTCTCTGGTAACCCATGCTAAGGGGCAGACTAGTAATCGAGCCCGGCGGATCATGTATCCATTGCCCGATAGGAAGTACTATAGGTGAGGATTTCACAACGATCGCGCGGTCGTTGCTTACCATAATTGGAAAACATAATTGCTTTTTCAAGGGCATCTTAATTTCGGTTACTCGGCATGGCAACGCCCCTTTCGACTGGTCAAGCTCCTAACCTCTGCAGGCAACGCGAACGATGGATGGCTGAGAATAATTCCTCCCAGTAGATGATTGGAAGGCTTGTCGTGAAATTAAAGGATCGTAGCCCAGTCCGCGTCGTCAACTTAGCATAACAGGGGCCTGTGACAGCCATGGTATGTAGGAACCAGCTAGACATCAGTGTCTTCTTTTCCCCAGATTCATGACTTACCCTCTTTTGGAGGAAAGGAGAGGAGGAGAAAAAGTAACCATCTGGCGCAATAAGGGTATCGAGGTCCCCCGAATCTGCGGTCGCAAATGGAAAAATTATTGCTTGGCATTGGCTCCCGATATGCTTGAAGAGCCATTGAGATAGATAATTAAAGTAACTGAAGATAGACCTGCTGCATAAGGGAATTTCCGTAGCGGAGCCGTCTGTAAGTAACGCGGTCCGCGCATTATTGCCAATGTATGTATTATTTTGACCCGGAAAAGCATGGGCACGTTGGGGAAGCGTGTCCTTGACGATCTTCACCTGAAACAGCGTCAAAGGAAGAGAGAGAGAGAGAGAGAGAGAGAGAGTCACAGAGACAGGTATCTGCTGTGGCAGTGCATGATCAGTCCTCTGGAGCAATCAACCACGTTTGCCCACGTCCGTTCGATCTCAGTCCATGCTCCAAACGGCCACCCCTTCCCTTCCGTCCGTCAATACGGTAGCAGACAAGCCGGTCTAGACTCGTGACGAAGCTTTCAACCTTGATCGCCAAGCTCTGATGTTGGCGTTTCAGCACTTGCCCCTTCTTTCGTGGTTCACACGCCCGGTGACGTTTACCACTGCCATGATGAGGGCCTTCCCTACCCCATAGTTCACTTAGCCTTATTGGACCCAGAAATTGCATACCCAAAAAAAAAATGCTTCTCGGCTGATGCGCCCGATGTACTACCCTACCTGTCGGTCATGGGTTCCCCAGAATGTCCATTCCGTATCCAATTCTGTCCTAACCCGGCCCCAGTCTTACTTCAGATCCCAGTTTCTGCTCCCCGTGATCATCGGCAATCCAGCCTCTTCTGGGGCGATGGTCCGTGAATCTAATTTTGTAGTTCCCGTCATTGCAATGGCTTGACGAAGGTGACGGTTAAAGGATATGCAGGGCAGAGCCCCATCTCACCATGTGGCTGACCTAAAAGAGGTCCGGACAAAGTAAATGAAGATAATCATCGGGGCTGTCCAACTGAACGGTTAGAGAGACGAAGCCCAAAAATGCAATCAGGCCGATGATCCCCATCTCTGCGTCACTCACCTGCAATCGAATCATTTCGTCTATTCCAAGCCAAGACATCGTATAGACTTCTTTCTATTCTTATATCACAAACACCGGGTCTCTTTGTAAGCAGTTTGCGCGAGATACCTCTCGCGAAGTATATATAAAGTCGCCATCCTTCCGTTTTGTTTTTCTTTTTACTTTTCTCCCTCAGCACATGTCATCAAGGCAGCCGCAGCATCGAATATCACATACAGAAAGACCTGCCGTTTCCACCAACTGACTCAGTGGATGAACTTTGAACCTGTTATCGATTAAGACACTCCGCGGAAGAAAAAAAAAAAAAAAAAAAGAACATACCTCAGAACGATCTTCTCTCGAGCTACATACAAACGAGCCGTCTTTTGGCAACACACCTGCACGGTTCCCTAGCGATATATTTTCTGATACAGATAATCTGAGCTTGGATCTTACCGATAATGTCTTCTGGAAGCAAACAGCCCACCCAGTAAGGCTTCTTGTTCATTTGCATGGAGTTTACCCTTCTGACTTGCTGTGCTCTCAGGATGGTTACGAACGGCATGAACAAGGGCCTCAGTGCTGGAGTCCTGAGCCATGTACCGGACGGAAGCAGCGGCAGCGTGGTCGATCGATTCTCACAGTCGCCCGCGGCGGATGAGCCTTACTTTGCTCGTGCGCGAATGCAAGACCGGTCTGATCATGTATCACGACTTTCAAGCCAACTTGATGCGACAGATGAAATCCTGAGAAAATGAAAGCTCTATTCTAAATTCCAACCACGACCAAGAAATGCAGGATCCCGAAGGGACCACAAAGGGTGTTCTATGTACAAGTCTATTAGATTGTATAATCATGACAGAACCCCAGTCCACCGAACTATACCAAGGGCACATACTCGGGACAAACGACAGGCCCTTCAGGCCAAAGGGAACGGACGGTTTTTCCTGTCAAATAGTCCAGCTGCGAGACAGCTATCAATGTAACACCTCCATTAAGGCTTGTGCTACGTCGTCGTATTTTGTACTCGGGAATTCGTGCCCCGCATTGAAGTATTTAAATTCCACGTTTCCTTGAAGAGCCGAAGTAGCATCTGGGACGAGTTCGTCCTTGACGATAATCGAGTCATGCTCGCCACACATAATAAGTACCTTATCACTTGGAAGCCCATTGTTACGCTGCTCTTCAGGTGAAAGCTTGCTCTGAGCAGATAGGAATCCCCCAAGGCGCTCCCACGATTTCTGTTGGCGCTGTTGCAATATCGGGCCATGTCTCATGCTTGACATGAAAGCATGGACGAAGCCAGCGTGATGATTCACCTGCCATTTAACAGCCCCGGGCACAGTTACATGCGGGTACGCCCGAGACAGCAGTTGAGTGGTGGTACCATTCTGCGAGGGAAGTTCCTCGGTCAATGCATCTGCAGCGCTGATCTTCTCATTTTTGGGCTTCGGGGTTGTTAGTGGGCCTGCACGGAGACGACGGCCGACAAGAAACCCTAGAACACGTTCAGGGATGAGACCGCGGGAATAAAGAAGACGTGACTGAAAGCTGATTTGAGAGTCGCGAAGCAATCCGGCCGGGGCAAGTAAAACCAGTGAAGAAAGTAGCTGAGGGAAGAACGATGCAAAGGACGCAGCTATGCCGCCTCCTAAGGAGTAGCCAACCAGACAAAATTTACCAGAGCCGATTCCTGTCCAGGAAACTGAAGACGTGTTCAAGGCAAGCAATATTTGAGTCGCAAAGAGTCGATCATCTTGAGGGAGGTCAGACGGACAATCAGAGTAGCCTCTTCCAAACCTGGTAATAGTTCATCAGAAAATAGAGCCATAGAATACATCTTCTGTTGAAGGTTCTGATAGAACTACTAATAGGCACTAGATCGGTCCACTTACAAGTCGAACAGCATAACTCGACAGCCTTGCTCTGCCAAAGCATGCGCCACTCCGCCTAGGGCAATGCAAGGCGTTGTGATCCCGTGGACGAACAACACTTTGGGCCCATCAACTGGGCCCCATTCATACACCCGCATCGATCCATATGGAGTCGATACATCACGCGCTCCCGGGAGTACATCGGTTGGCAATGGAATCTCACCATTTTCCGTCTCCGACCGGGAGGACGAGACAACCGCTCGGGGGCAACGGAGTACAGATTCTTGCGGACACTTGTCGGAGAGAAAGGAACGCAGCAAGAGCCCCACCGTTAATGAGGCCCCTGTCGCAGCCAGCAGGGAAAGTCGAACTCGGTCATCCGCAAAGGAATCGCGGAGAACGTCGACGGTCTGGCTAACCCACACCATGATGAGATGAAAGGGTTCCGTTTTATGCTCTAGTATGATTTATGATTTTATATGTATGTGTATGTGTATGTGTATGTGTATGTCTATCGTCGTCTATATCGGGTTAACAACAAAAATCAAGAGTGATGAAGAAGAAAGGAAGTCCCGACGGTTGCTGATCATCTAATCTTTCTCAGTGGGGCTGCCGAGGTTGCCCTTGGGGGGCCCGAGGCCGGCAACAATGTTTTATACAACTAACACGATCTGGCTCCCAACAAATACCGTATATGAAGAGTAAGATCTGTGGATCAGTGAATTTATCGGGTAAAAGGATATAGGGCCATTGAAGGATTATCAACTAGCTGTACTGTACCCGTACAATATAAATCCAATACGAAAAGAATTTTAGCCTGGCGCTAGAGCATAACCATAATATACCGGCATGGCTGAATAGATTGAATTGCATGCACAATAGCTGTAATTCTTCTCTTTGCCCTCTAAGCGAGCACACCAGGTGGCGCGGACGGAATATTCCGTCCGTTCACCTTACCGGTTAAATCCTATAGACACTTCTCTATATGACAGCCGCCGAAATATCAGGCAGAAGATATAGATTGGGAAACGATCTGCAAGGTACCATACCACCCCACATCCAATGCTGCCTCAGCGTGCTCCTGTCCGTTGGAAGGAACTTCTGTCCGGTTCACCGTGGCCGTCAGGCAGTCAATCATATTCCTTCGGATATGGGGGTTCAACATATATGTGTATTACAGGCAATTTACCGGAGATCCCGGCTTGCATACTATCCCATGTATGTACATGCATACCGAAACTGGCACGGCGTTGAAGACCGAGAGTTGTCAGTCTATCTATTCCAAAGAACCAGATTCTGCAACTGTGCCTTGATCAAAAATGCTAGAAGGGATCATAGCGGAGCCTATCGATGACAAGTACACTTGACATTGGTTAGATTAAAGTGATAGATTGCAGTCGTCACGATACGTCAATTTCCCCGGGCGCCATCTGACAGCCACAATTCCACGAACAACAGTGCCGGCATGTCAACGGCGCCGCCAGGCTTGATCCCATTGATGGATCTTCTGCCCCGCATTCCGAAGATCGGCAGGGCTTAACAGGAACCTTTAATGATGAGCCAATCCTTCATCTAAACACCCAACGCTTCAGATTCTGCATGGCGACCAATCAGTGCACATCATGCCACCTCGTTATCGCCCCGGGTTCTAGGGAGTTTTGTCGTACCTATAGGCTTCCAAAACAGGGTTTGGGCTGAGATATGGTGTACTAAAATCGGATTGAGTTTGCCACGAGCGCCGGCAAAGGATGGATGGCCGGAGAAGCCATACTCCCAAAGCAGAAGATCCATAGCGGCATATGGCACATGTTCTGTATGGCTCTCCTGGCCCCCTAACCATATCGAGCTCATAGGACCTCCGTGGATAGTTCTGGTTAGTATCTTTTGGTCGGAAGTTCGACCGGAAATGCATGTGCTGGTTGCTCTCCTGGCTGGCACTCTTCGAAATTAGAAGGGGAGATGAACATTCCCCCTTCCCTTGATTCTCCAATAAGAACTGTTGAGGGTATCGGCTATTGCAATATTCGGAGCATGCTCCGTTATTCTCTCAGATCAACTACGGTTGTAAGCAAATAGGCCACAAGGGTCCATTAAGCCTAAGTCATGGGTGCCCTAGGATCCACTCTTGGCGAGCTATGCTTCAACAGCATTGTGCTCATGTGAGTACGGCGGTTTCTGGCTGTCTTTAGAATGGCATGGCTTCTCAATCTCTTTGAAACAGTAATTTCAGCGGCATGGCGGTCCGTTGCACCGACTAGTGTGGATAGGGCTTCATGCTCGAAATTTTCCGAAATGAGTGCCGGGACACTCCACTCATGATTTTTGACGCCGGGGAGGCTGTATAAAGAGTAGACCCCTCCTGCTCAAGACCAGAGTATCACATCTGCAGGACAGTCAACAATAACATTGATTCCAACGTCCATCCCTCTTTCTTTCTATAAGTTTTCCGCGATGCATCAACGCGCACTTCTCTTCTCTGTCTTTTGGGCTGCCGTGCAAGCCCAGCAGGCTGGGACTTTGAAAGCGGAAACCCGCCCTGCATTGACCTGGCAGAAGTGTACTGAAGGTGGCAGCTGCACGGAGCAGAAAGGCTCTGTTGTGCTTGATTCCAACTGGCGTTGGTTGCACTCTATTGATGGCTCTAATAACTGCTACACTGGCAATACTGTGAGTCCGCATCTAAGCAACTGTCCCAAAAAGACATACACACCCGGCTGACTGAATCAACTCGCAGTGGGATGCAAGCCTCTGCCCCGACAACGAAGCCTGCGCTACGAACTGCGCTCTGGATGGAGCTGATTACGAGGGCACCTATGGTGTTACCACCAGCGGCAATGCTCTGTCCCTCAAGTTTGTCACCGGTTCCAATGTCGGCTCCCGTCTGTACTTAATGGCGGACGACGACAAGTCATACCAGACGTTCAACCTATTGAACTCTGAGTTCACCTTTGATGTTGACGCCTCCCAGCTGCCTTGTGGCTTGAATGGCGCCGTGTACTTCGTTGCCATGGACGCCGACGGCGGTGTAGGGAATTACCCATCCAACAAGGCCGGCGCCAAGTATGGAACTGGCTATTGTGACTCGCAGTGCCCACGAGACTTGAAATTTATCAACGGCAAGGTATGAAACCCTGTTTTGATCCTTTCTGCAAAAGATAGTAACAGTGTAAACTAGGCCAACGTGGAAGGATGGAAGCCTTCCGACAGTGACAAGAATGCCGGTGTCGGCGGTCACGGTTCGTGCTGCCCCGAGATGGACATTTGGGAGGCAAACAGCATCTCTACGGCTTACACACCTCATCCTTGCGATAGTACGAAGCAAACTATGTGTGAAGGTGATGCGTGCGGGGGAACCTACTCCGGGGACCGTTACGCAGGAACTTGCGACCCTGATGGATGTGACTTCAATGCTTACCGCATGGGCAATGATTCTTTCTATGGCCCTGGTAAACTTGTCGACAGTTCTTCCAAGGTTACCGTTGTGACCCAATTTATTGCGGAATCTGGTGTCTTGTCGGAGATTAAGCGCTTCTACGTGCAGAACGGAAAGGTTATCGCCAATGCTGCATCAAACGTTGAAGGTGTCACCGGTAACTCGATTACCTCTAACTTCTGCACTGCTCAGAAGAAGGCCTTCGGCGACGATGACATCTTCCAGAAGCATGGAGGTCTTAAGGCTATGGGCGAGGCCTTGTCTTCCATGGTGCTCACTCTCAGTGTATGGGACGACCACTATGCCAGCATGATGTGGTTGGACAGCAGCTACCCTGAAGAAGCTGATGCTACCAAGGCAGGTGTCGCCCGTGGTACCTGCAAGGCACATGTTGGAGACCCTGAGAAGGTCGAGTCACAGCATGGTGATGCCACGGTGACTTACTCTAACATCAAGTTCGGACCGATCGGCTCTACTTTCGACGCCCCTGCTTAAGTGTCAAAAGTTGGAGGCACCAAAATCAAACCCCGAATCATTGGGAAGGTTGAGAGAGAACATGTATATAGCATGGGAGAAGTTGTTGTAGATAGAGAGGCCCGAGCAAAGTCAATGTGTCAATACATTGTCTTGGTTCTCCCGAGCAAGAACCGGTCCTTTCTCATGGATATCATTTGATTTGAGTTGAGTGTGTTATTCTCATTCTTTTCTGCTGTACCCAATTAGGACAAATTGATGAGACAGAGTACTGCAGTTTTTTGGGAGCAAAAATCAGTGGAGATTTTATTGCAGAGAGCATAGTATGTTGCTAGAAGAACAAAGTTAAAAGTAGTTAAAAGGTAATTGATTAACGAATTAGTTAACTTATGTTAACTAGTTTAACTAATATTAATTAACTTAAATAAAACGGAAGATCCATCGGCCCGCACATTCCTAACCAGGAAATCGATCCGAGCTTTATCCAAGAGCTTTGCTCCGAAAGACAGTGTCCTTGCATTTCATTTCCCTCATTGTATCGCCATGTTTGACACTGTCTGCACGTTACCGCTTTCTGCGGATTTATTCACACAGGCCATACATCCCAAGGAGCCAATTGTCTCTGTTGGCCTTTCCTCCGGCCACGTTGAAACTTTCCGTCTTCCGTCAGAGGAAATTGACAGCGACGACGATCAGGCGTCGACTTCCTCCTCCCGAAATGGCCGGGGACATATTGATACGATGTGGCGCACGAGAAGGCACAAGGGCAGCTGCCGGTGCTTAGCGTTCGGAATTGAGGGAGAGTCTTTGTACTCCGCCGGAACTGATGGTTTGGTGAAAGCTGCAAAGGCAGAGACGGGCGTGGTAGAGAACAAGATCGCAATTCCCCCGGCCAAAGATGGGTGAGTTGTAAGCCATGCTACATGGCAGATATACTATCTTTGTTTACGTGCTCTGTTTTGTTCCAACTGTATTAACTCGCCTTTCTTGCAGCTCTGTTGATGCCCCCACTGTCATCCATGCTCTTTCTCCCCAGACTCTCCTTCTCGCTACTGACTCAAGCGCCCTGCATCTATATGACCTCCGCCTTCCATTCTCCCGCGTCTCAGCCCGGCCACAGCAGTCCCACCACCCTCATGATGATTACATCTCGTCCATTACTCCATTACCTGCCTCGGATACCAGTACCTCTGGGTTTAGCAAACAATGGGTGTCGACCGGCGGTACTACATTGGCAGTGACGGATCTACGACGGGGAGTTCTAGTGCGCAGTGAGGATCAGGAGGAAGAATTAGTGAGCTCGGTGTATGTTCGCGGTTTGCCCTCGACCGGGACAAGCCGCGGCGAGAAGGTGGTGGTGGGTAATTCTGGTGGGGTCTTGACCCTTTGGGAAAAAGGTGCTTGGGATGATCAAGACGAACGCATCTATGTCCAGCGAAGCGGCGGTGAAGGAGAGTCTCTCGAGACCCTCACGATGGTTCCTGATGAGCTCGGAAAGGGCAAGACGGTCGCGGTTGGTCTTGGAAGCGGTACTATCAAATTTGTGAGGTTTGGCCCTAACAAGGTCGTGTCGGAGGTTGTGCACGATGAAACGGAGGGCGTTGTCGGTCTAGGCTTTGATGTAGAAGGTCGCATGGTCAGTGGTGGTGGGCAAGTGGTCAAGGTTTGGCATGAAGCTGTCGGAAACAGCTCTGGTGTCGGTGAAAAGCATATGCTTGGAGGTAGTGATGATGATAGCGATGATGACGACTCCGAGGATAGCGATAGAGGGAGTCAGCAAGCCGACAAGCGGAAGAAACGCAAGAAGGGCAAGGGCAAGGCTCGCACCGGCGGTCAGCACGTCATGGCGTTCCATGATCTCGAGTGATTGGTTCTCTAAGGAAATTGAATTAGCAGGAGGGAAAATCCAGAAATGAACAGCACGGTAAGGATGCATAGCGTGAAGGAGTTCTCCAAGGAAAGTGACCTGACCTTCGTCAAAATCGGTGGTATGTAACTTAGTTTAAGCCATTAATATATCCTGTCCATATGGGTAGGTATTCCTCGCACTATTTAAACTGACATCAATCTCAAAGCCACGAATAGTTAGGAATAGATAGACTTGAAACAAATCCATCTAGGTAGTTCAAGAGGACGGGGGATTTCCGATGTGAGGAATGAATTCCATGAAAATCCCTCGGAAATGAAAAAAAGGACCCACGGTTGTTTTCCTTGGTGGGGTGTGGGGAGGATTATTCATGATGATCAAAGCTTCCTCTAAACCTATGAGTCGAGGTACCCTTATACCTTACGCAGGTAGGACAAATCTCAGAAGTACATTTATAGATCTTAATCGATTTGCTTCCTATACACTGGTGGTGACTTCTCTTTCCCCCGGCACAATTCACTATTTAACTCCCAAGTAGCCCATACAATGGACACATTCGAATACAATGCAAATCCTGGGCGAGTCATTTTTGGCAGTGGCACTCTCCAAAAACTCCCCGATGAGATCTCCAGATTAAATCTGAAGGCTCCGCTGGTGCTGTCAACACCGCAGCAAGTTAGCCAGGCGGAGAAGGTTAAGGACATTCTCAAGGGCAAGGTAGCTGGAATCTTCAGTGAGGCTACCATGCACACTCCGACACACGTTACAGAAAGGGCTCTCGAGTATGTAAAGTCTCAGAATGCTGATCTAGTCGTCTCTATCGGCGGAGGAAGCACCATCGGACTAGGCAAAGCGATCAGCATCCGCACGGGGTTGCCTCATATTTGCATTCCTACCACCTACGCCGGAAGTGAAATGACCCCCATCTTAGGTGAGACAGCCGATGGCCTGAAGAAGACTCGTTCTGATCCTCAGATCCTTCCTGGGACTGTTATCTACGATGTCGATCTGACTATGACATTGCCGCCGGCTATGAGTGCTACTAGTGGTGTGAACGCTATTGCTCATGCAGGTAAGTCCTAATGTATCTACTACTGTGCTTGGGATCCTATGGCGTCGAAAGCTCAACGGTTATTGTACCACTAGTCGAAGCACTTTATGCCCGCAACACTAACCCCGTCGTCAACTTGATGGCTGTTGAGGGGACCCGTGCAGTAGCATCGGCCCTTCCAGAGATTGTCGAGAACCCCACATCCCAATCTGCTCGATCTTCGGCTTTGTATGGAGCATGGCTCTGCGGAACATGCCTTGGTAGTGTGGGTATGTCTATTCATCATAAACTATGCCATACGCTCGGGGGCACTTTCAATTTGCCCCATGCAGAGACACATACAGCCGTTCTGCCCCATGCAATCTCTTACAACGCCCCGAAGATTCCAGAGGCGATGAAGAAGCTGGCCGAAGCACTTCCCGATAGCAATGGAGATGCTATCCAGGGTCTAAATGTCTTGCTGTCTAAGTTGAAGGTCAAACGAGGTCTTCAGGCCTTTGGCATGCAGGAGGAGGATATCGATAAGGCAGCGGATATTGCTGTTAGCAACCCCTACTGGAATCCACGGGAGATTGAACGCGCACCCATCCGTGAATTGATCCGGCGTGTTTGGGCAGGAGAACCAGCACGGCCGGATTTGTAACACCATTCATGTCTCATGTAGTTGGGCGGTTATGCCTCCACAGATAGCAAAAAAGAGAAAGAAAGTCAGAAAGTCAGAAAAAAATAATCTTTCTATACTATTGAAGTGGGCATGAACTCGTCTCACGTAAGTTTGACCATGATAATGATATTAGAGAAAAGAAAAAAAGCATCGTAAGTCGTTAATTTACTATGTAGTATATAAGTACCGTACCATGTCACAGTAATTGGTACCCGCACCATTGGCTCTTGATTTAAATTTATGGCGGGGGGAAAGTGGGGGGACTTTGTTCTCTCATTCCAAAAAAAAAAAAAAAAAATTCCACAACAACTTCAAACCCCACCATTTCGACAGTCTTCGCCCTTTGAACACAGTTTACCTTAATTTGGCCCTTATATTGGCAATATCTTCAACTTCTCGAGATGGGTACCGAAATGGAAGCAGCCCCCGTGCTTTCCACCCCCGATGATCGTATTCTTGAGGCCACAGAGCCCGTCGTTTCGCAAGAGACGACTCGTGCCTTGTCGGATGAGGAGCTCTCGATCACCTATGACATTGAACGCACGCTAAAGGAGATCCGGGAGGCTCGGTATAAGCGGATCGCTCTACAGTTCCCTGATGATATGCTTCCGGATGCACCGCGGGTGTTCCAATTGCTCAGTCGCGGTTTAGACAGATGTAGCACGGCCGACAGCAATACAACCCCAGCGCAGAACAACGGAGCAAATACCACTGCAGACTCAGATAATCTAGCTCATTCAGTTTCTCAGCTCGGTGTGGCAGATACAACAGACCCATCGCCGAAATTATACATCTTGGCCGATACATCCTACGGAACTTGCTGCGTCGACGAGGTGGCTGCGGAGCATGTGGATGCCGACGTCGTCATCCATTATGGCCGGTCATGCCTCTCTCCGACATCTAGACTACCAGTGATCTACGTCTTCACACATAAACCTCTTCCCATCGACCCCGTCGTTCGCGCTTTCAAAGAGACCTACCCTGACCCTACCGCGAAGGTCATCCTCGCAGCTGATGTGACCTACACCGATCATACCCCCGCAGTGTACTCGCGGCTTGTGAAGGAAGGTTACTCCAACTTGTTTGCCACGGAGCTGGTCCATGATCCGTCGTCTGCCATCCCCAATCGAACGGTGCCGGAGTCAGTTCGCGAAAGTCCGGAGTCATTATCAGAATGGCAGCTTTTCCACATTTCAGAGCCTCCCACAGCTCTCCTAATGACGCTTGCATCTCGTGTTGCTTCGATTCACATATACCCTACGGATGATTTGACGAGCGAAAACATCAAACCCTTGCCTGCATCGACTGCGATCGCTTTGCGACGTCGGTATGCTATCTTGACCTCCCTCAGCACTGAACCAATCTTTGGGATTTTAGTCAACACCCTCAGTGTTAGGAATTATATGCATATTGTGGATCACGTGAAGCAAAAGATCGCGGAGGCTGGGAAAAAGAGCTATGTCTTTGTGGTGGGGAAGCTCAACGCAGCGAAGGTGGCTAATTTCAGTGAGATCGGTGGCTGGGTAGTCATCGGTTGCTGGGAGAGTTCCTTGGTTGACAGCAAAGACTTTTGGAAACCGGTGATCACCCCGTTTGAGTTGGAACTTGCACTCAAGGGGGATGCCGAGCGGGTCTGGACCGGAGCCTGGCAGAGTGACTTTCAAAGTGTCCTTGATCAACCCATCCAGGAAGCCAAGGACGAAGATGAGACGAATGGTGCGACCGCAGAGGAGGAAGACGATGTGTCGGAATCCGAATCCGCACCTCCCGAGTTCGATTTGCGCACCGGTCGATATGTCTCGCATTCAAGGCCGATGAGGAATTCCGCACCCCGCGTTTCAGCCCCAGTCGATGATGCAGCGTCAGCAGCGAACAGTCCATCTGCTGCTCGAGCGCTAGCCAAACGGGCCAACGGTGATTTAGCCATGATCGGCGGGACTTTCTCCCCAGGGGCGGAATTCCTTCGATCGCAACGGACATGGAAGGGATTGGGGAGTGACTTCGATATTCAATATGAAGAAGAAGACGCTTCGGATAGTACCTTGGTAGTGGAAGGGCGCAAGGGTGTTGCAAGGGGATACACAGTGGGCGATTCAATAAACCGACACTAAACTTCCGGGAGATCCATTGGACTGATAAAGTATATTATATTATGGATATATATTTACCCTATTATTACACCTGAAAATGGAAAGGGGAGGGAATAAAGGGAGATATCATCCTAGATTGATCTAATAGTACAGGACCCTTGATTATCCACGAAAATTAGATCATCTACAGAGTAGTAGAATGAGGATTTAAAATGGTCGCAGAAAAAAGTAAGCCTTTGAGAGTCGACCTATCACATGATGCAAGCGGGCAGTTTGCCGGCCGTAAGGCCGTTGGTTTTTGTCCCAATTGTGAGTTGTCAAAGCCACCTTCAGCCAGTATCTATCGTTTTCTCCCTTTAATGGCCTCGCATGATGTCCAACTCCTGAGTGTGTACCGTCCTCCTTGCGCTGTGTCGCCCTCCCTCTTTTCTCCTTATGATGCGCTGCGTCTCCCGCATTCTCCGCTGTGTTCGCGATCTCGCGTCACTTTGACCTTCAGCAGTAGTAGCAGCGGCAGCGTGACCGATAGAAGAAGAAACGAAAGCAATAAATGAAACTGCTACATCTCCTGTTCACGTTCTGACTGCCAACGCCCTGGAGAATCAACCACCTGAAAGAATGGCCGATAGCGCCGGCCCCAGCCAGCAGGTGCTGGTCGACTCCGCCCTAGAACAGTCGCTCATCCCCGTTCAGCGCTCTCTCTCAACCTTCGAACGAGTCGTTACAACTCATGCCCCTATCCTCGAATCTCTGCTACTTCAACTCTCGACAGATTCCATCTTGAAGCTCTACCACACTTCCCGCTACCTTCGATCCTTTCTTAGATCCTATCCCACAGCATGGAAGTACTTGTCATTTCGTCTGTTCTTCCCTTCGGGCACCCCGTCGCCCCTCCGGGTTGTCATCCCAGGGGCCCTAGAGCCAGTAGTACCGCGACAGTCTCGACCCTATGCTCTTGATCAGTTGTTGATGAATGTGGTGGTTCCGTTCAGCCCGTGTCTGAGGAGTTTAGAGTTGGATAATACGGCGGTCTCCGGGCAGATTCTCATATCGACTGTTTTGTATTCACGACGAGAGACTCTGGAGCATCTCTCCGTCCGTGGTTGCAAAAATGTCTCCCTTAAATACCATGTCATTCCATATCTGACGATGTTCGGGCTTCAGTACGATGTCGATATGGAAAAGAGCATCGGTAGCTCTTCATCTACCAAACGCCTTGCGCTGAAAAGCCTATATACTTATCGGTGCCGTCATCACCGAAGAAGACCGTACCTATCCTCTTCTTTAACTCGGAAGGACTCGGACTCGGAGCCGACCCACGAATTAGTCAATCTCTGCCATAAGCTAGGGATCTGGACTGATACCGCGTGGTGCTCCACTCCCGCGGGGAGATGCTATAGGAGGAGAGGCTACGTCTCCATGAGAGTGCCACAAGGGTCTGCGGAGGTATGGGTGGTTTTTGATCGGCTATGGCGGTCAAAGAATTGGATCGGCCCAATAGACCAAAGCAGCTATCCACCCAAACGAGATGGGAAGCTGTGGGAACACGAGGAGACTGGGTGTTATGGAGAAGCCCTTGGGACCGGGGAAGGAAGGAACCTTGGCGAAGGTAAAATGACACCGGCCCATTCACGTTGGAGCCATAAGCAATTTGTTGAAAATATTCGTTGTGACAACTGCTACGAGGAGATCCCGGAGAGATGTGAACAATGTAGTGTCCTGATGCACTGTGTTGGGTGCCGTAAGACGCTCTGTGCAAGCTGCGCGTTTGATCGGCCCTACGTTCGCCCTCGGCGCCCCTCATCGCTATTAGGGGAGTCCAAGCAACCTTTCTGGTGGGCACCGGGTGCTACTACTTCTCCCTGCCTCATGCTGGACCCCCCTCCAAATACTTCTGAAAGCGATACGTTGAACCACAATAGTTCAGCTCCTCATCCTGTGCTGAAGTTTCACTGGTGTTGTACAGAACCAATCTTCTCCGGTGGGGGCGGTATCAGCATTGGAACTCCCAACCGAGATGTAGACCAGGTACGAGCGGCACCTCTTCCCCGTGGACAAGGCTGGGAAGACCTAGAGTACTCGGCACAGGAGTGGAGCAAGACATTCCCCAAGTATGCCTATGGTGATCCACGAAAACCAGACTACACGCTCGAGACAGGACATATCGCTATGATGAAATGGTTACTTGGACCGCCAGACCGAGAGCCAACGGCTTGTCCTCGGAATCTATGCCAGGAATGTTACGATACGCCCCAGTGGAAGGTACACTGCAAGAGCTGCTCAAAGCCGCTGTGCATTGAACATGACCTCCGTGGTCTTCGCTTGCGTATTTGTGGATACCGCGATCTTACTCTAGAAAAGATGGCTATCCAAAATCGGCCCGGGTCAAGCACTCAGCAAACAACTAATACTTACGTTCCATCGCATGTTCCATACATGAGCTCCTCAACCGAATTTGCATTGCCATATAGGACTCATCGGGCCGTCGATTCCACTGCAAGCAGCTTTACCGAAGACAACCCCGCAGATGGCGTTCCAGATGTTGGTAGTCACTCTTTGCAAAGCGCGGATGATCCGCCAGGGCCCGTCCCTCTCGTGCACCGCCGCCTCAGGAGCGTCTCCATTTCGAACTCGAACCGGTCCCGGTCTTCATCACGTTCCTCCGTCGACTGCGAATCACAGTCAGATGCGGCCAGGTGGCAAGGCTGCCAGTCGTTCTTCTGCCCGCAGTATCGAGCCGTCGGCGATCAGCGACAGCGGTGTGGCAGTGTCCTTCGTGAATGCTCCAGCTGCTCAGTACATGTATGCTCGGACTGCGTTGAAGCCAATCCTCCCTGCAACTGCTCCTACTGCGAGGTGAACTATCTGTGCCCAAATTGTCTCAAGCTTCGAGAGCGGGATGGGACCTGCCGTCGGCTGGAAGAGGAAAAAGCCCAGAGAGAGCAGAGGTGGAAGGAAGATATGCAGATGCTTGAAGGGATTCTAGAAACTAAAGTAGCCAACGAAGTTGCAGAATTTGCGGGTCAGTTCTTCAACTCCGTCGAGTCTGGCATATCTGTTGAGCAAGTGGAGGACGTTCACCAGAATATTCAACCCTCGCATCATGTTCGCATCTTCGATGGCTCACCCTGGTTGGGACCTATCTCGGAGGAGATCCTGGCCGATATTATAGAGTAAAGGCGGTGCCTACTGCGTGAGGCTATACATATTCTTTCTCATGTTGTGTTCCCTGTCAATACCAAAAGTCTTTAGTATCCTTCATTACCTGTTGCAAGGGCGGCTGAGCAGTTTGTCACTTTTTTTTTTCTTTTCTTTTCTTTTCTTCTTTGCTTGTGGCGCTTCCACTCTCGTTTCCTCCCCAGCTCAAGCGGATGGTACGCAGGATGTCCCAACTACCGGGGCCTTGGAGAAGATCTACCGAGTGAAGCTCCTCGTGCTAATTCATTTACAAGCGTGCTATTTCACCTTTATATTCACGGGCATAAACGATAGCGCTTTCTTTTTACTCTTCATTTTGCTGTTTTTGTTTTGAAAGTTTTGCGTGCGACAGATAGCATATCAGACCAACTATGAATACCCCACGAAGATCGGGATGCTTGTTACCATGACAAGTAAACCCAGTCGATATACATGACACCATAGCATCGAGTCCTAAGCAATGATCATAGTACTAGAGGCATATCACAGCGCATTGACTGGAGCTTAAGGAGTATATGTTGAATAGGATTCCAACACCTGGAGGAGCTGAGGTTATATTTATATGCCCCAAAGAGGCTAGTCAGCTCCAACAGCGGAACGGCCCCGCCAACGGAGAGAAACAACCAGCCTTGACAACCACCACCACTTTTTTCTTTCTTTGTCTTTTAACTTCTCTTCTAAGCTTTCACTATCTAGTCACGAGAAAGCTCGCCCATTTAGGTCCTTTGTTGGACATCCTCATGTAGGCATTTCCAACTTTACACCCGTTCTGCTCACAACCCACTCGACCTCCATTACCCCACCATCCCACTCCGCAAGTTAATAAATACTAACAAACACTAGCTTCATCCATCGTACCGTAACAAGCCAAAAGCCGCGCATAAAATCCCAACCTCAAGCATGTCCTCCGCCGATCCCGAACACAACCCAAATATCAGCGAAGTCGCCGACCGCGACCGCGAGGAGAAAGAGCGCAAGGCGAAGGAAGACGCCGAGCAAGCACAGCTCCCATACCAATGGACACAGACAATCAAGGACGTTGACGTGACGATCCCCGTTCCGGGAAACCTCCGAGGAAAAGATCTAGATGTGGTTTTGACCAAGAATAAGATCAAGGTGGCGGTTAAGGGGCAGGAGCCTATCATCGAGGTAAACCGCGTTCTCCCTTTCTGGGTCGCCGAATACAGTCAGGGCGGGGATGGCTAAGTGGGTTTTTATTTTTATTTTTTTTTTCTAGGGAGAGTTTCCTCACCCCGTTCTACTCGACGAGTGCTCGTGGACACTGGAGACGACGTCGCAGCCGCCTGGGAAGGAGGTGGCGGTTCATCTGGACAAGGTTAATAAGGTCGAGTGGTGGGCACATGTGGTGACTTCTGCGCCTAAGATCGATGTCAGTAAAATCACGCCTGAGTCGTCAAAGCTGGGTGACCTCGATGGGGAAACTAGGGCGATGGTCGAGAAGATGATGTACGATCAGCGACAGAAGGAAACCGGGGGCCTGACTAGCGATGAACAGAAGAAGAGAGATCTCCTGAAGAAGTTCCAGGCTGAACATCCGGGTATGTGTTGACGTGGTCTTGACTTGCGTGGGGTTCTACGTGATATACTGACATTCTCGTACAGAAATGGACTTCTCCAATGCGCAGATCGGCTAGTTGAGTGGTCGCTTTTCAGCTGTGTATGAAGTGATGAGCGTTAGTTGGAACTTTAAAAAGGGCATGGGTATGTATCTATACTGTTGCCATTAGCATAGCAATGATTTGGATTCATTTAATGTGCGTAATCAATATAATCAAGATGTTAGCTCTTGTAGACCCGAATACGAAAACTACTTAATTAGGACTAGCTCATATTGATCCTTTGACAATCATGTACTGTATTTGGTGTCTTTGGTATGGATGTACACTAGACTACTTATCTTATGGGAAAAGAGATATATATTTGACCAGTCTGCTATGTAGGAAATTTGACTACTGCAAAGAAAAAAAAACCATCAATAACAACCTACATGGTATATAAGCGTTCGAACACTTATTCCCCGGCTTTTCGTTCTCAGCGCAATGCATTTCTTCCGCTGTCCATTCACCCTCGAGGTTGCCGGGCAAGTAAGTATACAAAAGGTGCTGAGTGGCAGAAGAAGCTGATGTGCATTACGCATAAAGACGACTTTTTGCAGTGGTGTTCATTTCCTCTTTTTGAAGATCATGCATCTTCTCTCCAACCCACCAGCATCTTTCGTTGATGGATGGCCTCCGTCCCATCTACTCTAGCAGTAGTAGTGCTACACATCAAAAACATTCATTGACCGTGACAGTAATAAATGTCATACATACAACAGTGAGCATATGCAGCTATTTTGTTGCGTTTCTCAGTCCACCAGTTGACTTTCGGCCAAGGCGGTGTGGCTGAGTATGCTCCATACAATGGATGGGGCTGAGTCCTCGTATACTGTCTTCCTATCCTGCCCAAAGCTGATCATGTCGTTCCGGCCGGATTGAAAAAGAAGGAAGCACGAGTCCTCAAAGCTCAACTTGTCTTCACTCTCATACATATCGTGTCTTACAGCTGGCGAAGGGACATCGGATACAACGATCGATCTTGACTACTGCAGACCAGTCCCCGCACGTCGGTTGGAAAAGCCAGTCCCACAGCACCCACCCTGCAATGTCCTCGGGCACGTTACAGGGCCAGAAGAGTCTATTTCGTGTGGCCTTGTACCAACCATCGGGAGCAACAGGCTCCGAAGAAGCCAGGAAGGCTTACCATGCCCGTCGATCACATCGCAAGTCGCGTGCTGGATGTGTGAAATGTAAGCAACGAAGGGTCAAGGTATCCGCCCCCGCAAATATATACTCTTTGTATTCTGAGGGATATAGGGCTGAATTATCCTAGTGTGATGAAACTAAACCCCACTGCTTGCGCTGCCAAAAGCATGGAGTTGACTGTAGTTATGACGCCGGTCAAGCCAACGCTGCGCGTAGTAAGAGCGTAGTCTCCTACTTCATCGACAAAGTCCCAAGCCTGACAGAGCAAGAGTCAGCGGCACTTTCGATGTCGCTGATTGCTGTCTCGGCCAAGATAGACGAGCTGTTGCAAATCAAGTCGCAAAGCGGCCGTCTATCGGACCGTGTTCGGGCGTTGCATCATTTCCACGAAGCTACAACGCCTTCTATCAGCTCCGAGCGCTCTCAGAACGTAATGAGAGGCAAAATGATCCGTTTAGCGTTCGACGTCAGGACTCCTCCTATCCCATTATGTTATCAACACAGACGAACTAACCGGACTCAGTCACCATTCCTCATGCACAGCATCATCGGTGCAGCGACATCGCATCTCCGCCGTATCTACCCAGAAGACCCTTCATACACAATGGTCGAGGCATACCACTGGCAAAGGGCCATAAAACAATACTCCGAGGAGATATCCACCTCCGTGGGCCCTCACAACATGGACCCCCTCTACTCCGCCTGTCTCCTAATGACCATCCACTCCTTTGGCCTGGAAGAATACAACCCGCGTAGCTCCTTCGTCTTCTCCGACGACCCGGACGCCCTAAACTGGCTCATGCTGCAAAGCGGCCTGCGCCACCTCCTCGAGCTAACAGTTCCCTGGCTAACCCAAAGCATATGGTGGGGCGTCTTCAAACAATCCCGCGAAGGGAACCCCCTGTACGACGACCACCGTCCGGGCCGAGTAGGCCTGCACCCGGGCCTCGCCGACATATGCGGTATAGACGATACGACGACCGAGGAGACAAATCCCTACCACTGGCCGCTGCGAATGCTGACCCCGTTACTTTCGCTGGAGCGAAACTCGAAGACGTTTACCCAGTACACGAATTTCATGGGTAGGTTGCTGCCGGATTTCTACGAACAGCTGCTGAAGAAGGATCCGCCGGCCTTGATCATCCTTAGCTGGTGGTTGTCTCTTGTACTCGCTGTGGATGTGTGGTGGATGGAAACTAGGGCTAAGTCCGAATGCGTGGCGATCTGCATGTACCTTGAGGAGAGTAGGGATCCGCGCATTCTCAGACTGTTGGAGTTTCCGGCGGAGACTTGTGGGTATTTGCTGAAGCATGTGCAAGAGCAGATAGCTTGCCAATATGATTTGGTGGTGTTGTAGTCGAGTTGTGTTGTTGGGTTTAATGGCAGCTGTTTTGGCCGTTTTCCGTGGGCAGAGAGGTATAGTTTGTCTACTCATACAAGGTAGGGTGGCCTATTTCAAAACGACGTGAACAGGTAGGTATATGGATTATTATGTACGTCCCCAAAAGCACATTATATAACGCGGATCAAATCAAATATTAATAGTACCCACAACGCCAATTACCCGTATCCATGCAGCAAATAGCAAGTCTTCTCGGGCCCAATCATTACTCGTAGCAAATATGCAGCGTCCAAAAAGTAGTGCCGAAAAAAGAATAATAATAATAGAAAAGGTAGGTAGAAGGAAGAGGTAGGGTAAGTGGTGGTGGTGGAGGAGGTATGACAAGCGATAAACTAATTAATCCATGCACTCATTAAAGTCCGTAAAAGAAGAAACCGTTCAAGACAATTATTGAGTCTCCCAGGAGAACCTCCTCGGTCTCCCAGACCCATTCTGCTCATCAAAGCTCCTCCGGGCCAACACATTCCGGACCAAATTGTCTGGCCGGTGAAACACAGGCCGCGGCTGCGCAATGTGCATCATAGCCACCTGCTGCGGCGGCAGCGGATACCCCGACGATGAGACCGACATCGATCTCGACGGCACTGGAGAGACACCGCGTGACGAATACGGTGGGGGTGGAGTGTCCCTCGTAGCCGTCGAGGTGTTCCCATAACTACTGGGAAAAGAAATAGCAGAGGAGACATCTGAGGATAAATCCTCGGGATGTTCATTGCTGTTGGAGGCCGACTCAAATGCGAGGCGGTCTTTCTCATCTTGGAAATACGTCGAGCCGTCGTTGTCGTAGCCGCAGGATGAGATTGGGGGATACCGCATGTGAGCTTCTAGGGTTTTCTCCTGGATGCTCACTGGTCGCGGCGTGTATCTTGGTAATGGTATGACGGGGGTGTAGCTGTCTTCTGCATCTATGTCTGGGGGATTATTGTATGTGGTGGTGCCATTGTCTCTATTTTGAGGTGTTTGCTGACGAGACTGTGCCGTCGGTTGACATAATGGCGGGGAACTGCGGCTCACACAACCGCATAAGATGTTAAGAATAGACATGATGACTTGGAAGATATGTCGGGAACTGGCTTCAGATTCAAGAGTATAAAGGATAACGCTCAATGACTCGAACAAGTAGAAAGAAGCCAGGTGATATGTCTCTTATGACTAATGTAGGAGGAGTATACGATGTATCGATGGTCAATGCGGTATCACAAGAGCGGAGTAAAGATTGATGGAGCTCAGTGCATGACCACTGTCTAGCATGACGGGTTTCACCTGCAGAATATTCCCGAGGGGTGACAAGCCAGTTTATACACTGGCGGGGGAGGAATAGACTGACAAGGACACAGTATGCAAGACGGAGAGGAAGTGAGGAGGAGCCAAAGTGACATGGAGGATAATCAAATGGAAATGGATTGGGTGGCTGAATGCCTGAGGCAGAAGGAGCTCAGGCTCATTGCCGATCTCCTCAGGCATCCACATTTTTGATTGGCTGCATCGGAGATAGTGTTTTCGGGGATCCACTGATAGGGACTGGTCCTGGTGCCTGAGGCATGGTGTTTTTTTATTTTTTTTTCCCCACCAAATCTCTTTCCTTGCTTTTCTCCGCAACAAGATTTCTTTTTCCCTCCACTTGCTGCGGTCTATGTTTGATACCCTCGTTTAGCCACAAGGACATTCTTTTTGAGACAGAGATAAAATGGCTCCCTCTCACTCCCATGATGACATTATAGAATTCACCCAACAAATTCAACCACCCACAATTGCCCCGCACCGTTCGCACGACCCCTCCAACAATCTTAAACGCAGTGATCCTTTTCAATTCGGCTCCCGCTACCTAGAGGAAGGTGACGATGTCTTCGAGTTTAATGCCTGGGACCACGTCGAGCCGGACGACGAATTCCTGGCCTTCGCAGAGGTCCAATACGCCAAGCAGCGCGAAGCCCCGGCATCAGATTTTGACAAGATGCGATTCAACGCAGACCCCGCCAAGTGGTGGAACCTATTCTACAAGAACAACACGGCGAACTTCTTCAAGGACCGCAAATGGCTGCGCCAGGAGTTCCCCATCTTAGAAGAGGTCACACGCGCTGGTGCAGGAAAGAAGGTCGTTCTGGAAGTGGGCGCAGGCGCCGGAAACACGGCGTTCCCCTTGATCAACAACAGCGAGAACGAAGAACTCATGGTCCATGCGTGTGACTTCTCGAAAAACGCCGTCAAGGTCATGCGGGAGAGCCCGCATTATAATCCGAAACACATTACCGCCGACGTATGGGATGTCTCCGCCGAACCCGACGAGAATAACGACTCTCTTCCTCCCAGGTTGACGGAGGGGTCGGTGGACGTGGTAGTTTTGATTTTCATTTTCTCTGCTCTTAACCCCAACCAATGGGATAGGGCTCTTCGCAATATATACAGGGTCCTGAAGCCTGGTGGTACGGTCTTATTCCGTGATTACGGGCGGGGAGACTTGGCTCAGGTTCGATTCAAGAAGGGTCGTTATTTGGATGAGAATTTCTACGTCCGTGGAGACGGTACTCGTGTCTTCTTCTTTGATAGAGATGAACTGGAAGAAATGTGGGGTCGGTGGACCCCCGAGAAGGGTCTCCCAGAGAAATCATCGGAAGGCGAAGAGCCTGCTGCTGATAAAAAAGATGGTGTTTTCGAGATCCACAACTTGGCCATTGACCGACGGTTAGTGGTCAACCGTCAGCGCAAACTAAAGATGTACCGCTGTTGGATTCAGGGCCACTTCACTAAAACCGTGAAGGCTGCTACCGAGAATGGAGACAAGATTGAGTCGTGATCGGTGTTGCTGCAATTAAATGTACAGCTTACTACAATGCAGCCAAATATCTACCTCGGTTTTTGCTGACGCTACTGGGCGAAACGACACAATTCAACTCTGCAGAGTTCCAGCTTCAAAGCGCCTATCAACTTGCACGACGTGTTGGGAGAAGATATTGGATGACTCTACAGACGCGATTCTGCCCTATTATCTTTTTGAGTCAACGACCCTAGGGCCTGGCGCCATAGAAGAAATGTTTACGGTCAGCATTATTTGCCGTTGCAATCGGCTCGTCTTGCTAGAAAATCTCCGGTCATAGAATAGATCCACGATGTTATGATGATATGTGCATGTACCTATAGGATTAGGATATGAGCCAGATAAACTTGCTTGAATCTGACAAGGTTTAGACTGCATACATGTAATGATACACTGATAGGTCATAGTCATCCATGTGCGGCTATCTAGTGTCTTGATATCTCTAGATGATGGCAATGCAAGATGACCATTCATGACAGTCATAACTATGGCAACCATAGCATTTACAAAAGCCAGGATGACCGCGATGACAATTATGACCATGATGACAGCACACTTGAGTGACGTGGCATAATGAAAATGGATCATCAAGAATGAGGCAGGATGATGACCGTAAGGACAATTAACAACAACCCACAAGGATGGCCATCCATTAAAAAAGCCCCGCAAAAGAATCATAAATATAGTAGAAGCCATTCATTGCTCTCATTAGATTTTATAGTGCTTAATAAAGCGTCATAGCAGGTCAAGTCATCACCCGATGCACGGTCATCGCCATGCATAGATTAATTAGGGCTACTCGAAAAAAAAAACCCCCCCACGACCTCACATCACAACGTCAGCCACCCAACCAATAAAGAACTCACCTCCATAAACCCAACTAAAACTCCTTCCCTATAGCTCTAATCCTCGGACCCCAAAACCAAAGCACCAAGGGAATCGGCACCCCAAGCCCCAAATAAAGAAACCCAAGCAAGCTATTCCCCCACCCAAACCCCAACCGCGCATACATATCCGGCGCAAAGATCGGAAAAGCAAACGCCAGAATATTGGACAACATGCGCGTCGCCGCACTAGCAGACGCCGCATGCGTGAACTCATCAAGCAAATACGCCAACATGCCCTGACCGACCATAAAGCAGCCAGCGGTGAAGATCGCCGCGCCAACATCGACCATCACCCAGGAGATACCATGTTCGGCCGACCAGCCGTACCAGAAGAGACCGATGGGGATAAGCAGGACGCTGGGGATCATATAGGGGATGCGGAACTCGGGGGAAATGATGGTGTTGGGGCGGTCACGCATTCGGCGCCAGATGTAATCCATTAAGTGGCCGCCGCCTTGGGCGCCAATTGTAGTGCCGATGGCGATGGCTATGTAGTTTAGGCTGCCGATTGTTTCGGACTCGTGGTAGCGGTCGATCCAGAGGCTGGCGTAGGTGGAGAGCATGAGGACGTAGATGCCGAAGTCAAAGCCGTAGAGGATGGAGAGGAGCTGGATGATGGGGCGCGTTGCAAGGAGGCGGAGGGGACGGTAGATGTTTTTTCGGAGCTGGGTGAATAGGTCTAGGTAGAATTGTTGGGTACAGGGACTGCTTCTTCGGTAGAGATTGGGATTCTGTGCTTGTGCTTTTCGGCGGAGGAGAGCCGGCGTGTATGATTCCCTGAGGATGACGACGCCTAGTACGGTGACGAGAGCCTCGAATGATGATAATATCCAGAAGAGCCAGTGCCAGTGGATATTTTGTGAGGCTAGGCCGCCCATTATTGGTCCTAGAGCTGGCCCCAGGTAGGGTATGAGGGTGGCCAGTGCAAGGGATTTCCCACGGTCTTTGGCATGGAACATATCACCCATGATAGGTGCTGTCAACTGTAGCTTGTCAGCTAAATCTAGTTTCATTGTATGTCAAGTCATAGTCAGCAGCCACTCACCGTGACACCGGCACTCGCTCCACAGCCTGCAAGGAACCTCCCAGTCATCATTAGTCCGGGGGAGTTGCCAACCGGACAGAGCGAGTTCCAAAGAATGTACCAAATATTTGAAGCCAGCCAGACTGGCTTCCGGCCATATATCTCAGAAAAGGCAGCGACAAGAAAGGGCCCAAAGGCTAATCCAAGTAGAAAGATCGAGAAGCATATTTGCGTTACGGAGATGCTTAATCCCAAGTCCTCTGCGATCTGGTTCAAGGCCGCCGCCATCATACTGGTCGACATAAGGGTGGCCAGTTGGCCTAAGGACACCACAATAGCAATGCAGACTTTGCGAGTAAGCGACCAGTTGTATGGATTATTGGGGTCCTCAGGGCTGTCCCACGTAGCCTAGCCGAAGTAGAGACAGAAGTTAGCATATTTCGCTTGTAATGACAGATCATAGAGCACGGGCATAATTACTCCATGTGATTCTCTTAGAGCATTGAGCTTAGCTTGGGCGTCATCGTCGACTATAGCCGCATATTTTTGGTCTCGGCCAGCCTCCACAGCAGTCCCTTCAGGCAGCTCTTTAGGTTTAACCACCATACTCTCGAGGATCAACTGCGAGTATACTGCTAGAAATGTAGTCTATAGCCTGAGCGGAATGGATATGGACGCCAAAAGTGCTAGTGCCGTTTTTCAATTGCTCCTTTCAATTACCCCATTGTCCCGGGATCTTCCAGTGCTCAGAGGACTGACTTGAAATGTTTCTGAAAGGAGAAGTAAGGGAGGGATTGTCGGACATGCCGGATGTTGCATTCCAGAGACTTACGTCGTGACCGAAAACGGCAAGTCAGTCGGAATGTAACCTTTTGAGTTAACTTATCAGATCCTTCTGGGAACCCTGGATAACTCATAGCACTCTTCGGACTTGATAGCATTGATGTATTGAATAACACCCCACTGCCGGTCTGTTTTGAATCGATCATTAATCGAGTTAGACAGGTTTCTGAATGTGTACACTGTCAGGGACTCCGGGGTTCCGTGCCCCGCAACCTTGCTACATACAGAAGGCAGTATATTAGTCTGAGGGGACTTTTGTGTCAGTTGCCGTAGTATGACATTTAAATAAGGAGTACGATAGGCGTAGGGCGCGGCGAACAGGAAGGTTGCAGGATCATCCCGGCATCACACCTTATCTAGGTCCACTCATAGAATGCCATTAGAGATGGGCTAGGCTAGCCATAGGCTGAAAGGTGTTACTGGCTGATTGATAAACGAAAGGTTTCCACCTAGCCCTAGGCAGCGAAGCTGAAACATCTTTCCGTGTAATGCAGCCCTAACTTGCCAGCTGTCAGACATATACCTGGATATGGAAGGATGCCCTCTCTAGTGCTTACGGACTACAGGTTCCTGTGGTCTGCTAATGCCCTTATGTCTCTGGTACTTATATTTGACAAGTTAATGCGCACTTCATATAGCTTCTTCTCTCGGTCAGGTAATATATTTATTAACGTGAAGTGAAGTAATTCGCTAAACCACCTAATGTAACCTGTTTTCCCCGTGTGCAACGCAACACAAACTCCGTAATAAACCCCGAGTGAACAAGTCTAAAGAGTCGGCTTTCTCCCAATCATAAGATGCATCGGAGTAAAGAGACCGAGTCTACCTCCTTCGACGAGATTATCGGCGCCCCCCGCGAGCTCGGTGGCTGTTTCTGCTGTTCCAGACGGGGCCAGCCGCAGGGTCTCCAGCGTCCACAGCAGGTAGCCCATCGCCCCTCGGCCGAGTTTTGTCATACGCAGAACAGTAAGCATATCCCAGAGGCTTCTCGCGTGTCGTAACTCTCCTGCAATAGGATAGTACCATGGAATGGGGTCCGGCCGGGCAGCTAGGTCTTCCTCGTGTTCAAGAATAAAGCCAGCCGCCTGGATAGCTTCGATTGCCTCGGCAGCAGTACGCATGTTGACAATTCCATTGCCGCGTTCAATTCCCAATCGGATCGCACGGTGCTTGGGATTCGACTCGTCGAACTTATCTGTCATGACCCATTCATATACTCCGAAGCGCCCGCCGGGTTTGAGGACGCGAAAGATCTGCTCGTATACTTTTTGAAGGCTCGGGGCGTGGACTGTGGCTTCGAGGACATACACTACATCAAAGGTATCTTCTGGGAAGTCCAGATGCTGGATATGTAGTCAGCGAGGACGAACAATCCATGACAGCTATGGGGTACAGCTCTGAGATGCCTACCATGAAATCACCCTTGAAGAAAGAGACCTGCTCCTCCAGACCGGCCTTCTGTGTATGCCGCGCCGCACGCGCAATCTGATATCCATTATTGTTGATTCCAACCACTTGACACCCGGTAAACCGAGCAATTTCTCTCGCTGGCCCCCCGACACCGCAGCCAACATCTAACACCTCCATTTCCTTCCTAATACCTAGTTTATAAGCTAAGTAATGCTCATGGCGCGCTAGAGCCTGGAGGAAGGGCTCGCCGATGGTAAACCGACAGAAGTGGAATGACTGGGCCCACGCCTCTTCGTAAAAGTCCGTTGCGAGATCGTAGTAACTGTTTAGGCCAACCAGTTAGCAACCAACGGGATATCATGGGCTGCGAACACCGCAGTAGGAAAGACGAGACAATTACTCACTTGTTGACCACTTCCATGTACTCGGTTGTTCTCTCCTTTCTGGCTTCATCGGTGGTTCCGTCGATGCCTTTTTCGGTCCTCCACCGGCGCACATATTCATTTGTGACCTCGCGATGGGCCGCGTTGTTCTTTTTCAGCATGGCGAAGAAGGCATTTCTCTCTTCTGAGGACTTGCCGTGCATGGCCTTAGTTAAGGCAAGGTCAGGGTCTTCTTTCAAGGCGACAGTCATTGTGCTATGCCCGTAGTCGATGTCTTGTGGAAGGATGGGAATCTAACGGAGCGAATGTCTCGAGACTACGGGAAGGATGAGTGAGAATGCAGAAGTGCGAGAGGAGAGCTTGAATGATGAAGTGGTGTGAGCAATTCCAAAGCAAGGTAGTAAAGGATCTTTATAGCAGCAGAAGCTCACATTCTCTACTGCACAAGCATACCTTCGCTCGCAGTCATCATCTATACGCATCTATACGCTCAATACGATAATTAGGGCTCAGAGCTGGGGGCCAATCAGAAGGCAAGATGGGCATCGTATCGGCGTCGTATTTTGGAAGTGGGTCACGGGCTGGGGTAAAGAAGTTGTGTGCAGTGGGTACTTGATCTGATATTGTTCCAACCATCTTCTCCACAGCTATACATAGGCTTCTAGATGTGCTGTACCTGTTATGCTGGTGGGGGCCAATGGATACTGTGGTATTCCAAGCCCCTGGCATATCATCGAGATGGAGATTGATTGGCCCCTGACACCCATCAAGTTATTCCCACCAGCTATTTTGCTTTACAATGAACCATTTCCTGGAAGATCCAGATTTCTCATGTCAGGTACCTACTCCACAAAGATCAGGCCACTTCGGTCCGGCTGCTAGACCTGAGAACAGCCATATTTGTCTCGATCCTTTCGGTCTCTCTGGAGTCCGTCGGACCCATGGCCACTGTTACTTTGGGAACGCTTGTAGTTCGTAAACGTCAACGAGGGTTTTCAAGCTCTCTACAGCTACCTCAAATCAGCTGCCCATCGCCCAAGTATGCTTTGTTTACTGTAGGACTTTGATATCATTTCCCAAAAAAAAGGCAACAAGGACTCTCTTCGCCTATCTCACTTCGATACCAAGAAGTCGTCAGTGCTCACAACACAAAGGGCGCGTAAAAATATACCACTGACATAGTATATATCAGACGAATGCATAGTTACAGTCCTATAAGACAGTTTAGAGTTTTGAGTTTTCCCAAGTAAGAGAGATGGTCCACGAAGACAGCAGCTCCAGAGACATCTTTCAACTCCTGTTGCAACATAGTTTCGGATAGACGTTTGTTGAAACAGGTTTCATGCGTCGCTGGCAATCGCTCCGAGTCTCAATATGTGCAATTTTCTGTCCAGCAACCTGGAGTCGGTATTGTTATGCTAAGGGTCGAAGCTGGTAATGCCTCACAAGGTGTTCTGAACAACTATTCAATGTACTTGTGCTTCCCTCCAGGTCTGTGAGACTAATCATCTCAAAGACTGGTCAAAATCAACATACTGCAGGGTATAATCAGCAAACTATAGCACAGGATGCATTTATAAAACGAAGGCCATCCCTTCTTACCGCACCGCAAATCATGGAGTTCCCTTGAAGTAGCGTGGGAATCTCGATCCAAGCTGCATCAGATAGCAATTGCCGGTCTCTAGTTTCAGCAGGAATTGTAACAAGGGATGCAAAAACATCACAGCGAGAGTTCATAAGTAGGAGGCCCAAATTCTGTATCTAGAAAACAACAGCTAAAATTACACGATCATAACGACCAACAAGTAAAGACATGAGACCATGGAGGAAAAATGTACAGATACAGAAGCACCAGCCGGACTCAGCGGTCCAGTGCTCCATTCGCCACACCTTGAACAACAACCCCTACCATGAATTCGACGGATTTGTTTATGTGCATCTATTGCTTCGATCCAGTTTCCTTCTTGTCTTCCTTTCCATCAAGCTCTAACTTCTTAATTGCTTGTTCCAGGTCCTCGACCCCGTCTTTTCGGAACCGCGTCACCTTCTGTACGTTCAACTTTGTCAACTCATTGAGGATGTCATTGCCTTGAGACCGTTGCCTGGCGACGGTGCGTGCCGTCATTGCGAATCGGATATCCTTGGGTCCGTCAACGAGTTCCAAGATGGCGCTGGCTGCTTGGTCGTCTTTCTTGGGCTCAACACGTAGTACCCGAGTGTAACCGCCGGGTCGCTCGGCGTAGCGTTCACGGAGGGGTCCGAAGAGTTTAGGAAGGAGTTCGTGGGGGGTCTGTGTAATATTAGTACCCGATTGGAAGAAAAAGCCAACGACCAAAAGGCAGGTTCGCGAAGGTCAAGGATAACAGTCGTCATGCAACATTTCGTCGCCCTGTTCTCCAAACATGTCTCCTCAACGCCGGATCGACAAAGAAAATAACCCCACATACATAGAAAACCGACAAAGCCCGTCTCCGGCTTGCTTCTGTGTTCTTCTTGCCCAGTGTGATCAACTTCTCAGCCAACCGTTGCGCCTCCTTGGCCTTGGGCCATGTTGTTGTGATGGACTCGTGTTTGAAGAGAGAAGTAACCAAGTTGCGAAGAAGAGCCTGCCTATGCGAGGACTTACGGCTGAGATGGCGATACTTTGCTGCACCACCGGCCATGGTGATAGGTATATGTGGAAGGTGTTTTTAGTCGGTTATTTTTGGGTTTTGTGTATTGGCCGTGGATATGGGCGAATGGCGGATATTTGAGTATCGTGATAAAGACGGGAGTCTGTCCTTACCAGGAACCGGAGGACAAGTGAGGGGAGAGAATGGTGAAATTGCAGATCAGAGGTAATGAAGCTCTGTGAAGCGTCGTAGCATCAAGTCGGACGGTAGAAAGATTCGTTCCTTCCGCGGCAGCCAATCGGAGTGCTCGAATGGCATTCCGGATCCGCGACAAGAAACTCCCCATACTTACAGATTTGTTTCTATCTTCTCTACTTACCTATCATTTCACTTCCACACATTCTACTTTTGTTTTATTATAAACTTGACTCGGCCATATTCACGTCTCTTATCACCAAGCGTGGAGTCGCCTAATTCCTCCATCCTAGATCTCTGAATCGTGACTGCTCCTTCGGCCGTCGCCGAAGGAAACCTACCCCCGCCTCTCTTGTTACAGTCGGAAAGTACTCGCCATTCCTTCGAGAATCTGTTTCACTTTATCATTAAAACAAAAGGCAAATATGAGATTCTTCACTGGATTTGTACGTTGAAATCGTCTTCACAAGAAAAGCTTGTGGCGAGCTACCAGTTAATACTAGAAATAGTTCAGCGGATTCGCTTTAACCACAACAGCGCTATACCTAACTGTTCAGGTACATCGATCTATTCGCCTGGAACAACGCGATGCTATCCGGCAACAGACTCAAGCTCTGAATTCATTATCCTCGCCGGTCGGCGCTTACGACCGCCGGCTAGCCCCAAAAGACATCCCTCAGCCAGAGGAAACCACGGAGCCGGTACGGCCTACTATGAAGGATTTGCTTAAACATCATTGGAATCAAGAAGTGGAAAAACTGGCAAGACAGACATATAACAGTCGATGGGAAGACGCGCGAGATGCGGCGGTGGAAGGGTGGAGCACTGTGGTCAGGTGTATAAAGAAGGAGTAGATATCCATTCTTTGGTTGTGGATATTTTCATTGAAGTTGCTCCATGTTGTTGGGCAAGTATGTTCAGATACCCATTCTTTTCCTGCTATGACCAGCGTTTCATACTGTATTACTATTTTTTGTCGATGCAACCTTATCAGTTCCCTGCGTCGAATGACAATATTGTCGCATGTCATACACGAACCATGGCCATGGGCCTCATCTCAGAAGGTCTGTTGAGGCTGACTGCACAAGACCGCAAATGAATTCTTGTAGCAATGTAATGATCCAGAAGGTAGATACTCCATCCGTCTTGAAAGTGGTGATAAAGTGGCGATGACGTCGACCAGCATGCAAGGTATACTTGGTGTTTATAATTTGTCGACTGCCACTTACCAGGAGAAGACAATTCTAGTCCCTGTGACTAGAAGCCTTATATACGGCGTCCATATATGATCGGTCTCCAATGTGTTCCAACAGCCTCAGCCAGTGTTAGCCGTTGATGCTGTCTCTGTAGTTATGCTCTCATTATCACTCCAGATGTCACGGCTCTCCCTCTCCACAGCGCGCATGGCTTGGGCAACTTCCTCGAGTTTAGCCACCACGTCCAATACGCCGTTGTTGACCCGGTCGAAATAGCGATCATTCGCTTCGCGCCTCTCACGCGCCAGAAGAATATCCTTTTCCGTCTCATCATCGAGGTTCTTCTGAGAGGCATCATCCGCTGCGTTTGGATCTCCGGTAGTACTGGTAGCCCGAGAGGACACCCTTGGTCTTGACGGGCTCTTGCCAACCGCATTCTTCGGGTCAACTACCTCATCAGCTTCGCTTCGAGCCCATGCTTGTGCAAGCTTCAGCTGTTTCGTTCGCAGATCTTCCAGTGCCTCGGAATGCTTCTCGCCAAAGACGTGTTCGCTGTTTACCGCGCTCAGTTCGACTTCTGATAAGGCATTCTGCATCTCCTGCCAAATTGCGTCAGAGCGATCTAGTTCACCCTTTGATTGGGTGCGAGACAGAAACGGCGAGAGTGAGCCTGGTGTCTCCAGAGTGCCCATGTGTCGAGACGAGCGACGCCGCTGCAGCGGAGGGGGCTGAAGCCCTCCACCGGGAGAAGAGACAGCGGGCACCGGAGGTGGGAGGGATAGGTTAGATCCATTCTGAGAGGAGGGAGGACCTTGAAAGAGAACTGGAGGGGGAAGACGGGCGGAAGGAATTTTCCTCAAGTTCTCTAATTTCGGGGCGATATCCATGATGATCTCGACAACATACGTTGGATGGCTGGGCAGCTCATGACATTCAGGTGCAATTGGAGACAAGAGACAGGAGCTCGATCTCCACAATGCATGAGGTTATTTACTGATAAGGGGCTTATCGATATCGGAGACCGGCGGGAGTTAATCCGATCCCGTGCCTCGCTTAGCGGCCGATTAGGGCGGAGCGCGCACAGCAGACATTTTGGTGCGCCTTCAGCGACACCGCCGGCCGTGAAAGGAACCCTTCGACTTCTCGACAACCATCCCATCAGGCCTTTCGGCAAATTATATCAGTCGGTATGTATATTGTTGCTATTGTTGTTTTTTGATGGGATATATTCAAATCTAGGCACTTCCGTTCATCACCGAATTATTTTTACTTATTCCCACCGCACCCGGCCATATGCTTTTGAAATCCACGTCCCCTCCAACATCCACTCATTCACGACTCATCATTTCTTCAAATTGCAACAAAAAGATCTAACGAATTTCTTTTTACAGACCGTCCTTCGAACATAATCCGCCAAGATGGGTAAGGGACAGCCTCGTGGTTTGAACGCCGCGCGCAAGCTCGCGAACACCCGCCGTGAGAACCGTTGGGCCGATCTTCACTACAAGAAGCGTCTTCTCGGTACCGCCTACAAGTCCTCTCCCTTCGGTGGTGCTTCTCACGCCAAGGGAATCGTCCTCGAAAAGGTCGGCGTTGAGGCCAAGCAGCCCAACTCCGCTATTCGCAAGTGTGTCAAGGTCCAGCTGATCAAGAACGGCAAGAAGGTCGCTGCTTTCGGTGGGTAGCCCCATTTTCTTTACTTTTACAGAATCTACTGTGTGCTGCAGTGTCAGGTGGTGGAATGGCCTGTGTGTTTATTGGGTGGGAGATGAATACTAGAGAGGGCTGGGAATTAAGCGAAACAGCAGACATGGAAAAAAACATGGTGCAGATTGTGCTAACGGTTTCAACTGCAGTCCCCAACGACGGTTGCCTCAACTTCATCGACGAGAACGACGAGGTTCTCCTTGCCGGATTCGGTCGTAAGGGTAAGGCCAAGGGTGATATTCCCGGTGTCCGTTTCAAGGTCGTCAAGGTCTCCGGTGTCTCCCTGCTTGCTCTCTGGAAGGAGAAGAAGGAGAAGCCCCGTTCGTAAACAATTACGCGAAGGAAGGATTGCAGCGGGAACGACGGGAAAGGGCCCATTCCATGGAACATTGGAAGATCACTCCGATGAGATCTATCTTCAGTCTATGGTCTGGTCTGGAAATTATGGTTCAGGACGGATGACCCTGCAAATAAACTGCAGCTACTACGATTGATATACTTATAAAAGATGGCGCCATGATTTATTTCTTTGGGAGGGGCCCTAAAATATCAAGTCTCAAACTTCAAATATCTCTGTTCACCATCTTAGTCGTTGTAGTATCCATCGGAGTTCTCTAGATGTCTTTTTCTTTAACGATCTAAATGATGAGACATTAATTTTTGGTGATGCGGGTACTAGGCATTTAATCGCATGATTCGTACATATATATCCACATGATTTTAGTTCATTACTATTCCTCTTAGGGTAACCTACGTGTCGAGTCGGGCCTTTGTTGTACCCATGGGTATCGTCCTCATATTTTGTCTATTACAATCCTTACGCCCTTGTGCAACCGTGCTTTTATGAATATCCAGTTCCCATTCATTTTTCTTCGTACTTTTCTCTTCGGTGAGGTGCTTAGAAATTGATATCCTCCTTGCGATAGTGGTCGGACACAATACGGTAGAGGAAAGAAGGCGCATGACCTCCCCTATAAAAGAACGGACATAGTTAGCTCGGCTGGACGAGAAGGCGAAAAGTGAACGAGACGTAGTAAGGTGAACCCACAAATTGGTGATATAGAGGTCAATCAGCTCCGCTGGGACATAGTCGTACAACGGGTTTTGGACATCGATCTGATCCACCAAGTCCCCATCCTCGTAGCTGATCACTTTGCTGGCGTCGCCATATTCGATCAGGGAGTCAAAGTCAAAGGGGTACACAGGGCTGAGCTTGTACACGCCGCTCACAACCACCACAGGGGTCTGGTGCACCTTTGCCGCTCGAGCAATAACCCGAGTACCGGCCGATGCAACCAGCCCACCGTTGGCAAGAACGGAGTGAGTTCCCAGGATCACCTTGTTAACCCGAGACATGAGCGCAAAGACGGCGGAATCTGGGATCAGAATGACCGTGATACCCAGAGCGATCAAAGGTTTTTGGAACGATTCAGTGCTTAGGATCTCATCATCGCCGTTGCTGTTGCCGCTGACGGTGGCATGGGTGGCTTCATGGTTATTGGGGTAGGATTCGGCGTGGATCACGGTGAACTTTCGCTTGGCGGCAGCTTTTAGCAAAAACTTCTGAACGGTGGTCGACGAGGTATGGGTGAGGATGATCTCATTGGAGTGGATATGGTCGAGGGCGTAGGCGGCGATCTGGTCATCTACTTGACCCAACTCATCGATGATCTCATTTACACCTTCGAGAACCTCGGCACGGATATCCTTGCTTGGTGCGTGCCCCAACAATCTCCCAGAAGGAGAGGCTGATATAGGAGTACCGGGAAGCGATGTTTCGGGTTCCGGGTGTGAAAGTAGACTGAACATGGAAATCGGGGCGGGCTGGGATAGAGGTGGTCTAGAGGACGATCGATCGGAACCTTCGTAACGCCCAGATAAAGACTCCGAGGGATCTATTATTCAGTGGTTAGCGTTCCTCTACTACCACCTGAGCTGCGGAATGGGCTAGAGCTAACCATCCAAAGCACGCGGGGTTTGCGGCTGGCTTTCAGAGCCTGCTTCACTCAAGTTGAAGTCGGCCTCTCTGTCATCTTCGGCTTCGTCTCGAATAAGACCCAATACGCGCCTGACGATGTTACCGACCACCATCTCTCTTGGTTGCGCAGCCACCAGTCGCCTTCCCACACTCTGAACCCGCTCAATAAGCTTAGCAGCGTCTGTCGTCCGACAAGCCGAAATAACACGAAGGAGAAGGTAAGCGGTCGCAGTCGCGCATGATCGGGAATGACGAATCTGTCTCCGCTTAAGAAGTCTGATGGTCTATTAGTTTACCGGCAAATCGTGCGAAATGTATCAAAACGGTGAGAACGCACGAGATCAGATTGTCAATGGATGTGTCAATTGGATTGGTCTTCAAAGACTTGAGAAAGGACGCCAACCCCGGCGTCAAAGCCACAGACGTGGATGGCATTTTCTTTTTTTGCGATATATGTTATAGATAGCTCCTCTCCGCAGATAGTGTGGACGACTGAAGAATAGACAGCTTCCTTGGATAGCTAAACTCAACGGTTAGCAGAAGTTGAGTCACGCCCGCACAGGGTATTTTCGCACAGCGTGCAATATATATCCAAAGGACGTATGGTGGAATTGTATGCGATTCCAAATATTTCGGAAGTAGAGTGATGGGAAAATCGACCGCTCACAAATTCTTTTTCTTCTTTTGAGGGGGTGAAAAGGGATCGGTGGTTGAGGGGTAGCGCTAAAAGTTGAGAAGGGATGGAGGTTCTTTGGTGGGATGTGACGGAGGGAGTTTTTGCCCGCCGCTTCGAGCTGCCGCTCGGCCCAACGTCCTGTTGGCATATTAATGCACTAACTCCGGGACGGCCTGACCGCAGACCACCTCTTAACCCGGAGTATGTATGAGTGTCTTTCCCCACAAATCTCTCTGTCGTCTCCGGCTGTTCGACCGTTCCGTGTTCCTGGCTGAGAGGCTGTGAATTTCCATCTTTGCCCTTCTTCCCCTTTGTGTACATTTATTCTCCTGCCGACACTCCCCTGCCGGCACGCCTGGGAATCGGTCTACCCGTCGGCTATCGCTTCGAACAGGGCTGGAAGTAAGCGTGGTTCTGAGACACGGGTTTGTCAACTGGCGCATTGAGGTTCGTATGGCTGTCTTTTTGAATCCCATGATAATCTGAATGCCGCCTTGTATCAGCCCGTTTCCGACGTGGTTATTGCTGTGCTGCAATAATGCTAACTCGCACGTTCTCCCTTAGAAACCTGCGCCAGCCCGGACACCCGTCGGCCATATTGGAAGATGAACTCGTTGAATATACTGTCGTCCCGAGTCATTGGCCAGTCTTCCAGTTCGAACCGCAGCCGTCAGCGATCCCGTTCGCAAGGAGACCTCCCCCCAGCAACTTCACCGTCCGATCTCTCCAAACTTAGGTCGTACAGTAGCAACGACTTCCATTCGCCGGACGTCTTCGAAAAGAGCAGCGACGATGGACTTGAGTTTGCACAAGAAGAGGACCCATTTGGCCTTACATTTAACGAGAAGTCGCCACTGATACGAGGGCTTCAAAAAGACGGTTCGTTTGCTACAAGAAGTACACTCAGTCTAGTTACCCAGCGGTTTTTCGACGCGGTTGCCGAAACAATCAAGTTCATATTGTCCACTTTGGCTGCACCCGGTATATTTGCAATTCAATGCTTTCGGGAGGATGACGGGCGCTATTCTCCTATAGCCCCTGCGAGAAAGTTAGGTCGCTTTTTGTTTGGTTCCTCTCTGGCCAGTAGTGCAAGCCCGTCGGCCAAAGGCGCTAAACAGGCGGAGAGTAGACGACGGCCGGGTTCTACGCGGAAATTGAAAAGCCACAGGTCGCGAGATTCCATTGCCTCAAGCACTTCTGAGTCTGAGGGGGATCGCAAGGCCCTCAAGGGCCTTACAGGTAATAAAAATCGGTCGTCAAAGGGAAGATCGCTAAAGTTGGAAAATATGTCAGACGAGATCACTCCTCGTCGCTCCATACGGATCAAGCTCCATAACGAGGAAGCCCTGAAACAACAGAGGCAACGTCGAACACAGAGTGTGGACCTCGGTCAGCAATCGCAAACTGGGCCTCTCAATCCAGATAGTCTAAAATCGCCAACATCTTCTTCTGTGCACAGGGCTACAAGATATCCGCATTCCCCCGTGCCTCCCCGGCCGTTGATCCCACATCGTCTACCATCCTACGCTGCCACTTCGCGCACGTCTAGGGCCCCTCAGAAGACTTTGATCCTAGATCTGGACGAGACCCTCATCCACTCGCTAGCCAAGGGAGGGCGCATGTCCAGCGGCCACATGGTTGAGGTCAAACTGGCCACGCCGATGACGACTGCTCTCAGCCCGGGGGCGCCGCCGACAACGGTGGGGCCACAACATCCCATCCTGTATTATGTCCACAAGCGACCCCACTGTGATGAGTTCCTGCGCAAGATCTGCAAATGGTATAAGCTGGTCATCTTTACTGCCAGTGTCCAAGAATATGCCGACCCAGTGATCGACTGGCTGGAGCAAGAGCGAAAGTATTTCCACGCGCGGTATTACCGCCAACATTGTACTTTCCGAAACGGGGCATATATCAAGGACCTCAGTTCAGTGGAGCCTGACTTGAGCAAGGTGATGATCTTGGATAACAGTCCTATGAGCTATATTTTTCACGAAGGTTCGTCCACCGGCAGCGGTCAGTACCCCATGAAAACATAACAACTGATTCCATCTAGATAATGCAATTCCCATTGAGGGCTGGATCAACGACCCGACGGATAACGGCCTACTCCATCTCGTCCCTATGCTAGAAGCTTTGCAATATGTGACCGACGTACGGGCCTTTTTGGCGTTACGTAGAGGAGAAACAGAAGCATAGCCTAGAAGGGGAATGGAATTGAGCTCAAAACATAGACATTATGAAGAAAAAGAAAAGAAAAAAAAAAAAGCAAAAGGAAAAGAAACCTATGAAGGAGAAAGCGTATAAAAGCGGATGGAAGTCTTATAATGCATTCATTCATAGCCCTTGTCATGTGACTGTAAAAAAAGGCTGGCTAAAAAGGCCAGTAGCATTACTTCATACCCCCACAGCTTCTTCGTTTTTCTTATTATACCTCATGGCCACCTATATTATGTTCTTGTAATTTTCCTCCTATTCTTCTCTTCCCTGTTCCATTGCTTCTTGTGCCTTTTTTTCCCCCCTTCTTTCCGATTTGGACGGATGTTATGAGTTAGGATCATCTCTATAAATAGTATCTTCCATGAGTGCTTCCTTTTTCTTGAAATATTAGCCGCTCCTCATTTCATATAATCGGGTCCGATGACATCTATAATCCGATTATCAACGGACACCCTGATTGAGAATGTACATACTACATAGAACCCCGCCTTCCAAGTTGGCATAGTCTTGTTGTTTACTTAGTCACTACCCTAATTTCTCCTCGATATACAGTACGTTATCCGATTGAGATTCTAATAGCAGAGTAAATGAATTTAGGCCAAAGTGCTCGTTGATGGTATATATTAATCTTTATTTTTCATTTCTAATTATTGGTTCATGTGCAAGCCGGGAGTGTTCTTCTCTACAGTCCCTTAGCCTGCTTGGCTTCCGTCACTGCTTCCTTCAGTGCGGCAATGGCGTTGTCAATGTCCTTGCGAGCCGGATCAGTAACACTCACGCCCATATGTCCGAATCGGATGTACTTGGTCGCAGCCTCCTTGTGCAGACCCGCTGCAAAGATGACTCCGCGCTTCAACAGTCCCGGCAGCACGTCCGGCGGGGCCAGACCCTCGGGCAGCCAGATGGCCGTCATGGCGTGAGCCTGGTTCTCAGGCTTCGCGGCCAGCTGCTTCAGGCCGAGCTCAGCGACGGCAGCCTTGACACGGTCCGAGGCCCGAGCGTGAACGGCGAAGCGCTCTGCCATGGGCCGGGAGGTGATCTGGGACAAGGTGGTGTGCAGGGCGTGGACCAGCTGAGTGGGCGGGGTCGCGAAGTAGGAAGGTTTGAAGTTCTCGTAGTTCTGCATGATGGGGAGCCAGTTGCCGATGGAGGCGTAGTACGAAGCGGGGGGAGACTGGCGGGTCTTGAAGCGGTCAATGGCGCGGCCCGAGGCTAACAAGATACTAAGGCCTGGGGGGCAACCGATGGCCTTCTGGCTGGCCGTCAGGACGACGTCGAGGTCCCATTCGTCAAAGGCGATTTCCTCGCAGCCAACACTGCATACGCCGTCGACCACAACCAGGGTTTCAGGGCTGACGCGGCGCACAATCCCGGCGATGGTCTTGATGTCGCTGAGCACACCGGTTGAGGTGTCAACGTGGGTGATGGTGATGATCTTGTAGGGCTTTTCTTTTAGGGCCTGTTCGATCTCTTCGAAGGATGGGCGTTCGCCGATGGGAGCCTTGAGCTGTGTTGCGTTCGCACCGTATGTTTGCAAGCATGCTGCGAAGGAGTCGGCGAAGTAGCCGGTGTGCAGGACGAGGGCATTCTCGCCCTTCTCGATCAAGCTGGAGGCAACGATGTCCCAGCCCAGGGTGCCACTACCGGAAATGACGAAGGGCTGGGCTGTCGGGCTGGTGGACTGGAAGAGCTTGCGCACCAAAGCTAATGTCTCGCCGAATGTCTTGACAAAGCCAGGGGCGACGTGGCTCTCACTACATAAGAGTCAGTGGTGGGGGTGGCTCGATACAATTGCGCTGGTTCCTTGGAAGACGCTTACGCATAGTGGGACATGGACTGGAGGACAGCATCATCGAATTCGATGGGCCCTGGGATCAACAAGGTGGGGTGAGGGGCTTGGGACGACATCTTGACAGAGGGAGCAGGTTGGGGAGGAGAGACAAGAGGGGTGGTGGGGGAGGAGTCGGTGCGATCGAGGGGCTTATATTCGATATCGTCGGGGGAGTGGGAGTTTCTCTCGGTCGAGAAGGGAGTGTTAAGCTCGGGCAACGGTAGACGCTGATCCAGGTGCCTGGAAATCAGACTCAGCCGCTGCGTCGTTCTTTTGGTCGCCAGGGTTCCGAGACGTCGGCTCTTGACGGGAGAGCCCGCGGGGTAAAATGAACGTGATAGTTATGAGTAATAGAGAGTTGGCGAAGAGGAATTCGGGGATCGCCGGAGGAGCGATGACTAGTCTGCTATTGGTAGATTTTAGATGTATGTTCCCCAAGTATCCCTGGTTCATACTAACCTACTGTAGTATGTACACATAAGAGGAGTGATGAATAGATATAAAATGAGTAATGAAGAAATGGGATTGTTTAAATAAGTAAATGGATCTATAAAATTCTTTTACCCTGGATCCAAAGATTATTAACCATTAGCCCTCTTCCCCCTTCATTTCTATCGGCCGTAATATTACATCCGTCGCAGCGGGCGGAGCCTTCCGTACGTTTCCCTCCGCAATGCGGAGAACAATGAATAACCTCCAGATCAGAATTGTTGGGACAGGAAATGGTACTTGCAATTGAGTCAATTCCTTCTCGCAATTAGAATGTGCGAATGCATTGCTACGTAGTCAACCTTGAGTGGTGAGAAAATAATCGCTGCACTAATTACACATTTCACACCTGTTATACAGCGGCGCACAGAACTGATCCATCACTTGCATAGCACTCATCCGTAACTCTAGAAACCCATCTTAGCGTGATGTATGTACTTGTTGGATGGATGTCCGTTCCGGACGCTTCTCTCACACGGCGCCATTGAAATGGTATCTGAGGGTACTGTGCGTATATACAAACGCGAAGGTATCCTCTCCTTCTAGGATTTAAGATCAATCCTGCTACGTAGACATCGATTGTTTGTAATTACTATAAGCAATTACAGCTGTCTAGCTAAGAGCTTTACAAGTGACTAGATGACGAAGTGATATACAACGTCCTGTATGGATCATGTATCCAGTTACGAAGTCCTAATTCAAGGTTCAGGTGATGAGTTCTATATGGAATTAAATGGTTTGTGGCTTATGGGAGACCTATCCATGAGTATCTCACCCGGAGATCAGTGATACATATCATATTATGTAGTAGCCTAGGCCAAGAATTCCTACGTGGCGCTTATATATGTACGCTGTAGCTGTATATATTTACATCGAGTTCAGAGACTGGAAGCGATGCAATAGACTTGTACACTGGAAGAGCACTGCTGCAGCGTGGTCGACAGATGGGGTCGCAAGCGCGCACACAATCGAGAGCTAATTATAGTTAGATAAACGTGAGATTACGCCCAAAGGTGTCTGAGATAACTTGGTAGTAGTTGGTGGTGGAATGGGGGGTCATGAATCAATACTTCAATTTATAACAGCCTAGGCTAAATGGAGCAAAGTACGATGGATAACGTAGTCATACTAACCGTATCTGACATAACCATAGGGCTTAGGGCTTGAAGACCGCGGCATCGGCGTCAGGCGTCAATGTCGGAGCTTTCCCCGCGAAGCTCCATCGAGTCGACGGAGTAACAAATAATCATACGTAACCTTAACTACTAGTTCGTTGGTGGCCCCGATTGTTCTGGACGCCTGCAGGTATCTACTTGATCTTCGAGGGACAAGCCTCTTTGGAATGGGTTGTTGAATCATCTGTTCCTCTCTAGAATGACGTCGCGCCTGGTCCTGGTCATTGGTGACCTTTTTATCCCTGATAGAGCTCCGGTAGGCGATTACGCTTGTTACCCTTCTCGACTCCCTCAATTCACTAACTTGCTCTCGCTAGGATCTTCCGGCCAAGGTGCGCACCGTTCATTTCTTTCTGCGTCAATCGGTATCCATTAGTTTGCAATCCGACCTGGGTTAACACAGTCGCAGTTCCGGAAACTCTTAACACCGGGGAAGATCGGCCAAATCCTTTGCCTAGGCAATCTGACCGACCGAAGCACATTTGAACTGCTTCGCGGTGTCGCCCCCGATCTGCAATTAGTCAAGGGGGATTTCGATGTCGACTCTCCCAATCTACCCCTCTCGAAAGTGGTAACCCACGGAAGCCTCCGCATCGGTTTTACACATGGCCACACCATCATCCCGCCGGGCGACGCCGATGCCCTGCTTATCGCCGCTCGCCAGATGGACGTAGATATCTTGCTATGGGGTGGCACGCACCGTTTCGAAGCTTTTGAAATGGAGGGGAGATTCTTTATCAATCCGGGAAGCGCAACAGGTGCCTTGAGTACGGGGTATTGGCCTGAAGGAGAGGACCCAACGCCTAGTTTTTGTTTGATGGATGTGAGTCGAGGCCCTCCTATGTCCTTACTACAAGTTCTCCTTACACCCCCCTCCATACTGAACTTTCGCTAGATCCAAGGTGACGTACTTGTGTTGTATGTCTACCAGCTCAAGAAGGACGCCGATGGTGCCGAAACCGTTGCGGTCGAGAAGGTGTCATTCCGCAAGAACAACCCTCAATAATGAGTTGACGTTTCGTAATAATTGCTTGTATATATGCCATAGAAACAGCCACGATTATGACCTCCTAATTCTACGTGACTCACACTTACCTGGCATTCCGCAACACGGCAGCGTCTTGAATCTGTTGTTGATGGATGTATTGTATGGTTCTCTCCATTCCTTTCTGAACTGGATGGACTCGTGTGTTTCTTTCTTAATGTACGGGGAATTCGGATGAAGTATTGATTTATAATAATTGATTTCTTTGATGCTTCTATGGCTGTAAATTACTAAAGTGGGTTAACTGGTTGACTTGATTTTTTCTGTTTCTCCCAGGTGCTGGAATAATTCCGCATTCATAAGATAGGCTACGGCGTATTCATGGTTCGGTGAGGTATTGTCTTACAAACTAGGTAAGAATTGAAAGGAGGGAAAAGTAGAAGATGAAAGAAGACGAAGAAAGAAAGGAAAGGTAAAAAAAAAAACGTAGTTAGGTACCAAGACCAAACAAAGGTGGTTTTTTCCAACTATGGAGTACTTGATACTGGATTTGGTGTGAAGGTTCAGATGACAAAAGTCGCTAACCGGAAACGAGCAGCAGTGAACTTCGGCGTCGATCAAACACGAGCATAGCCATTCGTGACCTACTTACGGTCTTCTACTTCCAATCACCAGTTGCATACCTTATTCTATTCACCTCTTCAATTATTCTATTCTAGATTTACTTTGCCTCCATTTTTTACAGCCTGTTATTTGTCGGATATTATATTTTCCCAGAGCTTTTGCTCCACTCCGCTAGCAGTCAAAGAGCTGCCGTTACTACCTGAGTTTTTCTCGGCGACTCCGTGGGTCGAACATAGAAAAGAGGAGGCATTTCTAGATTTCTTCCATAATGAATACAGAAGAGAACGAGGTCAAAGATGAGCGCCTGCAGCATCAGGAAGAAGGGGCCGATGATGAGGTAAGTTCTGTCTCTTCAAACTGAAGCTGAAGCTACATTGCAGACCGGAAGCTCAAACCGGGCGTTTCTGCATCGCTTCCGCTTTAATAAATTGGCCATCTTTCAGTATATCAGCGAAGCTAACATGGTTCTCTTGTCGGCAGGAGGAGATTGCGGCGATGAAGAGACGGGTAGCCGAAATGGAATCCGAGGCAGCGAAGTTGCGCGAAATGCAAGCCACCCTTGATCAACAGTCCGAGAACCTGCGGGAGGATAAAGAAGAGATCGATGCGCGGAGTATTTTCGTTGGCAACGTGGATTATGGCGCTTCCCCGGAGGAGATTCAGGCGCATTTCCAAAGCTGCGGCTCAATAAACCGTGTTACCATTCTCCTGGATAAATTCACGGGTCAACCTAAAGGGTGGGTTGCCGTCTTGCTCGCCTTCGGGCCTTCTCACCCCCCACTTCTACGAATTCACTCCATGTTGCCAGTGCTGATGCTTGCGGTCCAGATACGCCTATGTAGAGTTCGCGGAGCCTAGTTTGGTGGCCCAGGCCCTTGTTCTCAATGAAAGTGTTTTCCGTGGCCGGAACCTGAAGGTTAGTATTCCTATTTACTTCCCATCTTCATTGCCGCTGTCTAGTTTCCTAACATATATGCAGGTCGTCCCCAAGCGTACTAACGTGCCAGGCATGACTCGAGGACGCGGACGAGGTGGCTTCCGAGGCAGGGGTTTCTTCCGCGGCGGTTATCCTCCCCGTGGAGGCTACCGCGGAGGCTATCGGGGCCGGGGTCGGGGCTTTGCACCCTACTAAATGCATGGGACGGATGCCCGCACATTGAAGGGTGAATAGTTTGCATGAAAGAGAATGGAAGCGAGCCCGAACAAGTCGAGCAAAAGAGGAAATCGTCCGAACGCGTCCACACTAAGTCGATAAATAGTGAGGCTTCTCTAAATTCATGGAGTTGGGGGGATGGGATGTACTGTATGATAACCATCTGGCAACCGGTAGGATGGATTCCGCTTGTTTCTATGATATCACCCATATTCAACTGGGGGCACTTTTTCTTATTTATTTATTTTGTTACGATCACTGCCAGTTTTGAGAGGCCAAATCTTACAGGCTCAATGGCTAAATAAAAAGAGTAAAAAAGGTCAAGATGCTCATTTTAATTTAATTTAATTTTCATATGTACAGTACATGTGAAGATACGAGAGGTACAGTACTTTGGACGTGGTGGTAAAACTATGCCCCACTGCCTGGTCAGTAACCAGACATGACCCGTCGCAATATCTCTGCGTAGTATATACGAATACTAGATGTCTCCTAAACAAGGGGGTAAGGGGGCATTAGGGGTTTAATCATAATACTATAACTAGAGTGAATGACCCATGGTCTGGTATAGTAGGAAAGTCTATATAAAAATAGAGAGATGAATTTTGTTGCCTTACGGGAAAGCCACTAAATGCTTGGCTGGGCTTGCGGGCGTTTCTTCCATTCGAATGGGATTGAACAGCACGCGGGGCTTCTGCTTTTGGTGTGATTTGCCTGGGAAATCCTGCTCAGCCGCTGACACCTCAGGTTTCAGGTATCGAGGTTAATGTGAGTCTTCACATCACATCCACACAAGAGGAGTAATTAATCTTTGGTAATTTACCAACAGGAAATTTCGAGGTGGTTTCTGAACAGAAGTTGAATATGTATGTATTACTTGGAGATGACAAAGTACAATGTATTTCGTATGTATGTATGTATGTATGTATGTATGTATGTATGCATGTATGTACAGTATGTACTACGAACATATTGAGGATCATGGTATAATTGCTGTGAGGGAAATATAATAAATTAATAAATTATTATATTTGTTGATTTTCAATACTAGTATAATTTTTCTTTTCCTTTTTACATATTATATTCTTTTCCCATAACTCTCTCAAAAAAAATTAATTCAACAACACCCCCTCCTTCGCCACGATCCGCCCACACCCGCAACGGCCAATACCAAACGGTAGGCAATCAGTCGCTCTTGTCCGGAAGAACCCCTCGTAAGGCGATGATTGGTTCGTAAGGCGCAACGTCAAGGACCTCGCTCAGCCCCAAATTGCCCGCGCCTCCATCTTCAGGCTTAGTCTCCCCGTTATCGCCAAACCTCAACTCACTTTTAGTTTTCTCTGTTGCATCAATCATCATTCTCGCTCCCCGTTTCAACCCCTCCCCTCTCCACCTCCACCGCCGCCTCTGTCATTCGATCTACCGCCGACCTGTGTTCCCGATCTTTCGACTGCTGTCTAGTGTGCGGTCTGTGGACAGCGGTGGATGCGCACGCCGCGAATTACCTTTTAGGCTTGTCCTGATCGGCCGTTTTGCTCCCAGAGGCGTGTACTGTCAGCTCCCTTTCTTCCTCAGTACACGATGGGTTCCAACCTGCCCGCGTAAGTCTTCCCCGGCTGCTCCTCCCACCCCCAGAGAACTTCTATCGCGTGGAATGAGCAAAAGGTCCGATGGCGAGAAACCTAGGGAGTGCTAACGAATCAATGACTTTTAGCCAGCCGAACCTCAGGGTTACAAGTAAGACATCACCGATCCTATTTTTCTATCTAGGGATGGAGGACAACTGCCCAGCATTTTTCATATCCATATACATCTGTTTGAACATTGACGAGTGAAACTGACGCTCTACCTCTCATTAGTTATCGCGGCGGATGGACTATACAAGCGCGATGTCTTCCGTATGTCCCGCATCCCGACCATCATCTAACATTTCTCACTAATCCATCCCCTCTCTGTTCAGGGTTTCCCGATCCTTTCGCTGTGGCCACTGTTGGGGGCGAACAAACCCATACAACCTCGGTGATTAAAAAGACATTGAACCCTTACTGGAATGAGATGTTTGATTTGTATGCTTTCCCGGTCACGTTTCGACCTCCCCATGCTGATCAGTTGCAATACAGGCGAGTCAACGAAGATAGCATCCTTGCCATTCAGATCTTTGATCAAAAGAAGTTTAAGAAGAAGGATCAAGGGTTCCTTGGCGTGATCAACGTGCGGATTGGTGATGTGATAGATTTGCAAATGGGTGGTGATGGTACGAGTGAACCGCCGTCCTCAAACGGTTCCCCTCTGCATTTGGGCGTGTCTCGGCTGACTTATCTTGTTCCTGTTCTTGTACAGAAATGCTCACTAGAGACCTGAAGAAGTCCAACGACAACCTTGTTGTGCATGGCAAGCTCATCATCAATCTGTCCACCAACCTGAGCACACCAAATACCAACCAAGCAAATGGCTTACATCGATCACACATGCAGCCATCGACTTCCAGCGGGCTTGTGCCACAGGTGTCGGCATCGACTCCACATCCATCTCCCGGCCCAAGTCAAACTGATCCGACTGCGTCAAATCCGTCTCTCCACCCTCAGCGTGCCCCATCGACTACTAGGCCCAACAGTACAGTAGTCGTACCTACTAATGGAGCGGTCGCTCCACCTAATGGTCAGCAAGGCTCTCGTACAAACCTCAGTTCGTTTGAAGATAGCCAAGGACGCCTGCCAGCCGGCTGGGAGCGACGAGAGGATAACTTGGGGCGGACATACTATGTGGATCACAACACGCGGACCACCACTTGGACCCGGCCATCGAGCAACTACAATGAGCAGACGTCACGTACACAGCGGGAGGCCAGCATGCAGCTTGAGCGGAGAGCCCACCAGAGTCGCATGCTTCCAGAGGATCGTACCGGTGCGAACTCACCCAATTTGCAGGAGAACCAGCAGCAGGCCCAGACCCCGCCGGCCGGTGGCAGCGCCAGTGCTGTCTCTATGATGGCCACGGGAGCGACCACCGCAGGCACTGGCGAGCTTCCGCCAGGATGGGAGCAGCGGAGCACACCCGAAGGGCGACCATATTTTGTCGACCACAACACTCGCACTACGACATGGGTGGATCCCCGACGACAGCAGTATATCCGGATGTATGGCCAGAATGCTAATGGCAATAACACTACCATCCAACAGCAACCGGTGTCCCAACTGGGGCCGCTGCCCAGTGGCTGGGAAATGCGTCTGACGAATACAGCCCGTGTGTACTTTGTTGATCACAACACGAAGACGACTACGTGGGACGATCCCCGCCTACCGTCGTCGTTGGATCAGGGTGTCCCGCAGTACAAGCGCGACTTTAGACGTAAACTGATCTACTTCCGGTCACAACCCGCTTTGCGAATCATGTCCGGACAATGCCATGTCAAGGTACGGCGTAACAACATCTTCGAGGACTCCTACGCCGAGATCATGCGGCAGAGCGCTTCGGATCTGAAGAAACGTTTGATGATCAAATTCGACGGTGAGGACGGCCTGGATTATGGCGGTCTGTCCCGGTGAGTATCCCCGCAAAATATAGTCGAGACGTGCTCAGTGCTAATTCTTATTAGTGAATTCTTTTTCCTTCTCTCTCACGAAATGTTTAACCCCTTCTATTGTCTTTTCGAATACTCCGCACATGATAATTATACCCTGCAAATTAATCCTCATTCGGGTGTCAATCCGGAGCATCTGAACTACTTTAAGTTCATCGGACGTGTTGTTGGATTAGCCATCTTCCACCGCCGTTTCCTTGACTCATTCTTTATTGGAGCGTTCTACAAGATGATGCTCCGAAAGAAGGTTTCGCTGCAAGATATGGAGGGCGTTGACGAAGATTTGCATCGCAACTTGGCGTGGACCTTGTACGTTCTTATAGCCTCTCTGTCGCTAGGTACATATCTGGAGCTGATACTGACCGTTCATAGGGATAACGATATCGAAGGCATTATAGAATTGACGTTCTCAGTTGATGACGAGAAGTTCGGAGAGCGCCGCACGATCGATCTTAAGCCGGGTGGTCGGGATATACCTGTTACTAACGAGAACAAGGGGGAATATGTTGAGTAAGTTCGGATTTCAAAGGATAGGCGAGATATTAGGAATTAACGAGGAGTTAGGTTGGTTACTGAGTGGAAGATTGTGAAACGGGTTGAGGAACAATTCAACGCTTTCATGTCAGGCTTCAACGAGCTGATTCCTGCTGATTTGGTTAACGTCTTTGATGAACGCGAGCTAGAGCTGCTGATCGGCGGTATCGCGGACATCGACGTCGATGATTGGAAGAAGCACACCGATTACCGTGGCTACCAGGAGTCGGATGAGGTGATCCAGAACTTCTGGAAGATTGTCCGCAGCTGGGATGCGGAACAGAAGTCTCGTCTGCTCCAGTTCACCACTGGTACATCCCGTATCCCGGTTAACGGATTCAAGGATCTGCAAGGCTCTGACGGACCGAGACGGTTCACCATTGAGAAATCTGGCGATCCGGGGGCACTGCCCAAGTCTCACACATGGTATGTTTTTTTCTTTATCTTTTTCTTTTCTTGCCCGGCATATGGCAGTTAGAGAATGGTTTGCTGACTATCTTTTTTCTTTTCTTTTTTCCCCTTTAGCTTCAACCGTCTGGATCTTCCTCCGTATAAGACCAATGATGTGCTCGAGCATAAACTCTCAATTGCTGTGGAGGAGACATTAGGTTTCGGACAGGAGTAGATGCTGATTTTCATGGATTCCGAGACAAAGATATTTTGCATACGAGTATAATAATTCCGCCGTCGCATGCTGCGCGAACGGCATGCAAACCAATGCGATTGAGAGGGCACATACGCACCTTTGTGACCCTTTGGCATCCCATATTCCCCCTTTCGTTAGTGGTCTTCGTCTTGTTGTTGCATGCGGCTTTGGAGCAGACTATATGATTTTTCTTATTTTTCTACTTTCGTTACTTTCATTGTGGTGGCTTTGTATATATTCTGTATTATTGTCCTATGGAGAACGAGCTGACTCCATTTTGAAGAATTCTGATTTCTTCCTTCTCTATTTCTGTCTTTCTCTCGATTTGAGGAAAGCTTTTTCGTATTCTTTTTAGGGTTTGCGCTGTCCTATGGTGGCATGTGACCCGTCCAATTGGATACATGATACATCAACGACCTTGCCAGACCTCGATTCAATAGACCTTTCGAATACTTAGCCATTGGATATCAGATAATTCGCCCCTCGACATGGTGCTTCACAGCTAGGAGGAAGAGGAATCCAATCAAATGGGAAAAGGGAAGAGAGGGGATATGTAGGTAGTCCTTGCATCTTCCTAATCGGACCACGTTCACACCCCATCCGCTAGTTGATATCACAATATCCCCGTTTCATTGACAGTATATTAACACCGTATTGAATATAAAACCACCCACTAATAAACCCAGTCAGCGGTGTGGACCATTCACATCACTCAATGTGAATCAATCTCTCGGGGTGGCTGATATAGTTCGATGCAACGCCGGCTATTCATAGAATCCACCCTTTCTCCTCTTTGGCCGGTTTTATGCAGACAGTCACGCTCATATTATCTTTGACCATCAGGAAAACCCCTGTGTTTTAATTTAAAAGCTTGGCTGTCCCCTTCTCCTTACTTTTTTCCTTTTCTACGTTCTTCTCCTTCTCCAAGGCTATCCGGCGGCTACATTTCCTCCGTACCCTATACCTTTTTTTACCCTTAACTCTCCATTCGACAGCAAAACCAACGTAAACATGCATCTCGCACTCGCCACAACTCTCCTATTAGGGTCTCTTCCCTTCTTCGCCGTGGCACAGTCTACGCAGGCGGCTGCCACTCCGGCAACAACAACAACTTCAACGGATGCGAAGTGCGCTGCGCAAAAGTATGCCATATAACCCTCTCCCGTCTGGACCCCCATAGTAACAATGCCCGTTCAACCAGTATCGTGGACGATTGTCTACAACGCATGGGGGATCAATTAAAGACTTGTGGCCCGAATGAGTGGAAATGTCTCTGTGAGCAGCAGGGCAATGTGGTTACGTGGGTTTCGCCTCTTTCCTTACCCTCTAGTCCTGGCAGAAACAAACATATACTAATACATCTAAATGTACGATAGATGCTACAACAACTGCCCTGGTTCCGCAGCCGCCGGGCCTGAGAAGCAAAAGGAAGAAACCTACTGTAATGCCGCAAAGACGCTTCCCTCCTCTTCCACGAAGATTGCCACGACGTCGACTTCCGCAGCCTCTTCGACCAAGAACAGCAGTACCTCTACTGCAGCTAGCTCGACCAGTACGTCCAAGGGTGCAGCCACTCTTCCCACGGCGGCATTCGGTACAGTTGAGGGCGGGCTGATGCTTGGTGTCATGTTGGGTGTTTTGGGAGTTTGATTTGTTCTCCATCGAGTTGAGTAAGGGTGGTATCTTAATAGCAATCTTTCTTCTGTCCATTCTTGATGTGTATGTTCTTAATGTTATTTAATGTGTGATTGGAGGTTTCATGTATGGCTGACCACTTTCTGTTACTTATATGGATGTACCTGTGCTTCGTCTAGTGATAGAAGTATCTTTTCATATCCAATTTATCTTCAATCGGAACTCTTAATCTGTATATGATGATAAATGCGTAGAGTATCCTATAAAACACGATAGCGCAGCCAGAAAGAGATCCCTAGAGCCGTCCGCAAACATATTCCGCTTGCCCCTAAAAGCCCACATAATCTCCCCAGTCCCGCTAACACAAGTGACGGTATGCATATACCGGGACGAGATCAGATAGTGCCCATTCGCATGCTTATCGACGCTGTTGATATGGAAGAAGTCATCAGGCATGAGCACTGGAATTACTCGTCCCCTTGCCGGCTAGGGAGAGTATCTCTCCTCAACACCGTAGTGCTCATTCGCTCACTATTCGAACAGTTATTCCACGGTCTTGATATCGATCTCCTGGACTATTCTGTCGTAGATCCATCCATCCACTGCGCGCACCCTCCCAACAACGCCCGTCAGAGTGGCCGAACAGATCTCGTAAACGATCATCCTCTCCCGCCCAAAACGTCAGATAATCCTGCCCCCGATACTCCTGTACCCTAAAGCCTATGATCATCCCGAACCGCTTCTCCATATATTCTAGCTCACACCGTTTATCAAAGATCAGGGGCCTCGGGTGGGGGTAGAAGTGGCCGCGCGGACTGAGATGTACTTGTCTTCGCAGCGGGGTTCCCATTTTAGAATGTTGGGTTTGGGGGAGGGGGTGTCCGAGGCCGAAAGATTGTATTTTGTTGTTAGGTGGAGGCCTTGGAGGCGTAGCTCATAGGTTAGGGTTGACCAGGTGTGAGGGCTTTTATAAGGAGGGTGAGACTGAGGATGGTTAGGGTTAGGAGGAAGGGCATTTGGGGTGGCGATTATGGGGAGGAGTAGTGGTTGTATCATGTCTGATTGATTGTTTGGAGGTGTCGATGGTCTGGCCATTGGGGATTCTAGTTTACGGAGGTTTGGGTATATCAGGTTAGGGTTCACTACGAGGATTTGTCTACGAGGCGCAGTTCGGAGAGGGGTAGGGATAGAATTATTTGGAACGTTGCAGTTATGGTAGATAGAGTGAGTCTACATAGGAGAAAGGAGAGAAATCACTGATGCGTTCCCACTTGGAGTTTGTGGTGAATTCATCACCACGGACGCAAAGTGAGTGACGAGGACCGCCAAGAGGGATGCCACAATGTGGGGATTCTTCCGCCTATAGCACTGCTGTTGGCTAGAGGTGTGGCCCCGGTGTTATCGGGCCCGCTTGAATAGCGCCAACGGAGCTAACCAAGCATTGAGGAGACGTCAATTGATCCTCTTTGGTTGGATTTAGAGGTAGCTTGGGTCGTGTGGAGGTAGTTCATTGGCCCTACTAATCTATGCTGGAGAATATTTGCTTCTAGTCCGTACTGACGAGGTAGCTAAGATACCCATTAGTACGTTTTACAATTTCGAAGTTGTAGCCCTAGACATGCTTAGCACTGCTAATCTAATACTGGGTCACATACAAGTACAATTGGATATCACTGTGAACAGTTACGAGACAAATCAAGTCTTCTTCTTCTTAACATCCCACTCCCCCTTCACTTTCTCCCCCTCATAGCGCTTCCTCTTGATGTTAGGATTCGCCTTAGCCTCACGCACGTCCTCATCCGCCGGAATCAATCCCTGATTTTCCAGCTCATGTTCCTCCAGATACCCGGAGACGTCAATATACCTTAGGACATAAGCCACCTTCTCGACATCCGCACAAGAAACAGCCTCCTCCCCAGCTCCAGATCCATTCAGCCGGGTCCGCAAGTCAGTCACAGCAGTCCACAACATCTTATACTCCGCAAGGTCATATTTAACATTGAGCTCCCCATTCGGCCGCCTGAACTTGGCCGCCCTCTTCCTCACCTCCCGCTTCTCGCACTCCTCACTGTCCTGACCGAGCTGGGTCCTCGGACGCGGGAACTCCCTCATACACACCCAGAGATACGAGTCGTCGCTGTAAAACGGCTCCTCACGCCCAGGCCCACAGCTCGTCCCAACAGACAAAAGCAGCGACGCGGTAGCAACACCCACACCACGAAGCGGTTTCACCAGATTCTCCAAGGCTGTTTTGGGAAACCCAGCATCTTGACCAGCAAGCGCAGTAGCAAAGGCATCAGAAGTAGACTTCCGAACCGTTTCGCCCTGGTTCTTCTTCACCATACCCAGCAACGTAGGCCGGAAGATCCCATGTTTCCTAAATGACCCCGTTAACGACGACTCAAATCAAGTCCCCAAAGGTTAAAAAGATTAAAACAAACATACAGCTTCCACTCAACCAACCTGACCACCTCCTCCTTCTCCAAAAACACCCCACCCTCAGAAGCCCTCCCTTGCACGACCCCAGGAAGCTCCTCGTACCGAAAAGCATCCAGAGCCCGATACGCCTCTACCTCCGACTCAACCTGGGCCTTCTGCTTGTCGTCGATCTCCGGGGTGCCGGGTTCCGAAGCAGGGGTCTGTCGAGCCCTTTTCGCCCCCTTGGCTTTGGACGAGATGACCCGGTCTGTGGCTTTGCGGCGTGTTACGGCCTCCACCGTCGCTGGGTAGTAGTCTAGAAGTGCTTGGAAAGTGTCGCCGGTGATGTGCCGGGGGTCGAAGTTGTGGTCTAGGTCGCCTCCCATTTCTTTTTATTATTATTTTCAGTCCCTTTCTTGGTCTTACTTTGGGTGGGATGTGTGGGTAATTGAAGGGGAGAAGAGAGTAAGTAGTAGACGGTGGTTTGCAATTCGTCGACGGCTTGAGTTTGCGGTAAGTTTGGTATTCTGCGGTACACTTTCCGTACGCATGTACTACTGGAGCTACAGTATATGTACCGAGAGTACATTGAACTACTCCGTAGAACAAGAAGAAATTGGATATTGAAGAACTAGGACTTTTCATCCTCAATCCTTTTATTGGTTGATTATCAAGTACAGCGAATCATCCATATAAGTAGAGAATCGTCAGAGTTGAATCCGTAAACAAGCGCCAGAAAACGCTCAACTGCAACGTCTCGCATCGCACAAAAACAATAAAAAAAAAAGAGTAATAAGAACTCGAAAACATGCATCCCACTAAGAATTATCCTCCAGGCTGAACTGGATCATGGCAGCCACGGTCCCCATGTAAACACAAGTTGTAAAGGCCTAGAGTCTCAGACAAAAACACCCATGGAGAGATGTATAGGATTACAACAGACGAGAGGACTAGCCCCTGCGAGTATGGGATAAGAGTAGAGAAAGAGAGAGTATGAAGAAAAAAAAAGTCTATCACATTTATTGTCCTCCACTAGGCTTTCGCTTGTGGTCCTTCTTCCTTTTCGCAGGACTAGTGTCGGGGCTGGCAAAGCTCACGCGCTTCTCATCCTTGCCACGGTTCAAGGATACGATCGACGCGGAGAGAAGCCCATCTTTCTTCTTCGAACTACCGCGTCCCAGCGGCTTGGAGAAGGATGTCGAAGGGTGAGCGGCACCAGTCATGCTGGGGTCGGATTTGGGATCGCTGGTCGTCGTGGAGCCGGTGGTGTCTTCGTCGTCTTCCACATCAATGTGACTGAAGTCTTCTTCGTGATCCCCGGCCTCGGATGAGCTAGGACCCGGACTATCCGAGTCCGACGCAGCTTCATAGTCGTCGTCGTCGCTCACCAGACTCGGAGCCTGGTTCGACTCGACTGTGTTGGGACTCAGGTTGGCCGACCGATCGACACCGTCCACTTCACGAAGGTCGTCGACCACCGATGATGGGGGCCCATACGGCGATTGATAGGGCGCGGGACGCGGTGGCGTGTGGGTTTCCAAAGTGAGGGGCTTATGACTCGTCTTTTCCACCCCCTTTCGGCTCCCCGGCGGCCGCGTCCCAGTTTGTGGAGCTGTTGTCCGCATTGGTTGACGGCCGATACGAGCTTCAGCTGGCTTTTCGCCGTGACTCACGTCAACCGGCGGTCGCGCCGGCTCCACGTCCGATTCGCCTTCGTCAGATGAGTATGCACTAAGGTCGATGGGGGTCTTCGCCTCCCCGACCAGTCGGTCCAAGTCGAGTCCAACACCCTTGAGCTGCATTAATGATGACAGATGAGGGGTAGCGGGTGAGCCCATGAAAGAATCATCCGCTGGCTTCGCAGTCGCAGGTGTATTGCGCCCACTAGGAACATGATGAGCAGACGGACGGGGTGTTTCCACCACGGAGGACGCCTGCCGGCTAGAGACCGACCGATTTCGGGGCGTTGCATTGTCGCCGGAGGCTTCCGACGCGGAAGGTGCCTTGGAGGACGACTCAATGATGTGGGCCGATCGAATGAGCGGATGAACGTAGCCTGCCGTGGCAGTACTGGAGGTGTTATTTTTGTCCCCAACGATCGCACCGGCTTCGTCCACCTCCACAGGCTCTCCCGACGCTACTGCGGCTGCATCGTGACTGGCAAAGTTCCTATTATGGGCAATGCGGCAATGGTTAATGAATCCTTGCGTGCTGGAGAAATTGTCTCTTCGACAGTCCAAGCAGACAAGTTTGACCAGAACCCCATCCGACTTTCGCCGGATGATCATCGGGCCTGCTTTCTCCTTTGGCGGGGGATAGCCATTTGGCAATGATTGCAACTTCATGCTACCGGAGCCCCTCTGGAGGCGAGATTTGCTAGCCCAGGAACCACCTTCACCACCAGAATTTCCACGCGTCGAACGACCCTCCAGCGGAGTACCGGGTGCGCCAAATGCTAGAGGGGTTGCCGACTCGAGTTCACCTCCATCAAAACGAGGGTCGGGGAGTAACCACCGGGCATAGTGGCGCGTGTAAGGGCCATCCGTTACACCCCACGGTGCCGGGGAGAGCGGTGGAGGTCCATTTCCAGGAGCCAACACCGCCATTCCCGTCCCGTTGCTGACCGCTGGACTCGTGGCATGCGACCCAGGATACGGAATCTCGGCGCACCTTCGCAACTGTTCCAAGGCGACTTGACATTTGGCGATCTCTTGGTCGATCAAGCGTAGTTCATTGTGCTTCAACAACACCTCCAAGCTTAACTGAGCTTCCAAGGTCTCGCGCAACTGGTCCACATTCACTTTGCGCGGCGTGGCGTCCTGTTTGGCGGTTGGAGACCCTGACGGGTCCGAACTCTGGCGATGCGTCGGATTGGACGGAGTGGTTGGTTGAGATACGCGATCGCTAAGTGAAGTCGGTTGCTGCGAGGCCGTATTCGCACCACTGACGGCTAGAGATGAGTTTTGGTCGATCGCGACCGGATTACCAGGTGTATCATCTGCGCGCAACTTCGTTGCGACCGGGGCATCTTGACCGGCGATCGAATCGCTTGAATCGGAGCGCTTGCGCTTCAACTGGGGCAGCGCCAGGCTGTTCACGCCTGGCGCCGCGCAGCGTGGTGAGGTCGCGAGCATTTTGAGCTCCTCAGCCATCACCTTATTCCCCCCAATAGCAGAGGACCAAGGAAGAAGCCGAAACATGCCATGCGAGATGTGTGCAAAAGGGGAGAGATAAGCTGTTCAGATAGGAAGGCGACTGGTGAGAGATGCGACACGTCCCAAAAGCGGAAGTAGGGGAAAAAAAAAAAAAAAAAAGAGAGAGAAGAAAAAGGACAGTTCAAAGGTGAGCGATTAGATCATGCACCAGTGCATGCGAAGGCGATCTAGATCTGGGGGGAAAAGATGGAGAGGTGGAGAGTGAGGCGTAGAGTCCGCAAAGGAGTGGACGTTGCTGCCGATCGTGTAATCAGGCGTTGTTTGCGACCGGCAGAAGCTCAGCAAGGGGGGAGGGAGAAAGGGGACGGACAGAATCAAGCCCAACCAGAAACACCGAGTGTTAGGAGCGGAATCACCATGTACAAGTAAAGGATGATAAGGTTGGGGGTTTGAAGTCAGCAGAACGGGAGATCGTTTCTTTTTTTGTTCTTTTCTTCTTTCTTTTAGATTGAATTGAATTTTCGAAGGCTGAGATTGAGAGTGAAAGCCAAGCTAAGCAAAGCGAACACAATAATGACAGATAACAATGCTATGAAGAGTATGGAGGGATAGAAGTATGCAGTGTATCCGTGTAGTACTGCCCCAATAAGTCCCACGGAAAGGATCCACGGGCTATTGTATTGGTAAAAAAAAACTGGAGGCAAAAAGACAAAACCCGGTGGTGGCGTAATCTATTAATAATAAAACACGGGAATAGGAACAGGCAGCAAAGAGTGATGAGGAAGGAGATAATATTTCTCCTCTCTCTCTCACTCACTCACACACTCTCTGTCTCTTTTTGCTTTTTTTTTGTTTTGTCGGTTTCAAACCAGTTCACAAATTTTGATACAGAATGGGGCAGAAAATCCGAGCTAACATGCAGCTCTAGTCAGAAATTAGGAGAGAGGGGGGCGAAAGTGGAAAAAGAAAAGTAAAACAACAACTATATAGAACGAGGAAATCGGAGGAAAAAGGACGGTGAAAAAAAACCAGGTAAAGTATTGATGAGATGGAAGATTGTAGTCCGGCCAGTGACCAAAATCCTTTGAAGGGGAATGGAGAGAGAGATGAAGCTTGAGAGAAGGGGAGAGAAGTGGAAAGAATCTGGAGAAGGGTGGAGGAGGAATAGATAGTTAGGAGTAGGAAAGATAGAGAAACGATGGGAGGGGCAAACCAGATGGAAGTCCAAAAGAGGAGAGGAGAGTGAGAGAGACAATCTTTACTTCTTGATTTTAGTACGACGGACTTTCATTGCACTGCACAGCTTAGTATTCTATCTCTCTGTTTGCATGGGGTAAACATGTAAGAGCCTGTACCGAGTTATAAAACGAAAGCAAAAGTACCTCCTGTTACTCGTATTAGTTATTACGATTATTATAATATATAGATATTGAATCACGGATCTTTCTTATTTTCCTTCTTTTATTTTTCTCAATTTTTAAGGCCTTCGCGAGCTCTGATTGAGTAACTAGGAATTGACTTCCCTGTTGCAATGCCTGTTTTAATCACAATGACACGTCAAATCAGCTCTCCCCCAGTGGGTCCATGATGTGATTTGGGGGCCTGGATGCGTCCATGGCTTCTTTCGGTGACGGTATTTACTGTTCTGTATGGTACTTTGTCTGCTTCTCATCTACTTAGTACTACTAACTATCGTCTTCGGTTTGTACTGTACAACTTTCCCTAAAGTAAAAAAAAGAGTAAATTAGTGAACTTTACCATCTGTGAACAGTCCTACCTTTCATGCGCTTGTAGTCGAAGTGTATATGTACTAGATCATTGGGTATTGCAGACTTGTTAATGCCCTAAATCAAACGGTAAGAAGATAATAAATAATAAATCACAATAATAATAGATGGATCACAGCAGATATTGCTCAAATAGGAATGATTAGAGTTAAACTTGGAAGTACTACAAGTGACAATCCAATTATCATTTGGACAGTGCCATGGAACCCGTGAGAGTGGTTATGGTTCCTCGATGACTACACATCATGACTACTATATACCTACGATTCCTGGACCAGCCCGTGGTTCGCTAGCTGCCTAAATTGGGTAACCACTACACTGACAGTGCCTGAGGTACGAACGATTACATCATTACATAAGGTCATCCCTTGCCTTTATCGGGGTTCTTTGTTTAGTTGTCGTATTAAGACTGGACATACTATACAATTAGCACATAATCATCACTGAGTATCTTCACCCCCACCCTTCTGGATCCTGATCAAGAGTCTCTTAATGGATGACTCTCCGCTGTACCAATGACCCTGACAGGGTCTATTCTCTTGAGTATACCAAGGCTATGGCAAGAGGTAGGTCTTCACTCTTGTGGAACCGCTCTTATAGGGACACCCCTCAGGTGAACAACGGGGAAAGATCTCAGAATGTGATCTCCAAGAGCGAAATGAAGGCCTCCGCACCCCACAATCACGGTTTTCGGCAGGCTCACACGAGACCACCAAGTGGACTGACTCCCTTATGGCTATGAAGAATCCTGTGGGGTTGCAGAATTGCTTTCTGCTCCACGCTTTATCCTAATTGGGTACTTTTCAATGCCCCCAACGGCCTATTGCGGGATACGTTCTCTACATTGTTAGATTGTGCAGATTACCTCAAAACACAGCACCCGGACACGTCTTTGCCCGAGGTGTTTTTCATTTGCCCACTAGGGTTCACGATGAGACGATCAACTTCGGAAATTCCTGTATGACTCGGCCTATGCTCTCTCGGCGCGAAGAAGGGCTGATGGCAATTGTTTGGCCTATATTAAACTGAGGATTGCTAATTGAGTCTTGCAAAATGTGAGGAGCTATAAGCGGCAAGAGAGCAGAGTTAAGAGTTGCTGCAATCATAATTGTCTCTTGAACATGCACGTGTCACCATCGCTTCTCATTACTCTGGGATGTCTTTCATCCGCTTTGGCAGCCCCTCATCCCAGAGTCCATAGCCCTGAGTATGTCAATTGGACAACCTATAAAGCTAACGGAGTGAACATCGGAGGCTGACTCGTCCAAGTGTCCACGATAGACAGCCACTTTTGGGGGGCATACTCCGGCGGAGCGGACGATGAATGGGGACTCTGTCAAAACCTAGGGCCCCGCTGCGGTCCAGTCTTGGAACATCGATATGCGACCTACGTCACAAAGAACGATATCGATAAGCTGGCCAATGTTGGAGTGGAGATCTTGCGGATTCCAACGACATACGCCTCCTGGGTCAAAGTTCCTGGCTCCCAGCTTTATTCGGGAAACCAGACTGCCTACCTCAAGCAAATAGCGGACTATGCGATCACCAAATATGGAATGCACATCATTGTGGATGTCCACTCACTTCCCGGTGGGATTAACGGCCTCACGATTGACGAGGCGACTGGCCACTGGGGCTGGTACTACAACGACACCGCATTCGATTACTCCATGCAAGTCGTCAATGCTGTCATCTCCTTCGTTCAGTACTCCGGCTCACCGCAATCTTACACACCATCGAGCCCATAAACCAACCCACCGATAAACCCGGATATGTCCGTCTTTGGAACCCCAGCGGCCCTCTCAGATCACGCAGCCGCCTGGGTGTTGAAATATATTTGCGCCGTCATCGACCGGATGGCATGCATCAACCCCAACTTCCCCGTCATGTTCCAGGGAAGCTTCAAACAGGGGCAGTACTGGTCCGACCAGCTCCCCGCCAATGCAAACTTGGTCATTGACGTCCACACCTACTATTTCGAACGCAATGTCACCTCGGAGAGCCTGCCGAGCCATTTGTACTCGGACGCGCGGGTGAAGGCTGGGGATGGCTAGTTCCCTGTGTTCACTGGAGTGGTTTATTCAAACGCAATCTCGCAACTCCTTCGCTCTTCGGGAGAGGAATCTGGATGCCGGCTTCGATGCCATGTACAAATATTCACATGGGAGCTGTTACTGGACGGCGAAGTGCTCGGAGAACGCTACGGTGACTGGGCAAGGATCCCAAAAGGACTACTGGAACCTTGAGTATTTCATCGACCAAGGGCGTATTGACCTGAGTAGATTTCATAATACGGAGTGAAATGATAAGTGCACTTGTCCTGAGGGCTGAGTGAATTCAAAGTCATTTGTCCATAAGACCTGTATACCTAAATAATAATGTTCATAAGATTCCCACCAAAACCAATCTTGCAATTTGACGCTCACTAAACAAGTAGCTGTAGCCCAATTTTGATCGCTATAACACAGGAAGCAAGGAATGTACAGCATACACAATTTACACGCACACACAAAAATAACTAAACCAAAGATGGAAAATGAAAGGCCGCCTTGTGATCGCTCATCAGACGAGACAATAATCTATCCACTACTTTTGCACCCTCGCACCCATTCATCCAATCCGCAAAAATATAGAGTCCATAAGTCGGTAGTCGGTGGTACCCATAACGCATAGAAATCGGCGTAGCGCAGCATCGTAGAAAAACAAGCACAGGCACGTGCCCCAATCAAGGTTGGGGGGGAGGAAAGCGAAGTCCAAAAAAACAGGAAGAACCAAACCCCACAAATGCAGGATTCTACTCCGTGAACCGGAGGATAAAGTTAACAATGATGGCAGCCAGTAAGGAGATCGCCAGAATGGTCGGACCGAATCGGTCGTCGATGCCACTCTGGCCGCGCTTCCGGATGCTGGCCGCGCGCCAGTGGAAGGTACAAAGGGCGTAGATCATGGCCGCCATGGCGATGATGGTGAAGAGGCCGGCGGAGATGCGGCCGACGCGGTCGCCGAAGTTCAGGAGACCGACGGCCAGACCGCCTAGGATGACAGTGAAGTTGAGCCAGGAGAGGAAGGTTCGCTCGTTGGCGAAGAAGACCTTGGGTTCGACACGGGTCGGAAGGGCGATACGCTTGCCTTTGGGGGTGGGGTGTTAGTTGGACATGGACTGCTGGAGAGGGATTGAATCCAAGTGATTCGTTCTTGATTCCTTACTGACCTGGGGCAGTCTGGAGAAGAGGTTGGCTCGACATTTTAGTTTGTGTGTGTGTGTGTGGGTACGCAAGGAGAGCGACGGGAGAGATATGAGCTACTGAGATGAATCCGGGGAGAGCTTGAAGGAGAGAGGATTTGTATACGATTGTTCCTAAAACAATCTCGACAGTCTCAGATTTAGAAAATACAATGGAAGGGATAGAACGACGCTCGGTTAAAGAAGGGGAAGAAAAAATAAATTCGAGACGCTTGGGGGGCTAAAGAGGATCGATACAGTTGCAGCAATCAGTCATTACTGCTAGTTATTTAAGCCAGGCTCAGTGCTTACCAGATTTAGCCTAGTGTGTGGCGTCGGCTTGGTTTCCGACAGTCCGCACGGTCCCACGTGCTTCAATTCGTCGCTGCTGTCATTGCCTGAGGTCCTGAGGGATTATCATTAATCCGTGTTTCTGTGGCGGTGACAGGCTAAGAAAGACGCTAGTATAAAAATGGCAAGTAGCTACTAAGCCAGCCTTGATATAGTATAGCGTGATGTGAGGATGATCCAACCATAGACCTTCAAGCCACAGGCATGACAACACGGTCAACTGTGCTCCTAAACATCCAGCAAACACGTCCTGATTGAACGAACCCCTTCTCTCCCTCGAATCTTGGAATCCCGCCAACACAGACACTTGTCTTATCCCTGCATACCTGTATACATTAGGTGAGTAATATTCTTCCACACTTTTAGTCCGTCAATTTGTCTTTTTGCCGACCCGGTGCCACACTCCCCCACAATCGTATCTTCAGATTCCTATCGACCTGCACCTGCCCACCATCGACACCGGCCCTTCTAGATCCCAATCGCAAAGCGGCCATGCTAACCCCTTAGATTTACCTTTGGGAACCCCCTCTTCCAGCCAAATACGCGATAACTACTCTTGCAATGGCTGTCGAGACTGCTCCCACTTCTTCGGTGCGTTTTCATCCTCTCCCGTCGCAAAAACGTCATTGTCCGCACCCGCTCGTCCATTAACTCGGTCCCCGCTAACATATATTTCCCTTTCACGCTCATAGCCCGTGCCCATTGCGGACCTCACCAAGATTGCTTCCGAGGTACGTTCCATCATCCTCCCCTCTACCAAGTCTCGGTGGACAAGAGTGCCTCTTATCGTCGGCTACAGCAATAACACGAACCTATGAACTAACTCTAACAAACAGGCCTGTGACTCCGCCCTAAACGGCGTCGAGGGATACGAGCACACCCAAGTCGGAGAATGGAACTCCCAGATCATTGTGTGTGCAACCGTATTATCAGGTATCTTACTGACAACCAACTAATTGCAACCACCCACTTTAGAACACCATCCTCAAAGCTCTCATCGCCGCTACCGCTCCGTCCGCCCCCTCGGCATCCGCCCCATACCGATTCACCGTGAACAGCACCATTGTGCAACAAGGCCTGATCGACAAGACTGCCGCTGCGGAGGGTGCCGCCAGCAACACCGGCAAGCGCGGGATGCATTCTGCCTCCGGCGCGTTCTGGGACGTCAACCGGGATGGAATGTGGACATTCAAGTACCCTGGTGCAGATGAACGGGGTCTGGATGTTGTTGTGAGTGTAACATGGTTCGCCGTCAACTAAATCTAAGCATTATCAAACTTGACGGGGGCAAAATGAAAGACAAAAGATTATTTGGTATATTTGGTGGTTCTTGTTGTTTTATTTTTCTATTGGTTTCTAAAGGCCCATGATTGTTCATGGTTTATTCTTTTTTTCCCGTTCGTTTCGTATTTTTTATTGTTGGTTTACCGTTTTGCTTTGGGAGCAAGGCGCCATGAGCCAGATGAGGGTTTCTGTCCTGTCGTTTGTTCGGATGAATTTTTTTCTCGGGTGAGCCTTATACCTTGTGTTTCTGATCATATCCATACATATGTAGAGAAATATAGAAAGAACTGTACAGATCGACTATTATACGTATATTCTTCAGTTCATATTGGATATACCACAAATCATACCCGAGCATGCCATCGACACGTAGACAGCCAAACTAATACAAGTGAGAACAAACAATCCTGAACTCCAATGCAGGAGGCATAATGCCCCCGTGCCTCCCCCAATCCCTGGCGCCATGCTAACCATGAAAGAAGTCTAACTAACAACCGACGCAACTGTGCTGACTTTGATACCCTGCGGATGCACACAAGATGTGCTCATCGAGGCTCAGAATAATCGTTCAGTGCAACACATACCGCTCCGCGATGATGTCCACTATACTGACGAATGACTTGGCCCGAAGCCAACTCCCATAGACGAGCATAATGATCGCTAGAAACGGTGACTAGGTAGGCTGAATCGGCGGAAAAGGCACAGTCCCACACCCATCGCTGATGGTTCGCTAGAGTGGTCTCTAGGTAAAGGGTATTTGTATTTGGATCGACTGGAGGACCATCGGGCTGTACGGGGAAGGTCTGCTGGGGCTCATTGGTGGGCGGCGGTGTTCCGTTAAGCAAGCTGAACGGATTGATGAAGTCGGCTCTTCCTTTTTCACTGCTAGGGGTATTAACCAGGCTTTCCGATGGGGCTGGAGAGGAAGGAGTTTCTTTAGGCTCGGATGTGGTGCTTCTGGCCTTGGCCTTGGCTGCTTGCGCGGCGGCTATTTTCGCCGGGGGATAGTCGAGATCGAGATTCCAAACTTTGGCGGTGTGGTCTGCTGAGCAAGTGGCGAGGTGTTTGACGTCCGGCGAAAGAAGGATCCGGGTGAGGTAGTCTTTGTGAGCTTGGAAGGTGCACATGGGGACGATGCGAGTTAATTCTGCATCTTGGACCATACGCCAGATGTAAACATTGCCCTAGCGAATCAATTAGTCTCGGCTCTCAAAGCGAATAGACGGACTTCTTGACATAACACAAAAAAGAGAGGAATGAACGTCGAATACCTTCTTATTCCCTGCGCACAGTAAGGATCCATCGCTTGCAACACTAACGCTTTGCACGGCAACATCATCCTCGGGAATCAGCTGGTGTGTGCAGACGCTTTCGCCCAGATCCCAAACCCGGACAATTCCGGCACGATCACCACTGATAAGTTCACCCTGATTGGGGTGAATAACAACATCATTGACGGGTGCCTTGTGGGCATAATTGCGCTGTAGGCTACCGGTGCGAGTGTCCCACACCTTCACCGTACCGTCTTCCGAGCTGGTGACCATCCACTTCCCTTCACAGTGAAATGCAACACCAGTAATATTGTTCGTATGGCCATCAAAGGTCATAACCGGGTTGGGATTAGTGGACTTGATGTCATATAACTTGACATTATTGTGACCGGCGGCCGCCAGGTAGCGCTTGTCTGGAGTAATACATAAGCGGTTTACTTGGGAGTCCGGATGCTGAATTGTCCGCGAGCATATCCCAGACAAAGCCTCCCAGAAACTACCATGAAGGGTTAGCGCGCTGAAGATAGAGGCGATCGTACAGCAAAATATGCGACTTACCGAATGGTGTGGTCATATCCAGCTTTCATAGTCAAGCGGTCAATTAGCTTCTACTATTTCGATGCCAATGCTGAATCTCAGCTTGTACTTACCCGTGCAAAGAATGACACTCATGTTGAAGATACGGAGAAACTAAAAGGGGCTGAAGAGAATTAAATATTAAAAACCCTTGGAGATTCCTTCCCCATTTACGGAAGAAAGTTGAATTGCTTCCTGCCGGCCTTATGCTGCGGCGCTTCTTGTCTGCCCGCCATCCCTGCCTGTTCTGAGCGCCCGGCACGTGAGCGGTCCTCGAGGCGGTGGGCGAGGCGGAAACGGACGAGGGAGATTAAAAGTCGACCCAAAAAAAAAGGGCCATCCTGCGTTTCTCTATCTCACTTAGCTCGGGATACCTTTGTTTTAGCCTTTTGATCCACTCTTTTATTTGGCTGTGACGATCTTCTAGAGCTCTCACAGAGGGCCTGGAAACGGTCGAACTATCAAACCCTTTTCACTTTCGAGTTTTGGTGAATCTTTGTTCATGTTCAGTTCAAACTACTCGTGGCTTCACTTCATACTTTGCGCCTTATCGAGTAACACTAGCTACTGGGCCATTCGTTCGTTTTGAATATTATTCACAGCGCTCAAATCCTGCAATCTCCAGCCAGAGCGGTACCGCAAAAGCTTTATACCTACGTGTTATACAGCCTGCGGAGGAAGATTTGAGATTTTCGATTAGAGGCGCGGTGGCGTCTCAACAGGTACGGACTGTAACTCAACGAAAAGGCTGTCCAAAGGAAAATACCAAGAACTTATTCTTACTTCTACATAGCCTGTGAGCATTATCGATGGCGATTTCCCTCGTATCGCTGCGTTGATTTTGTCGACGCCACATGCCTTTCGACGTACCTACAGAACCCATCGCACTTACTACATCTGAAACTTTTTCTTCGCATATTTAGAGGGTAATACCCCATGGTGGATACTTTGGTTTTCTGACCTACTTTGTGCTGGTTTGTCTCTGTTAAGATGGATGGAAGTGTGGTTGAAGGTATTTCTACCTCTCTCCAGACCTGCCCTCCCGATCTTCCAGGGCTTTTCGCTCTTGATGATCCTCCATCTCCCCCTTACATACATCATCTGCATGTGAATGATCTGGGGCTTACACCACCCCCTGGGTCGCAGCAGCAGCAGCAGCAGTCTGCCGATACTCAGGTGCCTCCGCAGGGAGTGAACCATAGTTTGCCGGACGACTGTGGAGAAACAGCGTGCACTAGCAACCAATCTCCTAAGGTTCCAAAGACAACCTCCTCAGTGCCGGGCATTGACTCAAGTCATGAGATTCATCAAGCCAACAAGCTCCGAACGAGCCAGGCGGCGTCCAAATTACCGGACCGGGATGTTGATCCTGTAGGTTTTGCTGGTTCGGCTGGCACAGTGCAATCACTGTTCGACGACCCCCTTTTTGATTCTGAGGCTGTGCTTCGCGAGCTCGATGCGGCCTTCGCGTCCCGAAAACGGACTGGCGACGAAGCGTTTCCCGAGCTTGGTTTATGGGGCCCACCAGAAAAGAGACGGCTTGTCGAATCAGAACAAGATCACAGAGCTCCTTCTCCCAGCGAAACCCCTTCGTTGTCTTCTCCTGACTCGTCTCACCAGCCTGAGCAAGGAGGAACCGCCCCCCAGACACCAGGTGTAGAAAGACTCCCGTCACCCAATCCACTCTTTGATTCTTTGGATGCCCTTTTTGAGGATCCTGACTTTAACGTTCCTTTGATACCGGATGATGAGCTTCCACCCGATTTCGAACTTGAACCGCCCCTCGTTCAAGACGATCAATCTAACCACACGCCTCCGAATCAGATATCTGCAGATAGCACTGATAATGTCCAACGTTCTTTTGTGCTTCCTGATGGTCCGATATCACGGGAACCTCCTGTCAGCGAGATCACAAAACAAAGATTTTCACTTGACTCGCATGATATAGTTTCCAATACCAGTCGTGAAATTCTACAACGAATTCACCAAGACCCCGAGTACACGTCCCCTTATCCAGCGTATGGCGGACCACTAGGCTATCTCCCTTCCGCGCCAGGTATCCACGTCAAATGTATTGAAGTTGCGGAAGACCGCATGAACTATCGTCTCTCCAACTTGAAGGACAGGGTCTATCAGCTCACCTGCGAACGGAACAAGTACAAGAACGCTTGGTTCCAATGGACCACCATAGATCCTGCGACGGGCAAGACCAAGGAACAACTATTGCGCGAAGAGAATTCCATGCTTCGGCGTGTTTCTAGCCAACATCAAAACCGGGTGGAGCAATATAAGAGAGAAGCGACAGAGTGGAAGAACAGGCTTCATGAGCTCGGCACTATCTACAACAACCTTCTCTACGATATCCATGTCCAGAGACAATTACCCGCAGTTGCACCAATCCCGGATTCATACAAGCCTCCACGTACATCTCAAGCTCCTCGAGGGCGATCTCACACGCCAAACTCACACGCCGCTACTCCAGTGCCATCTGGAAACACGCAACCACCCAATCAAGGCTCTCAGCCCCTACCCTCCCAGTGTTCTGGTGCTTACGAAGGTCAGCCGCCTGCTGAATCTCAATTAGCTCTGGGCCAAGGACCGGCCGAAACCAGACCAACTACAGTCACGATCGATTTGACGGACGAAACAGAGAGCCAATCCGCTCACTCGGAACCTTTGCAAGCAGAGCAACGTCGCATGGAGCTGCTTCAGTCCCTGCGAAACAAGAGATACGACTGGCTCCAAGGCGAACAGAGTGAACACGGTTTTCATACGACGTCGGCCTCACAATCTCCACTGCCTCAACACGGCCCTGCTCCCCTAACCGAGCGAAGTCGCAGTAACCCTCCGGGTCGTACTATTGCCCATCATAATTCCATCGACGACGAGTTGGCTCGTATGATGGAGGAGGAATTGGCAGAAGCTTAAAATTAATGATACCCATTTTATGACTTCAAAGAAGTCCTACTGTTGAATTTAACTTGCATAGCGATTAGGGAATATTGCATACCTACTACATCTACATGATAACCTGATTTTGCTCTACCAGATGTGTATCTGTGTAAATCTACTAGTAGTGCCCCGGCCATTGTAGCATGCCAGTATGTGAAGCTGAGACGCTTACACTTATCTATGAAAGAGTACAACAAGAATGTATGACAATTATTTCCCGCAAGATATACCATGCCCAGGGTTACGGAGCTCCAATTTTTTATATAAAGCATTTTTAGGTTATCCTCTAGCAGTATCTTCTTGTAAACACTTTTATTAATGTTTTTTTTTTCGGATAAAATGAAATATGTGATTAGGGCTTGACCGTCGTCTCCATCGACCACCCTGAGCACCTCCATAACCTGGCCAATTTTCTACCTTTGCGTCTGTGAGAATGAATGCCAGTTGTTTGTGATTGCGCGAAGATAAACAGTACAGACTAATATTGGATTAAATCCCACAAAGCAAATCTAAATACAAGACAGGACATGTTCGTCTACAACATGAAAAGGCTGTTAAGACACATTAACCAAATATGCACATACAGCAACTCAATCGCCATGCGACGCAGGGATCCCTTCTAAAATTACACACTGCGTTTGCTTCGAACAGCCGTAACCCCGTTAGACCCGGCCGTTACAAAAGCGCAATGACATTTTCGGAGTCGTACGATGGCCGGATCCTCGTCGATTTCATGGACCTAGTCGTGCTCGGGGAAGTCTGCCTCTTTGAATGCCGCCAGAACTCACGAAAAGCCCGCTGATACTCGTCTGTGTGCACATGGCGGTCTGAAGCTAAAATCCTGGCATGGTCGTTGGACAAGTGGTGTACTAACCAGCGCACTATGAAATAAACCGTGTTAGCTCGGCTAAAAAGGACATCGTCGAAGGGGCTACCACTGCAGTGTTTACATACTTATCTTCACGTGGAAAGGAGATGAGCCGTATAGCTGCTCGAAATATCGACATCCTGCCTTAGGCCTTTCGAGTATAGATATGCGTCTAAGAACATAATCGCCCCCGTGAGCTGTTTCATTCCCAATCATAACATGCTCTTCGTCTTCGTTGTCAAGGGTACGTCCAAGCCGGTCGCGCTTGCAGGTCGCAATGAACCGGTGTTTGACTTTCACCCAGGCATTTGGACTCTCGCTCCATTTGTCGGTCTCGCTCGCTTTTTCGGCCTCGGTCAGGCCCAGGGGGTTGCCAATCACGGGATTGCCGTTCACTTCATGCTTAGGTCTCCCTGCGTGACGGTCGTGGAAACTTGCTGTCTCATGTCCCGGATCACTGCGACGTCGTCCATGGCAGGAGCGATATGGTAACTGAGCACGGCGCGGATACTGCGTTCGTTTGGTGGGTTTGGTCTAGGCTTGGTCCTTGGTTGTCGGAGCTGCCCGGATAGGTCAGCTTGAGGAGCCGTCTTTGTTTTGCGTTTGGGAGCCATGCTGGAATGATACTTACTGGAGAGAGGAGGGAAGAGAAACGACGACGGGTTTTGCTGCGTCGATGTAGTTATAAGTGGAAGGAAGGTCTCCCACGTTTTTGAGGATATTCTTTGTTCAGCAGGGAAGGCAATAGGGCAGAGGACAGTCACGGTTGCTGTTTTTATAGTCTATAGGTCACAATGTTCCATCTTTGATATTCACTTATCAAGTGAATGTCTTTATCAGAGCCGTGTCTGGTTACCATTAGTTATTCTGTGCATCCAACAGAAGAGAACAGAGAATTACATATAGCAGGAAGGGATATATCTTTCAAGCACTCACAGCTCAAGGCTCACCGTGCTTTAGTAGTTGTTGTTAGTTGTTGTTGTTAGTGGTTGATTCCATATTCTTAGAGACTAATTTCTATTTATTTTTTCAATAGAAATACATCAGTACTGCCTTATTGGTACTCTGTTAATCTTTGTATTATTTGTATTTCTGTTGCTCACAGGCATAGTTTATCGGAGACTTAGTAGAGTGGGCAATCAATAACAGATGGAGTCTACTGTTCCATTGTATGAAAGGGTTATCGAATAAAGGTTAGACTCAAAAGAACAAAACACTCTAGCCAATAATAGGTTTTCTCTTAAAGAATGATATACGTATCGATTATAATGCTATTGCAACACAGACAATATGTATTTTTACATAAACACTCTACAGTTTGTGTACCAAACACTCTTTGTATACCTCAATGTGATAATATTATATATAGAGCTCTTTTGTCTATATATTATCAAATCTATAGAGAACAGGACAAGGCTAAACTTATACCTTCTAAAATAGCCCTACTAGGTACCACAACACATCAACTCATCAGTATCATACTTACTTGGAAGTGAGAAAGGAGGTATACTCCAAGTTGGTATCATAAGTAGTAGGGTTGTAATATGAAGTCAAAATCGATTATGAAGCCCCTTTTAGATGCGCTGAGAGGTGCTCCTATAAATACCTTTACAACGTTATCTATAGTAGACCTGACAGACTACGCATGCTCGAGCACAACGGTCCGGATGCTTGTAAATTGATTCCATGACAAGTCGTAAACATCGTAACGTAACATAAATCAAATGCACCTCCAATGCTGAACCCGAAGCCCAGAAAGAATCAAGGTCCGTATGAAGATCCCAGTCTATAGCACAATTCTAAAGTAAAAAGTTGAGATATATATGCCCGGCTTATATATATGGTCCTTTCTGTATGTCATCCATTGTATATTTTTGATGACCAGAAACGAAAAAAGACAGAGAAGAAAAAAAAACCAAACCCAAGGACCCACAACCAACTTTAACAATCTCTGAATAGGAGAGATGGGATCCAAGCTCACTCGGTAGCCGTCGTCGTAGCCGGACTGTGAGTACCGTCTTTTTCACGCATCGGCGGTTCGGTCATCCCCCCGTTCTTTAGCGCCTTCCTCGCTTTCCGGCCACCGCAGCAAGCCGCACAGCAAGAGCCCAACTGCAAGATGAACGAAATCAGGTTGCAGCCGCTGGCGATCCACATGAAGACCAACATGCGGGTGCCCAGCTCCGCCTCGATGTTCAGATTGTAATCCTCCGAGGTGAAGACGTTCTTGAAGATGATGAACATGACGGTTGCGACGACGGTGGCGACGACCGTGAAGAGCGCCGTGAGGAAAGTCAGAATGGAGAAGGGGAGGGCGCGGAGGAAGATAAAGGTGCGGCGACGGTGGGCGGGATGGGCGGCGTTGGCGTTGGCGTCAGGGCTGATGGTTTGCGGGGGTCGCGAAGAAGTCGCCAGTGGGGAGAGAAAGATCATGATGAAGGTCAGGACGGTGGAAAGGATGAAGAGGGCGAACATCCAGTGGGAGGCGATCCGGGCGATCTTGAGAGCGTCGGTGATGTTTCCCGGGAGGGCAACTGGTTGCGGTTAGCTCTGGGCTGTCTGGTTATGCATGCATCGAGGGGGTATTCAACGTACTGGTAGCTCCCGAAAGCAGTTCCGACATGATGATTTCGACTGGATTGAACCAGTACAGGGTCTCCGGTTTGGAGCATTTGGTGATGCCGCTGTCATTGTAGCCCTCACAGAAATTCCATAGCCCCACTTGGTAGAAATCGTGCAGACCGATAGAGCGAGCAATGCTGTTGATTAGGACGGCATTGGGTATCGACAGGGGAATGATATTGGAGAGGTCAACCTTGAGGAAGTAGGTCTGACGGAGTACTGGTTTGTCGGAGACATTGCCGATGACGACGAGGATCAGGAAGATCCATGCAATGAGGTAGAGAAAGGAACGTAGAAGCCGGTGCCAACGGACTTTGGAGGGACTCCTGGCGTATGCCGGCCGTTGAGGAGCTTTTCGGAAGAAGGGGAGGTTTGCCATGGACTCGGCACGTGTGGGACAATTTAAGAGTCGGAGTCCGGCGGGTAGGGCTGGAAAGAGAGAAAATAGGGAATATATCAATCAATTCGATATAGAGTGAGATATGACGTAGAAGGCATACACAAGTATATACAGGAGGGCGATTTTGTACAGAATTAAGATGCCAGAAAAATGTAGGGCTGGGAAGGAAAGAAAGGCAAAAAAAAGAAAAGGATGTGGAGAGAGTAGGAGGTAATATCTGTTACTCTCTGTATGTATTTTTCCCACTCGAATTGAACCTTAATGGTATAAAGTTGGAAAAACTTCGCAACGATCGGCGACGGCGTAATGTCGCCGTAAGGGTGCTTTTTTAGTAGGGTCGAGAATCCAGATCCCTGAGGAAAAAAAAGGCTGGACCGTTAATTGTTTTAGGGGGAAGGATCGTCGGTCAATCCTGGCCCTTCTTAGTTGATAAGCGGATTATCAATAAATAGCACCGTTGATCGAAACATGTTTCAATCTTTTCTTTTCTGTCACTCCACCCGGGGCCATACCTCCGTGTTCATACATACATACACGGCCATCCATTTACGTACATACATACCTAGTATGTACAGGAAGTCAACTGCTGCGGTACATGTACATACTTAACTTACAAGTAGGTAACCTATATTTATCACCTGCAAGCCATGATATGATACCTCGTGAATTGAAACCAAACCAAATCATTGTAAAATCAAGAAGAGGCTGAGTCAGCTCCGCCCGTGACACCTTGAAGCTTGCAGGTTGATTAAGTTAAAAGATTACGTGTCTCAGCTCACTTCCTTTTCCCATATTTAGACTGAGCGTTGTTCTGGATTTTCTCTTCTACCCGACCCCTGATGTGGGTTTCTTCGTTGGCCTTGCTGCACAGCCGCAACGTCATGGTAGCGTGACGGTCCACAAGTGGAGTCATGTTATTATTATTTAATTCCAGCTGCCTGTAGCTGGATCCATAATCATTGGATGAGAAGGAACAAGCAGCGGCCAACCAGCCCCACGGGTGGCATCAATCCTCGATCGCCCTATCGGCAACTCTTTCTCCATAGTAAGAACGGGTGGCTTGCAGTTCCTTTTTTCTTTTTTTTTTGGGCTGTGACTTGACAATACCATACCGGTCTTAAAGGTACTGTTTTACTTACCAGTGACCTTTTTTTCTCCCTTCTCCATCCGTCCACCTCTTTTCCTACTCTCTTATTTTCTCCTTTGCTGTTGATATTGCGTTGCTTGATACAATATATTATTTTATTACTCCTGTACTATATTTATTTCTATCATTCGTGATATACATTTTTCTATATGTCCATATATATACATGCTTGATAACTAACTACTCTAAACCCTTCCCCCTATCGACTACTATGCGGGTGATGATCCGGTTACTACCGCTATTGGCGGCACTCCCGACCTGGGCTGCAGACGACACTACTTCATCGGGAGACAAGACTACGACTTCGGTGACGGGAAAGGGCATGTTGACGCTGGATGGGACTATCACCGGGACAATCAGTGATGCCGCAACGCCGACCGGCTCCTATCAATCCATCACATCCACGGTCACTCTAGGGAATGGTCATGGGAGTGTGGCCGGCTCGCATACCGTCACAGGCTCCGACGCAACCGTGACAACGCCTTCGAATAGCACAGATACGAAAACATCCACCTCCAATTCTCTGACCGTGCTGGCCGGCAGCCAGACACATCTGATCAACGGCACCGCCAATGCCACTATGACGGCGTCGGCGTCGGCCTCCTCGTCCCCAGTGATCAATACGCAACCCTGCAATGGATATCCTGAATTCTGTGCGCGGAATTATTCGAACATCACTGTGGTTGCTGCCCATAACAGTCCTTTCGTTAAACCGGGCAGTGTCGCCGCGAACCAGGCGTTGTTGGTGGAAACTCAACTGAACGATGGGATTCGGATGTGTATGTGCAGAGTTGAAGCGATCAGCAATTGAAAGAAGAAACTGATGATGAAATAGTGCAATTCCAGACTCATCTGGTCAACAACACCCTGTACCTGTGCCACAGTAACTGCGAGCTCCTCAATGTCGGGACCCTCGAGGCCTACCTGACGACGGTGGCCAAGTGGATGAAGGCACACCCATATGATGTGGTCACCATTCTGATGGGCAACTCGGACTACGTGGATCCCGGGAATTTCACCGCACCCGTCCAGAACTCGGGTTTGATGGATTTGGTGTATACCCCCTCCAAGATCCCCATGGCCTTGGATGACTGGCCAACCCTGTCCACCATGATCATGTCCGGCAAGCGTGCAGTCATGTTCCTAGACTACCAGGCCAACCAGACGGCATACCCGTGGCTTATGGATGAGTTCTCCCAGATGTGGGAGACGCCCTTCTCCCCGACAGACCGAGCCTTTCCTTGTACGGTCCAGCGCCCACCGGATCTGGCCGAGCCCGATGCCAAGAACCGGATGTATATGGCGAATCATAACCTCAACCTCCAGATGAACGTGCTCAATCTCAACCTGCTCATCCCGAATACGGCTCTCTTGAACGAGACGAACGCCGTGGAGGGGTACGGAAGTCTGGGATGGATGGCAGGCAATTGTACTGGTAAGTTTTTCCTCCTATGCGTGTGGCGTTGGGCCGCTCTAACCGACTCTGTAGAACAGTGGAACCGTCCACCAAACTTCCTCTTGGTCGACTACTACAACTACGGCCCACAAAATGGCTCGGTCTTCGAGGTTGCGGCGAAGATGAACAACGTGACATGGAACGGCAAATGCTGCGGCGTGACAAGCGCGGGCCTGAGCCTGACGCCGCAGAGCGTCATGGCAACGGCTCTCATGATTGGAGGAATCCAATTCCTCGTCTCCATGTTTTGAATCATACGATACATATATATTAGTTGTATAGAATCTTTGGCTGGGAGTTACGAGACACGACTGCCCTGTTTTACTACATACATACATTAACGAGAAACGACACTCAGTAGCGCAAGAGATAGGGAATATAAGCCATTTACCCGATCACTCAACCCCGAACCTTGGGGGAAAGAAATATTAGTGTAGTAACTAACACTAATGGTATCTATCTACTCCGTTCACTGTAATCTGTAGGGCAACACCCAAATCAGTTTAGCGCACCACCTGATCCCGCATCACTTCCACCCACCGCCCTCTATATCACCAAAAAGAATCAAGAAACCTATACTCAATTGCAACTTCCCCTCATTACCTCTCCCAATTCTACCCCTTTCAAAAAAATTTTTAAAAATAAAATAATAAATCAAATACTCCCAAAATGGTCGACATAGTCCCCCTCTCCTCCTACCCAAGCTACATTGACCTCCTCCCCTCCATCCAGACCTGCAACATAACCAACCTCCCCGAAAACTACTTCTTAAAATACTATCTCTACCACGCGCTCACCTGGCCGCAGCTGAGCTTCGTCGCCGTCGTCCGCCCCAAGAATGGCTACACTAAGCAAATCGCAGGCAGCGGGGCCGCCACGCTGACGGAGCAGTATCCGAAGGTGGTGGGGTATGTTCTTGCGAAGATGGAGGAGGAGCCGACGGACGGCATGGCGCATGGACATATTACGTCGTTGAGTGTGATGAGGACGCATAGACGGTTGGGGATTGCGGAGCGGCTGATGAGGATGTCGCGTATGTGTTCATTCCTTTCCTTCCTCTTATTTTCTTCCTTGAAGAATGATTGGTGGGGGTTTGTTTGGGATTGGCTAATGTTGGTTGACCCTTTTTTTTCCCCCATTTTTAGAACGCGCTATGGCTGAGTCGCATCGGGCTCATTATGTTTCGCTGCATGTACGTGTGAGCAATACGGCTGCTTTGAGGTTATACCGCGATACGCTTGGGTTCCAGGTTGAGAGTGTGGAGAGCAAATACTATGCTGATGGGGAGGATGCGTATGCTATGCGCATGGATTTGACGGATATGTGGATGAACTGGGCGGAGATTGAGCGGAAGGATCGGCTGCGGGCGGAGAAGGATGGGAAGGATGCGGATGAGGGTGAGGAGGTGGGTGAGTTGGGGACGGAGAAGGAGAAGGAGAAGATGGTTAAGGTGAAGGTTGGGAGGGGTTTGGGGGTTGGCGATTTGGTGGAGAAGAATGAGTCGCAGGTTCAGGCTTAAGCTTCGCGGCTCTTCCTTTCCTTTTGCCTCTTCTTCCCTTTGATATTCTCACTCATCTTGGGATGCTAGAGCTTGTGTGCTATAGATATGGTTTGCCTGTTGGATGTTGACTGTCTGGTAGGGATTAACTATTATAGACCGAAAGGTCTACTTTGCATGCGCGGAACGCATGATGTATATGTTACATTGGTTGCCATGCTGAGTGGTGTGAATGCAGTCATGTCTCATTAAGAGTTGGAGCCTAGTATCCGCAACGCTAACTATGGCGGAAAAGAATAAAAACATTGGAGAGTAAACCATGTAAAACGGAAATATAGAAAAAGACTCGACTACCCATGAACACAGACAAGAGATGCTAATTGCTCTTCGACCCAAACACCGCCCACTCATGTACAATGTCCGCCAAAAGAAAAGAAATAATCAGCGATGAATTCCACGCAATTGCTCAATAGAACGAAATCTTAAAACCTTCGTTATTGACCGGACTTTTGGCCCTTCTCTTTCAAATCCTCGGATGCTTTGCTTTTGTTCAGTTCCGACTCCTTCGAACTTTGTTTTGCCTTCTCAGCCTCTTTCTGGCTTTCCTTCCCACAGGGCGGAGACTCGTCTTCCTGGAGGTGATGTGAAGATGCAGTACTAGTCGTTCGGATCGAGCTGATCTCGCTAATCTCGGTCACGGACCGCGGGCGCGGAGAAGGGAAAGATGTGAAAGACTGGACCGTCGACTGACTCTCCCGGTGAGTATCCAGGCCCAGGCTCTGCACCCGTAGCTCGAGACTCGGTTCTGACGGGGCCGCTTCGATCTGGCGAGACCGTTCCAGACGGAGTCGGTTCCGTTTCAACCGTCGCTGCTCCTTGTGCTCATCCCTTGCGCGCCGGAGGACATCCCGGAAGACCTTCCGCGTGGCCCGCGTCTCCTCTTTCAAGGCCCGTTTCTCAGCCGTGTTTCGTTGGTGCTGCTGGGGCGATTCCCATCGCCCGCCCCAGCCACGTCCGTAGCCCTGCTGCTGCTGCTGGGAGTGTAGGCCCCATCCGGCCAGCCTATTCTGACGGCGCGACTCCTGCAAAACGGTGAGCTGCCGGCGAAGTCCAGCTGCGGCTTCATGTAGATCACGATCATGATAGTCCTCTAGGGACAAGAGCTGTGCGCGAACAGTAGCCAGATCTGAAGCACTCAGTTCTGATGTCGTGGATAACGAATCAATGGATTCCAATGACGAGTCCGAGGAGACCGAACCCGTAGATAATCTCCGGACACGTTGAACAGGTAATGTAGCGACGGGCTCCACGGGCGTCACAGGTGTGACGGGTGCAGCAACATTGGCAGCCGGAGGGTAAGAGTAATTGTATGCGTTAGGATAGTAAGGCTGGCCTCGAGCATCGGCGGCGGGCCATTCGTTGCGGGGTCGGTTGACCAAACCGCTAAAGGCATCTTCCACCTTTCGTCCTTGGAGACTGGCCTGTTCTTCAATCCACCGACCATGCGCCATGGCGTGCTCTTCGACCTGTCGACCATAATGGGAGGCCTGCGCACTGATCTGATCTCCATATTTCTGGGCTTGGGATGCCAGCGAAGAGAACCAGCCAAGGGGTCCACTTTTAGAACCCGAATTTTGCTGTGGAGGAGGCCAAGCTCTGGCATTCCAGCCCCACGCGGCGTTCTGTTGATAGGGTATCTGTGCCTGAGGGGGATAAGGATACGTCGGGTGGTGAAGGGGCGGGGGATGATAGTAGTGCGGAGCCCCGTACGGCGTTTGTGGAGTAGGGGGAAGTTGTGGATTTGGATATGTATACGGTTGTGCAGGGGTGTGCGGGTTACCCGCCGGAGGAGACACAGCCTGCCTTGGAGCGATAGATGGATTCGGCCGCACGGTCAGCGCTGTCCGATTTTCCTGCGACACTCGAGTTGCTGCAGGATAACATCTAGGGCAGAGGGGCGACGCCGGTGCATTCTGCGGATCGGTGACGTAGGAGAATGTGATGCACGCTGCGCGGGGTTCGAAGAAATATTGGTTCCACTCGGTGATGACGGCGGATATTCGCATCCGGCGTTGGTCGTCCGTCTCTTGGGGCCGATCTTTGCGGTCTCGTTGGATTTCGGCCCTGACCTGACGGGGAAGGTGCCCGGATGAGGAGGCGAGGCCTAGGTGCGGAGGAAACAGATATCGTAAGAACATGTCCCAGTCCTGTTGGATGATATGCTCGGTCCGTGCGCCCCAGCAACGAGGCCGACGAGGGAAGTCCTTCGATTGACTCCGCGGGTAGATTGTTAGGTGATGCGCCAGGACGGGTCGGCCATTGTCCAGGGTGGGGGACGGCCGTTCGACAAAGTAGGCGGCAGCGGAGGTGAAGTTGGCCGGTGTGAGGGGAGAGGAGGCGAGCACAAGGGAACTGGAGCCATCACTAGATGCCGTATCAGACAGCGGGCCATCACCCCCTCGGAGACGGAGTAAAACCCGGTTTACTTCGGCTGTCGCAAGAGCATTTCGAGCGTTTGCCTGAGCGACAAGCGGATCGACGGCGGAGTACGGCGGAGGAGCCTCCTCTTCATGGTCCATCACGGATTACCAAACAGGTTTGCAGAGAATTTGGGGGCAAAATCAGTGAAATAAAATGACTTCAGGCTCATAAACGGTGATCCATCGCGCATAAACGACTAGATCAGCCGCAGCCTTCTAGAAACTCACACGACGCAGCCGCTGACGCTGGTGAGGCAAGGCAGCAAGATAATCAAGATCAAAGTAAGACAATCAAGGTTCCGAAGACGAATAATTCGAGATGAGGGGGGAGGGAATGGGAGAGAACAAAATGTTGAGAATAGATAGAGAGCAGAGCTATAAGAGAAAAGAAATTACAAAGACCGTAGAGACACAGCGAAGGAGATGAACAAAAAGAAACAACAAGTCGATTAAAGTGAAGCTCGTAAGGCGGCTGATCACGGGGCCGGCGGGGCACCGATTGTGATTGGAGGACACTCTCGATAAGGCTGACTGATCGAACATTCCATGGAATTGATTGATTAATTTAAATAATACGTACATATACTTATATAGATATGGTATAAAATTAGACTGAACGGTATATGTGTATTTCTGTATTTCAATTGATACTGTTTGCTATAATGAATTTCCTGACCTCGGTGAAACTATAGCATCTATATAGAATTAATAATATATATAGTATATACAGATCTAGACGTACCTAGGTATAGGTACTGTAGTTACATTTACAAGTATGCACAGAACAATAAATACTAATCTCCAGAAACTAGAGATCTCTCACAGACCTTGAACCAACTTTTCCCAGATTCCACCCTCCAGACCTTCCATATCATCCCACCGCAGCATAACCGTCACCTCAATTACTTCCTCATATACCATATTCCTTCTCCTCGGCAAGATCAGCGCTAGAAGTATGTATACATAGTGCAATGGATAGGGCCTTGAGTACTTATCGATTTCTAACTGGAAAGACACACGGAGCAAGCCAGAAGTTCCCTCACCAAAGCAGCTGCATTTATGATGGTTCTAGATATTGTACGTACAAAACCATATGTATTATATCCGTATAGTACAACACATGAATCCAAATTCAAATTAAGGTCTATCTTTGATTGTCATCGTCAGTTATGTGCATGGTATCTAAATCCTAACGCCAATTGCCGATTTACCAAAACTGCATAGCTTCAAGTTTTACGAGAGAACGGGGAACGGGGAAGAAGGAAGGAGCCAGCCAGCTCAATCCCAAGCGTCTCCCCAGTCATCTAGGTCCTCCTCTTTCGGTTTCGTTACGATCTTCTTCGCCGGCGCGACAGTCTTAGGCTTAGCCACACTGTTCCGACTGGAACTGCGGGCAGGGGATGCCGCAGACGTAGTCTTACTCAACCCCTTAGGGAGAGTTTTCTTTGCCTTGGACTGCGCTGCCAGCCAGCCGGCAAAATCAGGCTCACCCCCATCGTCGTATGGCACAGGGGCGGGCTTGGATGCTAATGCCGACCCAGTAGATGAAACAGTGGTCGTGGCAGGGCTGAAAGGAATATCGTCCGCCTTCTCACCGTCCTCATCGTCTACAGCACCCCACGCATCGTACACGTCATCCGCTTCTTCGAGATCATTGGCGCTCGGTGCGGCTTGCTCGGACATTGACCGGTGGCCCAGGGGCTGGGTTGCAGGTCGGGGCGTCACCTTCGGCAAATCAAGCTGCGCCGAGGCTGACGGCTTTGTTGGACGTGGTACAGATGCTGAACGGGCTGGCTCGGCATCGACCGGCTTAACGCCATTGGCGGACGGCTCAATTTCACCATTGGCCGCCGTGATTTTATTTGTGAAGGAGGAGATTGCCCAGCCTGCCCAGGACTTATCATTAGATGTTCCAATTCGCGCATCGTCTTTGGCAGCGTCTGAGCTGGTTGAAGGCGGCTGCACGGTTTCTGGCATAGTGCTGCTGAATTTACGTATGCGTTGAAGATACAAGTCAAGCGTCCTATTCGCCTGATCACGAATCATCCTAGTCTCCGTCAGAAACATGGCAATAGCGGTGAGAGCAGAGATCTCCTTACTTTTCTTTGTCGAGAAGAGAAGGGCTGATAGCGGGGAGAACTTTGGTTGCACAGTCCTCCTCGGAAAAGAATTCTATCGTGGCAGCCAAGGACAGCATGCCTGCGTTCCGAGCATGTACAAATGGATCGCGCAGCGATCTTGTAAACGCAGCAATGAGAACCTTAGATCTTGACTACATTCCTGTTAGCATGACCTCGTGTCTACGGCTTTGGCATGACTTACACTTTGTCCCAAGTTTTTCGCGATTTTGCCTAGGCAAATAGTAGTGTTTGTACGAATACCAGGCTGTTCATCGTTTGCAGTCCGCGCCAAGAATTTCAGCAAGTCTCCGTTGATGGTCCGGTCACTCAATTTGCCAATGACCGACAACACGGCTTTAACAGTCTGTTCTCGAACAACTGGTGCAACGTCGGTGAACCCGGAAGTCTAGACGGAAAAATTACAATGTTAGCTACTGGAGACAGAAAGAATAAGTCGCGCGTCCTACCATTGGCGGGAAAATCTTGTCGTTGACAATTTTCTGCGGAAGATAGTCAATCATTAATGGCAAATTGTCCAACAGACACACCCGTAATGCTCGATCAGGGTTCGCAAACAAGCGCACCACGACGGGCGTCAGTTTTGAATTGAATTCTTCTTGCGATAACTTGGATCCGATTTTAAGAATGGCTGCTAGGACCTTCGGGCCACCTCCACCGAATTCAACCGACTTCAAGAGCTCCGGCAGCACCTTCATCTTGAAGAATTCTTCGGGAAAGTCATCAGAAAGTTCATCCAGCTCACTACCGAGGTCAGTACTTATATCATTGCGGCACTGTCGATAGCACGGGGGACTCGGAGCCAAACATACTTGATGAATTCTTCTCGCTCAGCATCATTCTTGAGCCCCAGGCTCTCTATGTCGTCCGTTAACCTGATCAAGGGTGTCTGGAAAAATCCACCGTGCTTCTTTCCTTGTACAACAAAGTGTCCCGGGCTGAGCCGCAGCTTGGGGTTCGCCGCACAGAGACGCTTGTAGCTGGCTTGCATGGTCGGTGGTATATTTGTTGTTTTGCCTACTTGATCTCCCCCCGAGAAACCTCCGTTAAAGACCTCATACACAAGGATACCGAGTCCGTAGGCATCGACAGCCGTTAGTGGGTGACGCTTGATGATATCCCACCCCCCTTTGACGACCTCCGGAGGCGTATATCTAGCCGCGTCTGGTACGAGACTGGCATATTTCTACTGCCTGTTAGCCATGTACATGTCTAGCAGAATGTGAAAAGGGGGTTGCTAACGTATATAACTGCTTCTTCATCGTTCATAGAGCTCAACACATCGAAACCCCCTAGTTTCCACTCGCCACTCTCGCTAGCGAAAACTGACGAGGCTCTCACAATACCATGCACGGACGAAGCATCTTCATTTATGAACTTGAGTGTAGTCTGTAGGCGAGCTTAGTTAGTATTGCCCAAGCCTAGCTGCAAATTCAGCCACATACCGCCACTGTATGCAACCCCCATTTAGATGTCTCCTCACTCAAACTCCTCCGCTTCACATGCCATGACAAGGGTACAACTCGCTCGGTGATAATATAAAGGCTCGTCTCTGTCTATACCGTGTCAGTTGCGTGTCCTCAGCAGAGTGAACCACAATATAATGCAGTATTCGAAGCCGCCACAGCATCAAGTACCTCGATAGTATCCAGAACTTTAATCACTCCAGGATGTCTTAACGTGCGGGACTTCCGCACCGCATTCTTCGCGAGAGGTAGACGGGACTTATTCGAAGCGATATCGAAGGTGAAAACACTGCACGCCGAGCTATCGTCCTATGCATCCGAACCAAACAGCGCCTCATTAGCCCCGCGATCATATCAACTAAACCGATAACATTCTCCTGGCATTCATACCCGTTTCGTGGCGTTATGAAGCGTCCATATCGAATCGGAAATATCAACTCTGTCTCCGAGCGAATAGGGAAAGGAGCTTCCTTTGGCGATTGCAGATGCGACAGCGGATTTGAGGAAATCCATGGCTATCCGTTTCTCGGCAGGTGGTTATTGGGGATGTTGGCAACAATACACAGCGGGAAGTTGGTTTGTTGAAAAGCAATAGTATACCAAGGATTACTTGGTCAATTCTGGAATGGCTAAATTGTCCACGAAGCCCTGGTAAAGGCCACCTGTCCCCAATCCAACAGCTCGCGCTGTCCACAAGATGATTGTCAATGGCATTGAATCACGGAAACTAAGATTAACTAAATGATGGCCTTAGGCTTGGCGGCGGCCGGCTATACCCCACTCCGAATGCGGTTTAGCGCTATCTCCAACTTTAGAATATCTTCAGAGCTCCTTTTGCTCCGATTTTGTTGTTTTCTTCCTGCATGTCAACTTCTTCACCCAGTTTCCTAGCTCTATACTCAAAATGAATGATAACACACCGACAGACAGCCGTCTACTATTTCCACTAACCAATGCACAATAACCCCAGTCTCACCAGCTCCATCGCACCACAAACCAAGTAAGTGAGCTCTCTCTACTCTGTACAGTACATTCCACCCTCTCCCCTACCACAATCCCCACAAATCTCCAGTGATGCAACACCTGGTAAAAGGTCAGACCGCGAAACCAAAAGACACATCGAGCCCCAACCGAAGGTACTCCTTCATCCGCCGTCAAGGTACCTCCTCAGATGAAAACAAGTCCCCCCACGTCGTCATCTAGCCATATGTCATCCTCTTGAACATCCTATCTTCGCTCTCATACTCTTTACTTCCCATCGATCAAAGGCAGGCACATGATTCGGTAAAAGGCAATTGGTCATAGTCGCAAGGCTCACGGCATTGCATACCCTGGAAAGACATGTGCACAGCGATGGGGACAACCCACAAGCCGCAATTTGGGGTTTCTGGTCCGCTTTATCCCTATGAGGAATTCAGAAACTAATGGCTGCGGCATACAGGTGGGGGTGGGTATCTGGCTATCGTGGGAGTTGAATGCCGATGGGAAGGGAGGAGAGGTGGAGGTAGATTCGATGGAGATTGAGGCATGACTTGGACTACGACTTGGCGGTGCGGAGTTTGTGATCGTATGATGGAGACCTTGTTCTGAGCTGGATGAGGGGAAAAGTACCGCGGTTGCGACGCTGTCTTGGTTGGATGATGACCAAAATATAAACTGAAAAGACCTGAGGAGATTCTTATCACACTGGCTGGGTTTTCACATTCACACATTACTGAGTTTTTCGTTACTAAACTGGCGCAATAGGCATATACGATTCCCTATTTGACAGCACCAATGATCATACGCCTACAAGATGCTTCTAATATATCGGCTAGGGTATGGTTTTCATGGAATATCATTCCCCACTATCCTTAGTATCACTAGTTATCAATCATTTATGCATAGCCTCAACATCTCGTACCATCTCAGCACTCTTAGCCGAGACGAACACAACCAGAAAGCGCGTAGAATGCCATGCCGGTACCTCAGATGCCTAAGCTGTGACCAGCGAAAACAGTCACATCCTTCCCGCCACCCCTCCACCTTCAGCTTCCTTCACAACCCCTAGCCACAAGTAGTGTGAAATAAGAGAAAATGGGTTAAAAAAAGAAAAGGAAAAATAAGGAGGAAAATAAAATAGATATCGCAAGTGCAAAAGATTTTCCTAAACATGGTTGGCATATACCGATTTGAGCGATGCGCATCGCACGGGTACGGGATGCAATATTGGCCGAGCTCATCTCGCGTTCTGGAGATTATCCTAGGGTGCGTATACTATAGGTGGTGGCAAGGAAGAAGTGATTGTCATAGTCCATGGCGACCGTCAATCGTCGATGGGTATGATCGTCTCAGACTTCAGCATATACATCCTCAGCCCTATCATATACACCCCTACCCGCAGAAAGTAGCTGATAAACGATACGGAATCGCCTTGTCTGGTCAGCACTTGCTCTATCCATTTCGGCGTGCCCTATCAAGGATACTGGAAATACTCACCAGTACAAAGACAGTACCTGCCCATAAGAAGCGTTGCACGCTCTGGGTGCACAGAGGCCAGAATGAGTGCAAAGATTGAAGGCGGAGGTCTTGCAAAAACATATTGAGCGGTTGGGTGATACGAGATAGAGAAATCATCAACTCTGAACGGATGCTATGTGCACGCTCAGGCGTATCTAGTACGCCCATACACGAGGGGCATTGGTTATACCTTAGGTTATTCAGCTAAGGGGAGGATGGCGTCTCGCGCATAATCCATGCAAGTTCATTTCACCTCATCGGCGGCGTCCGGCGGCTGAGGACCCGTTGCTGCAGCCGGCGGTGGTTGAGAAGGGACTTGAGGCATCTGAGGCATTTGATTATAGCCGCTACTTGGCGTGCGTTGTTGATGGGGCGGATAGTGATGCACCTGATGTGGGCTGGACTGGAAGTGTGGCTGCTGATGTGGATAGTTACCCCGGACGGGAGGCACTGGGAATGGTCAGCAATCGGCAGTGGATCGCTTCATCTGTTGCAACATACTGTGACCTGGCTGCTGGGCTGCGTAGACAGGCTGTCCATGCTGCCCAGGTGATATGAACATCATTGGCTGTGGGGGCTGACCCTGTTGAGAGTTTTGGTGCATCATCATGGGAGCACCACGACTGGGGCTTGGGAAGCCACTGTGCGGCTGAGGGGGCGCATGTTGAGGGTACGCGTGACCCGGATTTGGGGAATACATTTGCATCTGAGGCGTGTAAGGGGTCATACCCTGGGGAACGCCCATATAAGGACCGCTGGAAGGTTGCTGGACCATCATAGGGGCGCCCATGGTGGCCTGTGGGTTCATAAACTGCGGAGCACCAGGATAGGGCCTCATATGACCGGGCTGCGGGCCGCCTTGGTTGACGTAAAACTGTGGCATAGGCTGTCCAAATGCCAGCTGTGCAGGGGGAGCCATGGGGGAAGGATACCCATGTTGGAGTCTAGGAGATGGGAAGACTTGTGAGGTAGACGCAGACATTTGCATACGGTGGGGGTCATCAAAGTGAGGAGGGCCAGACGCATGAGGATGCAGGTGAGGTCCGTGAGGGGGCCCAGAAACGGGAGGCATACCCGGAGCCGTCTGGGGAAACTGGAAAGGTATGGGAGGTTGATGAGGAGCCTGAGGATTAGAAGTCGAGCGGTTCTGGGGAGATATAGCGGGAACAGTAACAGGAGGCTTAAACATCTGCTGATAAGTCTTTTCTTCATTGCCCGCAGCCACGTCCCAGGTCGGAAGGGTTTTATAGGCTGGCGGGATCCCTCCGTTGAAAGTATAGTGCTTCTCTGTCTGCTCTGCGCTTTCCTTCTTCATTCGCTTGATAGGATTGAATTGGTTCTTGAGAGACGGACGCTCGGTGATGGGCCGTAGCTTCTTACCACCGAAGAATGCGGATGGGGTGGCGGCGCGAGAAACAGTGCGGCCTCCAACAAAGGGGGACGAGCTGGACGAAGCACCAGGGGTAAATGTGCTTGCGGCGGGGTTCGGCTTGAATTCTAGGGCCCTCACATTAAATTTCGTGGATGCAGATGTCGGTGTTTGCACTTTGTTAGGGCTGGTTACTCCAGACTGATCACCGGCTGGGCCAGTTGGAGGTACGCGAACGTCATGGATGGGCAAAGGCGGTGGAACAGCCCCCATCGCCGCACCCTTACGCTGCTGGAGGTTATCAGCTAGGCGATGCCCGAGCATTCCAGTGGGCTGACGAGCCGGATTCACGGTTTGGTGTTGGGCTCGTGCACTAGGGCTTGCATGGGGACCCGTTGGAGGATACATCTGGCGACTACGAGGGTAAGCCGGACGATCGGACGGTGTCGCCGACGGTACCGTTCCAGCTGGGCCAGTGGCACGAGTTACCGGTTTCTGCTCGGAAGACTCCGGCGACGTCTTGGTTGATGTCTTCTCCTCGGCCTGTTGTTGGGCTCTCTGGATGATGGCTTCCTGCTTATGAGGATCCTTGGCGAGAATAGGCACTAAATCCTTGGGGACTGGCGTAGCTAGCTTGAAATTCTTCGAAAATTTCATCAATTCATTGAGTTTGATTGTCCGGTCATAGGAAGCTTGGTTACGGCGGCGTTCTTGCATCTTCTGTTTCTCGCTATTGGCGAACTGGCGGAAATGATCGAGCACTTCCGCTTCGACATTGGCGGTAGCGTTCTCCGTACCGGTCCGTTTCGGGGCGGCGCCCGCGGCTGATGGCGGCTTGACTGGAGCAGGCTTGTCAGCGTCCGGGACAGCATCGACAGCTGTACCTGAAGGCGCTGGTTGCGATGGTGTACTCTCTTTAGCTGGTGGCACGGCAGAGTTCGTCGCGTCCTTCAGTACCGGTTTCACAGTACTAGTGGAGGACCTTGAGCTTGCACCAGTCTGAGCCGCGACCTGGCGACGAGCTGGTGGCATGTACTTGTTTGGCTGTCCAGAGACAAGAGGTGGGAAGGTTCGCTCCTCACGTCGGACGCCACTGTACTTGTCTTCCTCGTCACCACCATCCCCTGCCACAACCAGTCCTCGTTCTTCCTTCATATGCGCATTGTCAACGTCGGTGTTCTGGATTTCTTGCGCAATACGAGCGGCCTCTGCTTCTTTTTGCTTATAGGTCGGGTCGGAACGATCAATCCGGGTGGTGTAAAGATTCTCATCATAACTACTAGTGGCGCCAAACAATCGTGCATTGGCTTCAAACTGATCCCAGCCTGCTGAGGCGTTCGCAGCTTCCAAGGACATGTCCACTTCGGTCTCTGCAGATGGCTCCCAACGCTTCAGAGTTCGCTCGCGCATGGCAAGGTTGCCAGAAATATCAACATCGGTACGGAAGCCAGAAGAGACACCTTAGACAGCGTTAACAATCAGAACAAACTATAAGATGCAAGGCAAGCGAAGTGTGGAGAAAACTGTACCATTTGCTGCTTTCGCAGTAACATCAGATGTAGAGACATTGGGTACAAATATATCCAATACATCTTTCACATCGAACGACATACTGTGATCCGGGGCCGATCCAAGGAACGGAGTCGTAGCGTCGCTTACTCCGTTTGTCCGATTTTGCTCTTGCTTTGTCAGGCGCTGTACCATCTTCAGAACGAAGGATGAATCGCTTGGCTCCAGAGAAGACGAAGAGAATATTCCGGTGTACTTATCGCCGTTTTTCGTGGTGATGGTAGTGGTCAGACCCTAGGGTATATAAGCGTTCCGTCCTGGGTAGGATGAAGGGTTGATGGGCTTACAATAAAGGTGGTAACCAAGAACACGAGACGATCATGGGCATGGCTATCAGGTGTGCTCGATTCTTTGGAGGCTGGTTTTATGGCAGCGTTCTGTTTCTGCGCCGTATTTCCGTTCTGTTGCGAATACGAAGATCTCTGGGTAATCGGGTTCATGCCTTGGGTCCAAGCCTTCTGGGAGTTGCTGCGTCTGTACACAATCGGAAAGCAAGCTAGTTAGTCAATGCATAACGAGGCTAGGCTGTAACGATAGACCGCCAATCTTGGATGCTTTGGTTGGCTCTCATGCCCCGGCAGTATGAAACCAGGAAGAAGAGACAAGAAGGATAGGGCGCTCAAGAGCATAACCAGTGCACTGTGTGCGTTGGAAAAACGACAAGGGTAGGTAAACTAGGCACATAACAGCGCTCTTGTGAGGCGACAAGCGGTGAAATAAAAGCGACAGAAGTCCAAAGTCCGATGAACTGGATTGGACGCAGAATAATCGGGCTATGCAGGTAAACAGTACAACGTACCTCTGACCTCCATCGAGCGGACTGCCCGACTGACGGCGACCTCCATCCGCCTTGGAGTTGGTGCTGGACCTCAATGACGGTCTAGCCCCAGAGTTCTGTGAGGAGGCATTAACGGTATTACCGGGTGCACTATTGGCAGCCGGCATAGAGTTGACAGAAGCCATTTGGCGTGGTGGTCAAGCAGAGTGAAGCTCACGTCGTGGAACTTCGCACGACGTAGAGCCGTAGAAAGATAGACGGGGAGAAGCCACAGCACACGCACACACCGCCTGCGCGTAGAGAAGAACGACCTAGTCGGGAGAAAGAAAAAGGACAGAGGGGGAAGCGTCAAGAAGACCGGGATAAAAAGATCGCAAGAAAAGCTATGGGAAGTCACGGGGTCGCAATGGAACAGGGAGGGAAAAGGGAATTAAAGAAAAAAAAAGCTTGGTCGGAAAGAGGGTGGAAATGAGGGGGAGAACGAGAAAACAGAAGAGGGAGTAGATTCCAAAATCACCAGTGGTGAGTAGGAATAAGAATACCAAAGAATAAAACAATAGAAACAAAGCACGTCGACCAGCGTCAAACAGAAGAAAGGTGACGGGGGGAGGGAAAGGACAAGAGGAGAAGAAGAAGGAGAAGAAGAAGAAGTCGTCACGGTTTAGTGTCCGTGGAAGGTTCACAGAGTAGGAACAGTAAAGTGTAAGGGTAGGAGATGAGGTGAGGTTCTGGAGGGAAAAAGCGTCCCCTTCCCATGGTTCCATTGGGCGATTTGGCAGCGAAAGTGGGGACCTTCTTCTGGACGGATGGGAATGTTAAGGTAATTTATCGACTAAACCTTTCTTAGTCTTCTGGAATACTTACCAGTTTCGACTGTGAGTAATTTTTTTTTCCTGATCAATTAGGTAGGCTTCGTATACAATTATAGTTTTCGTGTTCCTCTATGGTTCCCTGAACTTGCCATCCCTAGACTGCATCAAATTGGGAATTGGACGGGCTTCTAGACCCAAATCAACTCCCAGCAATATCTGTGTGTTCCATTTTCGCTACTTAAGAGTCTCCAGAGCTCTCTATTCGTTTCACTCCACTCGCTGCGACTTCAACATCCTTTTTTCTGCCCAATCTGAATGGAGTCCCGGTGGCCTGTCAGAATCCACATCATCAGGCCCACATCGACAGCACTTATGAATTAAATCCTCCAAGGCTCTAAGGGATTCAATGATGTGGACAACTGGTGTCATGCTACTGTCTTAGAATAAATCCCTGCACTTTTCTTGAGGGTCTGGATACGATCTGTGGTTTGCAGAACGATCCATTCAGTCTATCAGTATGGATTCTGACCTGGGTTTGAATACGTTACGCCATACATACAGGTCTACACCTCAAGTATTAGAACCTCATTCCAAAAGGGTACAGTACTGTATGTACATACGATGGAGCTGTAGTATTATAGGACGCACACCTCAGCCATCCGGACGAATGGCAATGTCTCTTCGTTTCCATACTGAGCGGAGGAACTACTTCCGGCAGACAACACTTAGTATAATAGAAAAGCTAACCCTATAAATAGTCCTCGTAATATGTAGTAGTATGTGAGCACTGGCGATTTAACGGACTTCCTGCGGATTCTGGGTTCTTGACCATATTCTCTTGTATCATTGCTACTAGGTAATATTCCGAGTGAGATCCTCATCATCTGTGTCGGTTGTATTACGTTTGTTTACAATTACAAGTCCTCAAAGATCTCATACCGATCTCATTAAGGTCCATCAGGTTTGTGTTTATTTCCCGCCTATCCGCCGTGCAATACAATAGGAGGAATATTTCAATGAAACCACAGGTACATGCATAGGAAGAGATGATTACAGAACTATAGTGGCCGAAAAGGGCCCTATTACTACGATAGAGCACAGTTTAACAGAGTATGGATATCTACTGATAGTATACAAGTACATACATGAACGGGATTGTCTTGAGTTCTTCCACAAAAATAGTAATCGGCCAGAGCGGGTCCAATTCTTGGCATAAGTTGACAAAGAATGCCGAAGTAGGACAACGATACTAAGGAAGTGTAGGGATGGAAAAAAGATGGATGACTTTGCATGATGACAGGGAAGAAGTAGCAGGTGAGATTACAATCCTCTCGGTTACTAAACTGACTTAAATATCCCACTGAAGGAACATGTACGAAAAGAGTAAGGGAGGAGAGAGAGAAACCCGAAACGGGGAAAGCGGGAGGCTGGTGGAACAGCTGACAACGGACGGTGCCTCAGGCAGGATGACTTGGGCGAACTACAGCCCAAGGAGACAGGAGACACTAAGAAGAGAGCCGATCAATCAATTCATTTATCGTCGAATCCCCTAATCAACACCAAAGAGAGGCTGGGATACGTGTGTGGATGTGTTTCTTATAGCGAGGGGCCCCTTCCTCTTACATTCACTTTTTTGTCTATTTGTTTTTTTTTAAACCCTCTAGTCTATCCCCACTTGATTTGGGCTCTGTTTCGTTTCTCTCCCTTACACCACACACACTGTCACCTTCCGAGACAGTCATCTTGGCCCCTTCCCTCACGACTTTCCTGTTCCTTACTTCCTGCATCTGCTGTGTTCCTCTACGTTTACCCGCCATCTGGTTATCTATCATAAAAAGGAAACCCTCCGACTTCCCACAGATAGACACGCACGCACGCACGTACCCAGACAGACACACACACACATGCAGTCCGCCTCTAGCGTTCCATCTCGCTCGCAGCGCAGTCCGTCAGCCCAACATTTTTCCTCGGGCTCCGGAAGCAGTATCGAATCCACCATGACTTCGCAATCCTCCGCGCCACGCAGCTCGTCCAGCTCAGGGCGATCGCAATCGAGAAGTTCGGTGGTAAGTCGTGCATTCAATAGTCTACACCGCAATCCAGCACCTTGGCTATCACCCACGTTGTACCCACAATTATCCCGGCTAATACAGGTCTATTTGCTTGCCACAGCCCGATAAGCAGATCTCACAAATCGAAAAAAGCGTCACGCATCTCTTGGTAGCCACAAAGCAGCTGTTGGAAACTTTGACCCAATGGTCGCGGAAACAAGCTTCAGAGAACGAGGTATCCGACGTTTACGTGCGGCTGGGTTATGAATTCAACCTTGCCTGCCGCGCTTTCAATGCGATCGGTGTTGATACCTCCGACCTGGGTCCGGTACCGGACCTTCTCCGTACAATTCTGGAAGACACCCTGAGCCAGGATGCCTCCCCGCAGAGCCTCGACCGCTATCTCCCCCGCATCCGCGACATCATCATCAACCTCCTTCACGGTCTCAAGAAGAAACAGGCTCGGTTACGTTCGCGGCAACAGCGCGAGGAGAGCCGCACATTACCTGGTCGGCAGGCAAGCGCGGGGAGTGTCGCTAGTGGACAGGCCGCTATGAATCAGGCGTATGAGGAAACAGTCTCTAGCGTGTCGTCCCCGAAACGGCCAGGCCGCCGGCATGGAAGCAATGGCTCTCTAGAAGATCCTCCGGCAACGTCTCGGACATCACCAGTACCGGGCGACATGCGAGGCGGGAGCTTCTCAGAACGAGAAGCATCACGACGAGAGGCGCAGAACATTCTATCTCAGCCCTCCCATCTTGAAAATGATCAGACTGCTAAGGCATCCATGTCATCGGGGAATATTACCGAATATCCGACCCCACCGCCTCCGCCTCCAAAGCAAGATGATGCTATTGGTGCTTTGCAGAGGAGTGGTGAGCTTGAGAGGCGCGCCTCTCGACGGTTCTCTGCGTATCAGATCCAAAAACACCTGGGGACATCCTCTAACGGGGTCCCGGTCCTACCAACTCAACATTCTCCAATGCCAAATCGTGGTCGTGATGTTCGTGAGTCGCTGAATGCTGTCCGTCTGCGTGGATCTTATGCCCACGGGCGACAGCGATCAACAAACCGCTTGCAGGATGGCAGCACAGCTAAAGCTGCACCAACGCAAACACTTCCGAAGTTTCCCAGTATTGAAGAAGAGCGCATGAGGCCTCGAGGGGAAACACCTGCGGATGTCTCCGCAAAAGACTTTCCTGTGCCCCAAGACAAGCCTCAGAAACGACCTGAAACTGAAACAGCAGATCTGCCTCGCCCCCAGGAGGAACCGTCCCTTGCAGAGGCATTCCAGCTGACCAAGGAGAGGACGCCCGACGCTATTCCCTCTCCAACAACACCTCGATCAGAACGTCGACAGCCCCAGACTGTTTCTACCCCTCCTCCCGGCACTCAATTTACTGCGGAACAGCCGTCTCCAGGCAAGGAAATTACCCTGTTCCTACAATATAAGAGCAAGATCAAGAAATATGTTCTCCCAGAAGGCTTCTCTGGCCTGACAATTGGAAGGCTTCAACTGGCTTTTATAGAGAAGTTCGCCTGGAATACTCACAACAATGGGGCAGACTTGCCGGAAATCTACATACAAGATCCCGTCTCTGGCGTCCGCCATGAGCTAGAGGATCTGACGGACGTAAAGGACCGGTCTGTCCTCGTGTTGAATGTCGACATCCTGGATGAGATGAAGAAACATTTTGATGATGAATTTGGTGGTATGCGCAGGATGATTGAAGGCGTCAAGGATGCTTTGAGTGGCCAAGAAAGTATCATGCAACGTGTTTCGGATCGCCAGCTTGAAGCAGCAAAGGAAATGGCTCGTCTTGCCGCAGCACCTCCGGTATCTATATCTAACACAAAGGCTGGGGAGAACCCCAAGGACCCGATCACCGGCAGCGACAGCCAAATTGCCGAAATCCAAAGTCTCAGGCGCGATCTCGCCGTGCTACGACAGACATACTCGAACTTCCAATCGGATATCGCAAGTTCGATGAGCGCAATCCGGACCAAGGCAAGCGGTGTGAAATCTGTTGCTACGGAGGTATCTTTGCCAACTTTTGAAGGCGATGCAGGGCGCGTGCGCGTCAATTCCGGGAAGAAGGAGCTTGGCGAAGAATCGGAACGACTCGTGGCTCGTGTTGACGATCTCCAGGATTTGGTGGAAGACCTCCGTAAAGACGTTGTGACCCGCGGGGTGCGGCCACTCCCGCGTCAACTCGAGAGTGTCGGCAAGGACATCAGTGCGGTTACGAAGGAGATCAAAAAGATGCAGGATTTCCTCAAACGGGAGAAACCCATTTGGACTAAGATTTGGGAGAAGGAGTTGCAGCTTGTATGTGAGGAGCGTGATCAACTTACCATGCAAGAAGACCTTGCGGCCGACTTGCAGGACGATGTGGAGAAGGCTGCCCAAACATTTGCTCTTGTGGAGCAGGCTACCAAGCAACAATCCATGCAGAATGATCCTACTAATGGCGTTACTCTTCGGAACACCTCTCGGAATGTGATTATTGATCCCGCGGTAGATCCCATGAAGGCGAAAGACAGTGTTTTGGGCGAAGTCCGTGCATTGCAACCAAACCACGAATCGCGCCTTGAGGCGATTGAAAGAGCGGAGAAGGCGCGGCAGAAGGAACTGGAGAATCGCAGGGTTGGTAAGTTCCAGAAGGAACTTGGAGCATTTGTGCAGGAGGGCAAGTTAAAGAAGAGCGGCGGCGTGGAAGAGACTGAAAGACTTCGTCGAGCCAAAGATGATCGCATCCGCAAGGAGGTGTGGGAGAGAACGCAAGCTCGAGCAGCAGAAATGGAGAAAGCAGAGGCAGAGGATGCTGCTGCGCAGGCTGAACAAGGTTCTCAGGCAGAGTCGACCACCACAGACGATGCCGAAGCAAAGACTGCGGATGGTACTTCGGATATAGAAGAAGCAACTGAGGTATCCTCTCCTAAGGGGAAGGAATCTGTTTCCGGAGAAGCAGAGGAAACTGAGAGTAAAAAGGAGGAGAGTGAGCCAACGAAGCAAGATGATGATAAACCGACCCAGACTGAGACTTCATAAATCGAGGTACAGTTTCATGACTGGCTATGCTATACTTCGCCTGATACTATTGTTCCTTCCCCTTGTTCATATTTACTACCGTATGCATTTGTCGTTCGCTTTGCCGATTTATTTTCAGCATTGAATTTTTTTTTTTCCTTTTTCGGTACCTTACCTCAATTCCCTCTTTTCTTCTCGTTCCATATTGTGTTGTTACCCCAGCTTAGTCCCGCTTCGCAAAACATTGGCTTTGGCTCGTGCATATCCCCAGACTTGAAGCCACAACTCTGCGTGGGGAACTATAGTTGTTAGTTGTTCGTATTGCTGAGGATACCCTGCCACTATCGTGGCCTGTTTATGACCATTGTGATGATACTCAAGGGGCGTCAAGCATATATCCCTTGTCTGTTATATCCCTGCCTGCTTTTATGTCACTGTATTACATGTTTAGCTGATATATTCCAATGCAAGAGCCCATTTGTAGTAGAACCAGTTTGTATTCTGGTGTATTTCTCCACGCTTCGATCTCTTTTTCATTATGCGATGGCTACAACCTGCGGACTGACCACTTAGGGTTCAATAGTCTTGAGGCCTTTTGGTACTATTCTGTATGCTATATACGATCTCTCACGTCAAATAATGCGTCGTAAAGATCTCTGGTTCCTGATATAAACATAAACACTGTAAATCATGCCAAGAGCCCATGAGTTCGAATGGCCCTGAAGATAACATGGGCAGTTACGCATATGCCGGTAAAGATTCCCAATTTCAGGATATTCATAAGCCTAGCGAGGAGAGATCTCTCGGTAGCTTAACAACAGACAGCAGAGATATACATGAGTTTGAGGATTGTAGAAGTGACACTACTTTCCAAGAAGCCAACCGGCGAGTGAGAGGCTATCCGCACTAATAAGGAAACGATAAATGGTCTCGGTTTATTAAGACCCATGACCCCCTATGGCCTTCTCGACGGCCTCTTTCGCCACATTATCGAGCGAGGTATTCGGCAGCGGAGCAAAAGGGGCATTATCTGAAAGCTCGGCCGCGCAGCACCCGCCAACCAGATTAACAACCCTAACGCCAAACGGCTCTAACTCTAGCCTCAAAACCTCACTGTATGAGAAGGCTTGCTTTCTTATTGGCTCTTTAGCACAGTACCCCGAACCTCTCGGATGGACGAGTTGTCCCGCGCTAGAACACTAGGTAGTAGGTAGGTACTGCCACGAACCCATCGGTGATGTGCTGGTCTTATATGTCTTACGAGATCTTATCGTTCACATATAAGTGAGGATAATATCCTTGAATGGTATGAAAATACACTTGCTTGCTTAATAGCCTGCTTCTTTTGTTTGGATAAGATAAATTAGATCATACCTGATATACCCAGCATCTCAGATAAAATATACATACTAAAAGGTCAGTATGAGAGCAGTATGTAAAGAAGCATAGTATCGACCACGCCATGGTAGATTATAATTATATTGATTCCAATCGCGAAGAAAGCTAAGAAGATAAAGAACAAACTAGAAAAGAGGAGGATCTCAAAGATGTTCCTTCAGTGAATCTTCACGGTTCTCATTAAAAATAAATAGCCTCACCCCAAACCATCTTCCAACCAACAACTTCCAACACCAACACCAACACCTCACACCGTCGAGCAACAAAGCAAGGACACTGAAAGAAGAAACAATTAAAGAAAACAAAAGAAACATAATCAATCTTACTCCCTCTCCGCTCCCCGTCCAAGCAGGCTAATCTTATCCTCCACAATCTTCTTCCCCTCAACATCATGAGAATAAGTAGTCCACATCATACGCCTGACGGACCCAACCGCCAACTTAAGCGGACAAGACCTCCTCATCTGCTCCACCAACTTCTGCAATCTCTCAATCTCCTCATCCAACGCCGTAACATGAACCCCATGTTCCATAGCCTCTCTCTCCGCATGATCAAGCAGCACCATCGCCTCACTAACCCAGGGCGCTAAGGTGGTATCCTCCCCTGGGAGAGAGTACTTGGCCTGGACATCCTTTTTAATCAGCTTATACAGCTCCAGAAGATCGGCGTACTCAGCGGGCTCAGTGCGCTGTTTCTTGGATGTTTGGTCGGGGTTGGTGTTCTCTTGTGGTGGGCTAGGTCGCTTGGGGGGTGCGACCCTTGCATATGCGTGTTCCATTGCTATGGGAGATGCGCATGTGGATGAGGAGGGGGAGGTTGGCTCTTCGGTCCAGGAGAGACTAAGTGAGGTTGGGGTCTCTAATGTGGTTGCTAGCTTTGGTGGTGGGGTTGCTGCACGGACGTAGAGTGGGTTTTGGATTGAGTGATAGGGAGCGTTTAGTTGGTTGAAGGGGATCATGATAAAAGGAATGAGGAGAGTAGAGGAGAGTGTGTTGTTCTAGGTAAAGAAAGCTAGAATAGGTAGTTGAATGTTGGTGAAAAATGTCCCGGAGGCAGACGAGAAGGAGAGAAGAGATTGCCAAGGGGGAGACAGAGTAGGGTCAGAGCAGTCATCACGCATTAGTGATGAGTTGACTTACGCTTCAGAGTGGAAATGATGACATTTTTACGTGTCCATGTCAATTATCTAGCATGAAAATGACGGCCGACCTTCCATAGTAGCCGTGGCACTTAAGTAGGCCGTTAGGTGACTATAATAAATGCAAGTATTACGATAGAAGAATACTATGGTAGAGTTAGGGTTTGCGTATCCCCCACTGCGGGTCGATCGCTGTCTGAAGATCTACTCGCTCGATTCAATTATTGCAGCGCTGATACCCTTTCTCAGACGTAGCATTAATAAAGGATGTGAACTTTTTGCAGCTGGTGCAGATCTTAGGCCATTTATAAGGGGTTGAGTAGCAACGATGACATCTTTCCTTTCCTTTTCCCTTTTTTGAAGTATTTAGATAATCTTCTACCCAAGATGTATTCAACGAGCGAACCAATTTGTAACAATAGACAAGATTGTCCAGGCTAGTGAACATATTTCATGTCAATGATATACTATTGTGCCTTGAAAGGCTCGAATAAGCAAGCATTTCCACACTTATGTTCCCGTCTTATCCAATGTCGACTCCAATCCTTGCGGACTCTACATGTATGAAGTTGTTAACTGACTCGAACATGTACCGAAATAACAACCTTAGTTAACTAAGAGTGTATGCATATTGAAAATGATTCAATGATTCAACATGGCAGAAGATCAAGACAGGCTGAGATCTATACTATGATAAGACCAAAGGAATTAGATATAAAGAAAGACAAGTGAAGAGGAAGTCGCCCTAAAGACGATATAGACCTCTGTAAGAAGACACATGTGCAGCAGCGCGTCAAGGTATCCAATATTCTGGATTGCACAATATATTCTCATTGCCCGCTAAGAGATATTATGTCATTGTATTAGATAACTACGTTTCCAAAAATTGAGAGATAGTAGTGTCTCTTAGAATCTCATCACGATAAGTACGAGCAGTTTGAATTGTGACTTTGAGTCAAGAAGAATACATGAATATCAGTTTTAGACTCCAACCTATGAGGGCAACTGTCACGCAATTGTTACTCTTTGAAAGTACCGAAGTGGATGGTTAGTGAATGGCATCCCATGGGCCTTGGGCCAGCGGGGCTGTTTACTACGTGTAAATTTGAGCTGAAAATTTCTGGGACCACTCATATAAGCAGTCATATATGTAGACCAGGGATAGTAATTCTATGCTATTGGTGGGAGATAATGACGAAAACAAAGTCGAACGATACCTTGCGAATAAGATCATTTACTAGTTTGGGCGGAAATCAAACTTACTATTTAGGGATTATGATCCAAAAAAAAAAAAAAAAAAAAAAAAAAATAGGTTGGGGTAGATGGCCGTGGAGCCTTGGTAGAATAAGTATAAGCTGCCATGTAAGATAGGGATGGATTTGATATAGTTAGACCGAGCATATATAGAGCACGCATACCCCCCCCGCAACTACCATGGTAACCTATACAGCTGTCCATCTAGTTGATGATAACCCCAAGATTATATCCATGCCTCAGCCAACCTCTGCGCGTGCTCCTAACGGGTTATCACAACGTCCACCACCCAAAAACTCACAGAAGTACATCCAACTTCGTCCAAAGGAAGGTAAGTCTACATGTCCACCCGTAGTGATTCTATCTTCTTGGTGTGACTAATGATTACATGGTTCTAGGGGCACTTTTAATCAAATTACCCAACAGCTATTCCGATTTCAAGCGTCGAAAACACGCCCTCTCCCAGAAAAACCAACGGGATCGGTTAAAGATGGCCTTCGATCAGATGGCCCATGTACTTAGGACAAGTGGCGTTGGCAATGGCCAAAAAGGGGGACTGTGCACCAAGGTAAGTCTGTCATGAGAGACAACCTGGGGGAGATTCTCGAATAGAACACTATGGGCTGATCTGGAGGCAATTGGCTGCGTTGTAATACCAGGTGGACCTTCTCGAGACCGCAGTGGGGTATATCCAGCACCTACAGAGCGAAATTAATGGGCACAAAAACCATAAAATAAGCGAGGGGTAAAGCATATGGGTGTTCTGAGCTCGGTATATTGTCGATAATGCTAGCTAGCAATGTACTGGTTGGTTGGGGTAACAATGACACTATGCCGGTACCAGACTTTTGATTTGCCTTTCTTCGTATCTTAGTTGATTTGAGTACCAGGCTGTAGCTTCCATGTGGTATCTTGGTGAGCAGGCCACAAACTGCCAAGAAAGGAAATGATTCGGTATGATGAAGAGCATGCTCGACTTCTGCGAGGAGACTGGTTCAAAGCTTCTCCGGGACAGCCCAACGTTCACCTATAGTCACTACACCAAAGAGAATACCCAAGGCAAGGACCAAGACCTGAATGGGGTACTATGTTCACCCCCTCATGATTCCTCCTAGGAACAGGGTGTGATGAGTGGCAGCAATGAAGAAGGGCGGAGGTATAGAATATAGGATAGCGGACGCCAAGAATCTAGAACTTGGATGCTCGTCTGCTCAATCCGAGCCCACGTTCCTTTCCATGGAGCTTTAATTGGCCATATAAGCTTTTGAACCAAGTTGGTGCCAAGGCTGCTGGTGGGCGGACTGCTTGGCAATTGAACGATATGCTGCCAAGAACGTCGGAACCCATCAGTTGACTTGCACGACAAAATTAATCAGAAATTATGACTAGCCTGAAATATGGGTCCCTGTACTGGGACCGTGTTGTGTCAATGGGTGACCTCGCCTAGTTCATAGTAGGGCCTATGGTGCCTACAAGGATGGCGGGAGGATTCTTCCCAAGTGTAGGAAAGCGCTGGGCAATCGTATTAGGTTTTTTTTGCTTTACAAGTTGTTTAATTTGCCGGCGTAAGAACTTGCTGCGGCATATAAAAGCACTATGCATGCCCTCTCTGCCGATGGAAATGAAATGAACTGCGGTACTGAGATACCTGAAGCCTGACTAAAGACCGACCACTTAGTGGCTTCACATCTGACAAGATGGCTCTCCACCAGTTTGACTACATCTTTGCCCTCGGTACTATTTTTGCATTTCTCGATGCCTGGAATATTGGTGCCAACGATGTTGCCAATTCCTGGGCTACCTCGGTCTCATCGCGCTCCTTGAAGTACTGGCAGGCCATGATACTCGCATCAATCATGGAACTTTCTGGCAGGTACATACCACTACGCTATAGCCCCATTTACCTATTCTAGGGCTTATCCTAAGCTAATTTCCAAGAATAGTATCGGTGTGGGCGCCCGCGTTGCAGAAACTATCCGAACGAAGGTCGTCGACGTCAAACTCTTTGCCGAAGATCCATCGATGCTTATGCTGGGCATGTTATGTGCAGTAATAGGCTCTTCAATCTATCTTACAATCGCTACAAAGTTTGGTATGCCGGTTTCCACCACTCACTCCATCATGGGTGGTGTTATTGGAATGGGTATTGCATCGGTCGGTGCAGACGGCGTTAAGTGGTGGGGGGGTAATATAAACTCAGGCGTGGTCCAGGTGTTCCTGGCATGGATTATCGCTCCTTTTATGTCGGGTGCCTTCGGTGCTATCATTTTCCTAATCACTAAGTATGGTGTCATGCTACGGAGCAACTCAATCCGGAATGCGTTCATTGCTATTCCCATCTACTTTGGCATTACTTCTGCTCTTCTTACTAGTAAGTCATGTGGCCCGAAGGGAATGATTCGCCACTGACTTCTGTAACAGTGCTTATTGTTTGGAAGGGTGGCTCGAGTAGGATTACCCTCACTAATGCAGAGACCGTTGGTGTGATTATCGGGGTTGGCGCTGCCGTGGCCTTGGTTGCTACCATTTTTTTCCTTCCCTGGTTGTACCGGAGGTTGCTGAAGGAAGATTGGCAACTCCAATGGTATCATCTCTTCCTTGGTCCTCTTGTCCTACGTCGCGGAGAGGTCCCGCCTCCACCGGACGGGTACTCGACCGTGCAAGACTACTACAGCGGCCATAAGACTATGGAACAGCTTCAGGCAGAGCGCGCGGCGACTCAAGAACACCGCCCTTCAGACTTGGAAATCGAAGGGGAGCTAGTGAAAGAGAGCCAAAACACATCGTCTGAGGCTCTGAAGTCAGACGCACCAAGTGATGCACCTTCCGTGGTGCGGAAGCCAGAGTTCTCCTTCATTGGCCCTCGACCGGAAGGGAAAGGAGCATTGCACCCAGTCATGCTGTTCTGGCAGTTCAGGCGCTTCTTCTTCCGCGGCATCGAGCAAGATGTTGTCAGCTTACAGAAGAAAAGGAGTCTACTTACCGGTGATATCGAAATGACCCATGCTCACGCGGTACACTATGATAATAAGACCGAGTACATGTATTCATTTCTACAGGTCCTGACGGCCTCCACTGCTTCGTTTACCCATGGAGCTAACGATGTGTCCAAGTATGCTTCCCTTTTTGGCTATACTGCAGCTTATACTGACTACTATAGTGCTGTCGGTCCCTATGCCACAATATATGATATTTGGCAATCTGGGAAACTCAATACGAAGAGTCCTGTCCCTTATTGGATTCTGTAAGTACCACAATGCCGTGCTACTGTGTATATTTCAAAGCTTACCCCTATAGGGTGTTCGGAGGTGGCGCTATCGCTATTGGTATTTGGACCTACGGTTACAACATTATGCGCAATCTCGGTAACAGAATCACGCTTCACTCCCCTTCTCGAGGCTTCTCCATGGAGCTTGGCTCTGCCGTCACTGTCATCCTTGCCACTAGGCTCAGTATGTCCACCGTCTTCCTTGTAATGAAGTCATATTATGGGCTGCTAACAACCCGCAGAGCTTCCAGTTTCCACAACCCAATGTATCTCCGGCGCAACTGTCGGTGTCGGTCTCTGCAGCGGAACCTGGCGCACCATCAACTGGCGTATGATCCTGTGGATCTACTTCGGCTGGATCATTACATTGCCTGTGACTGGTATTATTTCCGGCTGTCTTATGGGCATCATCATCAATGCCCCTAGATGGGGCCTGGGTGTCTAGACCACGCTTTTGCCTATGGCCAAGCGGAGAGTATTGTGGTGGTAGAACATAGGTATCTGATGCTTATACCTATATTTGTTTAATGTAATTAATCAGCTTGAGGAGTGCTTTGTGTCGCTGTACTTTTCTTTGTCCTGGAAAGAACTATGCAGTCAATAAAAACCTCATTGTTTATGAAGAATGGGTCTATCATGACTATCATGGTTAAAAGAAATGCGTCTAACTCCTGTTCGTAGATGGCTGTTAATTCCAGTTTCATGGCAATCGAGACTCATCCTCTCACCAGATCTCTCAATGAGTTTCAAAATATAGGATAACAGTATATACAAAATGATAGTATCGACTAAACCCCAAAGCGTTCACATCTACTTTAAAATATCATTCTACCCTCCACGCAAACAGACAAAAAATGAAAATTAAAGAAAAAGCAACAAAGCTAACCCCCTACACCTTCTCCAAAAATTCCTTAATCCGCCTAAACATCTCAGGAGGATTCGAATACATCGGAAAATGCCCACTGTACGAAATCTCCGCCAACTCCACACCTTCCTCCTTCAATCTAGGCAAATACGACAGAGTGGCATTCTGCACGCCATACATAAACATCTTCGGAAACGGCAACCCCAAAAACAACGCCAGTAAATCATTCCCATCGGTAATCTCAACCATGGTAGACAAAATCCCATACGTGACATGGGGACTAATCTTACGTCTAAGATTTGACGCATAAACAGCATTCGAGAAGGCGGGCGCGCGCCTGGCTCTCTCAGTGAACTCATGGAAAAATACCTCCGCATCATCAGCGGGGAAGAGAAAGACCTGACGACTGAGGAAGCAGTCCTCGGGGGCGAGATTACCCTTGATATTGGCGAAGCTGAGGACGCGGTCTGGGATTTCAGACGCGAGGAGGAGGGCAGTTAGGCCGCCCATGGAGTGGCCTGAGAGGTGGAATTTGGAGATGCCGTAGTGGTCAAGCATGGCTTTAGCTGTTTTGACGAGGAAGGGGATGTTTATTTTGCTGAGGTCGGAGCATGCTGTGTCGCCACAGCCTGGGGCGTCGTATACTAGGAGACCATAGTCGCTGAGATGGGGGAGGTAGGCGAAGTCGTTGAATTCTTCCTTGGAGGAGCCGAAGCCGTGAAGGAAGAAGAATGGGGGGCGGGTGCCCTTTTTGTAGAGGGTTGAGATTTCAAGGTTAACGCCCTCCACTTGGAATTGGACCTTCTCGTATGAAGGAGCGCTGTCTAAGGAGAAGGCGGCGACGTTGTCCATCTTTTGGGGTTGTAACCCCCAAGGCAATGTTGTCTTGGAGTGCTGCGGACAAGTGGGAAGTTACGGTAGAGCTAGGAGAGTACTTTAAAAGATATATAAGAGCTAATTGTGTGTGGAATTGGATAGTGAGTCATTTTGTCTCCCGCCAGTTAAGCATGTTCTTCGGCGTTTCCTAACTTGACCGATATCTTTCTCGGCCGTGAGTGGGGATGCCGATACGAGTTTGACGGCATTAATAAGCCCGTAGCCCTAATTCCTATCGGCGTATGGTCACTAACCCGATCAGAATGCGAACATGGTAGCAGTATATGAGGAGTATAGATTCTGGAAAGAGTACAGATATTAGCTGCTCCGGGATGGATTTTGTGTTTTATAAGTTTAACTCTACTCGATTCATGACTTGACAAGTTCAAAGCCGACTTCTAAACCTTGATTTATATGACTTCATTTAGCCAACCCATTCAACAAACTCTCCGCAACTACAGTCGGTTCTCATTTAGAAGGGCACCTATTCATACCCGTAGTATTCAAAGTGGCGCATCTAATATGGGCTCCCAATATCCTGACGTGCCCGTTCTCCCACCTGATGTTGCATTCGGTCTGCTAGCTGATTTCGGCGCAGACCAAAATCCGAAAAAAGTGTCCTTAATCGCTGGAGCCTATCGGGATGAAAATGGACTACCATGGATATTTCCCAGTGTGAAACAAGTAACCAGGATATAAAGATCCCGAAATCGGCCTGTTTCTGCACTCCCAACCAGATGCTAAGACAAAGACAGGCAAAAGAGCGCATTGCAGCTAACCCTACATCGCATCATGAATATCTCGATATTGCAGGCTCTCCTGTATTTCTGGACATTGCTCAATCGCTCGTTTTTGGCACTGAGCTAGCTGAGACTAAGAACATTGCTAGCATCCAGGCCGTGTCTGGTACTGGAGCAAACCACCTGTGCGCCTCATTTCTCGCCAAGCACCTTAAACCCAAGCATGTCTTTATCCCAGATCCTACATGGGTAAACCATAAGACAATCTGGGCTGCAGCAGGCCCGGAGGTGGTCCAGGAAGAGTACCCATATTATAACCAAAACGCGCGGTCAATTAGATTTGGCGATATGGTCTCGACATTCGAGACAACCGCACAGCCGAACGACGTCGTCATCCTCCAAGCATGTGCCCACAACCCTACAGGGCTGGATCTAACCCGTGACCAATGGAAGCAGCTGGCAGACGTAGTTCTGAAAAAGAAGCTATTCGTCCTGTTCGACAGTGCTTACCAAGGCTTTGCCACTGGAAACGTGGAAGATGATGCCTGGCCAGTGCGTTATTTCACAGAGCAACTGCTATCGAGCCAAGACCCTGATCAGAGGATCCCCGGACTATGTGTTGCTCAGTCCTTCTCCAAGAATTTTGGACTCTACGGCGAAAGGGTGGGAGCACTGCATTTAGTTGCTTCGTCTGATGTTTCCATCCAGGGAGCCAAATCTCAGTTGGCGCTTATCGCGCGGGCAGAGTACTCCAATCCACCTCGCTTTGGGGTTCAGATTGTGGAGACTGTTTTGAATGATACAGCCCTCAAGAAACAATGGCAGCAAGACTTGAACACTATGAGCTCACGAATAATGAGAATGCTTAAGCGATTGCGCACGAAGCTGGAAGAGCTTGGTACCCCTGGTGATTGGTCGCACATTGAGGCCCAAATCGGGATGTTCAGCTATACTGGGCTCAGTAAGGCGCATGTCGATAGGTTGAAGAAGGAATATCATATCTATCTGATGCCTTCAGGACGAGCTAGTCTGTGTGGGTTAAATGAGGGCAACATTGACTATGTCGCGAAGTGTATTTCTGAGGTTGTTAAGCAGGATCATTGACGAGATATGGGAAAGTGTGAGCTTATTCGGTTTTCTTACGCATTGGGATATCATGCTGTACATAATAGTCCAACTTTATGGCTGTTGCAATTATGATATTTATCACAGGCTATTTCCATCCAGGTCTACTTCACAGCCTCTATATGCTTCTCCAACGGAGTAAGAATGCCAAGCTATTAGCCTTGTCCTATTCGGGTCCTTTTATCTTGACCCTGCGAAGTACTTGGTATGTCCCGACAATTTTCCCACAGAATATTTAAGCCAGAACGAATTTGAGATGCAGTCCTCTGGCCGTGTTTCTTTCCTAAGGTCGTTGTCTCATAATTCCACCGAGAATGGGCGGGAGATATTGGACTGAAGATGATATTTCCACTCTTTTCTCGAAGCAAAACTTACTCCTGCCACGTCACAACAACCGCACGAATAATGGCGTGCCATAAGGAGAAAGTTGCCCTGCTCTATCCAGAGATTCCTCTAAATAGGTCACACTATAGGCCAATCTGTAGATAGCATAAGTCCGTTCATCAATGGAATGGTACATGTATACTATATGACGTTGTCTACAGCTTGAGTAACATGCTGTGACCCTTGCTGGTGTGTGTGAGAGCGCGTGTAAGAGTATTAGTGTGTGTGTATGGTTGTACGTGTGTGGGTAAGTGAGTAGGGGTGTGTGGGTGTGGGTCAATTTGAAACATTAACAAACCTGAGAAATCCACAGGGAAGTTGAAGAGAATCTTTTGTACATATGTCCCATCAGTAGACTAGATAGCCTGCTGTCGACTATGTTTGATTGGGTAATTGTATTCATAGTGGCTTCAAATAGCGATGGATACATTAAGACAAGCCCAGCATACGACGAGATGGGCTAGATATATGCCGATGTTTGCTCTTTGGACGCAATGTTTGCATGTGATCTGTGTTCTATAAATGTCCCAGTAGACATAGAGTCTGCTAGTAGACTCCGATTTATGTTATCGAGAGTTTAGACAAAGATACAGGGGGTCGTTATTAGGGGACCTATTCCTAGACGAGTGGATCTAATCTGCAGGGGCATAATTCCGACCATTATTTCGATCCCTTTAGTGGACCATATTGCAATGGCGATCATCAAGCCCGATAGTAATAATGGCATCGAGGTTTTCTTCCCCTTCGCGCCTCCCATGCTCTCTAGTGTAGGGTGTCCTACGTGCTTTGATGGAAACAAGGTATAATGTGCTGTTGGCAGGAGAAATCAGGAAATACTGAAGAATCCACTGTGTCATTCAGGATGCTTTTAAATGAGAGAGGTTGGTGTCCGGCCTATATTGGCATGCGTGCATCGCTATATAGGAAGCTGGCTGGTGTTCCTTCCAGTTGGCACCAATCCCCTACTAGCTAGTTCAGTAGACTTGTGTTTAATGCGGGTTCGGCTGGAATTGTTTCACCACTCTATATTTTGTGCGTTAAGTTAGTGGCGATGCTTGTAGACCACCACTAGTACCAAAATGGAGATTTCATAGCCCCTATAATTATGGATAACGCAGTATTTGTTTCCTATGAGGCACTTTGAGCGTCGAGGATTAACGGAGATAACCTGTCTTAGGAGGCGGTTGAGGCCTTGGTTAGGGCTTGGATTTTCTCAGGCATGGGCGTTCTGTCCACTGTATGTTAGCTGAGGCTCCAATACTTGAGGAAGAGATGAACCCTTACTCATTATTGAAACGGTATATGTCTATGGGACTAATAAATGGGGTCAAGTCAGTCCGTAGCTCGTTCTTCTCCCATTTTTTTTCTTTTTTAGAAATGTTAAACAGTGTTTGTGAGCATGTGGTGTTGACTAGTAGCAAAGCGTGCTATGTAGCCATCTTGTGAAGTATCTCTTGATGTGGCAGCAGAATATGGGATGCTGTACATCCTGTGGTGATCTCGAGGTCTCTTATTTTAAGCGTGCGATTTTAGCCATACTGAAAGCTTTGCAATGACCGAGAGGATGCTCGTGCGGTATATATCATCAATCGCGTCTTTTGGGACAAAGTTTGAAATGTTAAAGATATCAGTATGTTCGGAGATACCACCCAGCAGTTGATATGGATTAAAGTCGGGTCATCCTCTCTAGAACTATGTGGGATTACCCATATTAGTGGCTATTTCGCTTGGGAGATTACTGGTAGACAGCTTGAGGGGATACAAGAGATAGAATTCTAGGAGTCTATTAGTATTAATAAATGGATATGATGTAGATTTACTGTAAAGTCAAGGTGAAGCACTACAGAAATTGAAGTACGATGGACAGGCGAACCTACTTGCCAGTTGAGTATGAATATTTAACCCGTTGAATATACTTTGTTGGCGAGATTCGCAGGAAAACTATGTGACAATCCTGCCATAATCCTATTACAGTAAGTGAGTCTTCCAGATATTATCACACTATATCACCATAGTATAGATCAAGGAATGCCAAGATAGGTTACATTCTCTGTTGCCAGTTTAGAAAATAGTTCGGATTCCAAGGGATCATGGATAACAATTTCAGTTCTCTAACGTGTTGATAACGATCTCATGTCTAGTGAAGCTTATCATTGCTGCAGAGTGAGGCAACGCCCCACATATGGGATTGGTAACCTACTGTGCATTGGTACACATGTATCACTATAGAGCATAGTCCGGACGGTTGAACACCGCACCCACGGATAAACGTAGTAAATGCAGTGCCTGGAACCGTGTCCTCAATATAATATTTACTTATTACTTGGAAATTTGCTGAAGAATATCCTCATTGCCTGACACACAGCAAAATGACAGCAAGCCTGCCGCAGAAGGCTGCATCTCTCCTATGTGCGACATTGGGTGAAACAACATCAGACCGGAAAGTTCCCGGTCCTCGTCTACTGTGCTGTGGATCGTAAGGGCGATGTTCTGTTCAGTCATACCTCTGGTAAGCGTGGAAAAAGAATGCCTAGATTCAATGTCATTAGACGCCGTGTTTTGGATTGCTTCCTGTACGAAGTTGATAACGAGTATAGCCTGTATGCAGATGGTCGAGCAGGGCGATCTCGCACTTGATGGAGTCAAACAGACCGAATCAATCGCCCAGAACTCAAGGCCGTCCAGGCCCTGGAACGGAGCGTTGACGGTAGCTTTTCATTTTGATGCCCAAAGAGCGCGGGATCACGCTTCGCATGCTCTTGAACCATACTTGTAACGCTTTCCCTATCACCCCACAAGTGCCAAGCATAGGGCTGACTAGATCTATATAGCTGGCTTTGTCTACGCCTTTCAGGATCTCAAGCTGTGCGACTGGTCTCGCCCAGTCGGCCTAGACGATTTCTGCAGCCATGAGTCGGATGTGTTGCACCGGCCACTGGTCAATCAGCCCGAACCTAAGATCCAGTTGTGGGACTTGACTGGGCTGGTGTGTTTGTTGAACGCGTCAGTGGTCTATCCCTGGGAGGGTATTTTCAAAAGTTTACCCTGCAGCCTGTGGGGATTAAATTAATTGCTTTTTTTCCGGTCTACAAAGCTGACCATGAACCTGGCGTATGTGCATCAACGGGCTAAGGATGGTACTCTGAGCGTCACCGACCATCTCTACCGGTATCCCCTTCTACCCCGCAAGCCTGGAGCGGAATGAGAGAAATTTTGTAATGGAGGTGGCGGTTGTTTCGGGAAATCGAGTATTGCAGTAAGTTATCTTCCAGATTTCTTCGACCAATTTCTATCTATAAACATAGGTAGAAATCTGACAACCATTGGCGCATGACTTATCGTAACATTTCTGAACGACGGTACAGACCCAAAAACAAGCGCTCAACTTCGGAAGCCAGAAACAGTGAAAGGTAAAGCACATAATCTAACCAAACTAATCATTGGGATAACAAGTTGAATAGAGAAATGTTCACCGACCAAATGCCGGGTAAGCCCCTTCTTGCAAATCCTTGCCCGTTGGTATCTTGTGACGATGGCCTCACTAAGGGCTGGGGGATTGTCCTTATCTCTTAGCCATCAGAAGAGCGCAATAGGAAGGGTAGCTGGACCTGGATCTTGGGAGGGGCTAGCAAACTTGTTCTAATTTGCAGACCGGGAGAACGGGGTTGGAGCTATCTTAGCAGCTCACATTCTTCCATATGGAGGGATGTCTCGGAAGGCCCGTGGGAGTGATAGGGAGATAATATGGATTGTTACAGATCTTTAGGATTTAGAGTGCATGGAAAGGGTAGAAAAGGTCATATATGATGAGCTAGAGTATGGAAAGCTGTAGATAGTGATATAGACAATGAATGCTTGATTTTCAGAGAAATTAAGAGGTAGACAAATCTTGTTTAGTTCAGTAAGCATAACAAGACAGTATCCGCTGTTCAAAGTAACTTTAAATCATTCTGTAGTGTTGAGGATCCTGCCATGTCTGATCCACAGCGAGAGTCAAGACCATGGTACCATAGGGGAAGATTATCCAGAAAACAATGAAGGAAGTAAAGCATTTATAAAATTGTAATGTACCTTATCAGCTATTGGATACATGCATTTCTCCTACTCATCAGTCATGATGTTTATAAACATAAGCACCCATCGGCTTTCCCAACGAATTTAGCACAAACAATTACAGCTTTCCAAGTCCATTCGCGCCAGACTTCTTATCATTGTAATCGATTTGGAAGCTTAAAGCCGGGTCATAGTGTATAGCCCAATATCCATCCCAAATAGCCTTGGTAATCGGACCGAGCTGGCCCCCATTCACCAGTTTTCCATCCAGTGAAGTGATAGGCATGATACCCCCAGCGGTAGTGGACATGAAAATCTCGTCAGCGTTGTACGCCAGCTCTACCGGAATAACCTCAACGCGAACTTCAATTCCCGCTGCCCGCGCGACATCAATAACACTCCTCCGCGTGATACCCTGCAGGACGCCACGGTCAGGCGTGTACAGCACACCGTCTTTGACGAAGACTATATTGAAGCCGGACCCCTCAGTGATATTAGCATCACCATCGGTCAAGAACGGGTAAGTAGCACCACGGTCCGACGCCTCGAACATGCCGCGGACGAGATCTCCCCATTGCAAATTCTTAACGGTGGGGTCAATAGCACCAGGAGGAACACGGCGAACGGTGCGGGCCACGATGGCGCTACCACCAGTAGTCTGCACCTCGGGCTCCATGACCCAAACGTAGGGCTGAACAAACATATAAAGACTGTTCTTCATGTCTTCGGGCTTGGTGCCCCGAATACCCTTCAGGCCCCGAGTGACAATCAATTCCACGAAAGCATCGCGGATCCCGCTCTTGGCGACCATGTCAACCAGAATCCGCTTGACCTCTTCTCGGGGTAGAGGTAGCTTTAGGCGCAACTTGCCGCAGCTCACCTCCAATCGCTCAAGGTGGTCGTCTAGGCGGAAGAATCGACCGTCCCAGACGGCTGGCACATCGTAGGTTAAGTCACTGTGCATGAAGCCTTGGTCGAGAAGTGGGATGCGTGCCTCGGCGAGTGGAACGTATTTCCCTTCAATCCAGGCTATTCCCTTGGCTAGGGGATTGCTGCTCGCTTCTAGAACAGCCTGTCGTGCGGCATAGTTGGCAAAGACTTTTTGCATGGAGGACATTATGAAATTGGGGATTTGGAAATGAGAGCACAAATGAAATAAAAGGTTAGTCGGGATTCTCTAGCAAATATCTAGGTCTAAAGCCGAGTTTAAGCATATAGTGGCTGAGAATGTAGTTATTCTTTTCGCCACTAATGCTGGAATGGTTATGTAACTCGTCATTTTATCCGGAATAGGTAACTTGCCCCAAGAGGAAACCGAGTTCGCTCCCGATGATTGAGCGGGTTTGTATGCTTTTCCAGCACGGCAAAAGATACGCAGCGCTTTCTCCGTTGGCAGGACGTTGTAAGTATTGGAACCCGCAGGTTCGATTAGGAAGGTAAGTCTGGATATTGTGGCGTTCATAGTAGACTGGTTTTGGACGGTGATACGATATGACCCATAGTCGCCAACTTGGTATAAAAAGCGTAATTAAAGCTACACAGAGAGTTAATCTTCATGGCAATATAAAAGAAGACTGGAACTGGAAATGCCTTAACCGCCCACCTTTTCAAAGACAACGACGCAATGGAAAAAAAGAATGTGGTAGTGATCGGGTAGGTAATCTTCTTCTTAAACTGACTCGAATTCTGTGTGATGATCACCAGACTTGTATTTAACTCCTAGTTTATATCCTTAGTGCCGGAGTCGCAGGCCTCACGACCGCCTCTCTTCTGTCAAGGAATCCAAAATCTAAAATAGTCGTTGCGGCTAAACATATGCCTGGAGACTACGATATTGAATATACTTCAACGTGGGCTGGCGCGAATTGCATGCCGTGAGCGCAACGGAAGCTCAGGCAATCCTACGAGTCACTAATAAGAGCAACACTTAGCATGTCTACGCGTGGTACCAAAGCAGCGGACTGGGATAGGCGCACCTGGATCGCGTTGGAGGACTTAGCACGGAACCACCCCGACGCCGGGATACATTTCCAAGGTATGGTGAACAGGGCCCAGTCTCACAGTTGAGAGCTAACGGGATTGGAGAATGCGAAATACACACTCGCTCCAAAGATGTCGGCAGCACGACTGCGGAGTGGTTTGGAGAGCTTCTGTCACTAGACCCTTGGTTCGAGGACGTTATTCCAAATGTGAGCATAAGCTAGCTACTTCGAATTGAAACCTCATTGGCAATATCTAATTGTAAGGTGATTAGTTTCGCACCCTTTCTAAGAATAACCTTGGCCCTGGGATCGACTCTGCGACAGCCTTCACATCTGTGTGCATTAACACAGCAATATACCTCCCCTAGCTCGTTTCCCAATGTCTCAAAAACGGAGTCAAATTAAAACGAGCCATATTCAGGCATATATCAGACGCTGCATCCTCATTGATTCACCCGGGACAGGAGGTTGATCTTGTGGTCAACTGTACGGGTCTTATGGCTTCCAAACTGGGTGGAGTAGAAGACAAGACCGTTGTACCTGCCCGAGAGCAAATTGTGATAGTCCGAAACACTGCTGGTAAAATGCTAAATGTTTCTGGGACCGATGATGGTGACAGTGAAGCATGCTATGTCATGACCCGGGCTGCTGGCGGCGGGACGATCTTGGGTGGTTCGTATCAGCTAGGAAACTAGGAGTCGCAGGTGGATCCTAACCTTGCTATCCGAATCATGAAGCGTGCGGTAAAAATGTGTCCTCAACTTACTGGTGGTAAAGGAATCGAGCACCTCGATATAGTTCGAAACATTGTCGGACTAAGGCCTGTGCGGCAAAACGGGACAAGAATTGAGAAGGAACGCATAGGTGATACTTGGGTAGTGCATAACTATGGTGCAGGAGGAGCCGGCTACCAATCATCGTATGGTTGCGCTCAGGCTGCTGTAGACCTCGTTGAGGATGCTCTGGCAACACGGGCAAGGCTTTAGCATGGTTGTCCGGAGACATGTCGAGTACACCGTAGAATTCAAATGCATGAACTACTTCATATGTTCGCTGTTACTGCATTTGTGACTGAATATGCTTTGAAATTCTATCGATTTATGTAGTTTGCTACCCTATCTTTAGTTAAAGACGGGCATCAGCTCCTCATTTACATAAAAATTGTTGCGATGTAAGGATCACAACCCAGGTGCAAGACAGTACATATTGGGACCAAAAGACTTATAGCAAATGCTTTACTAAGAAAGGCTGAAGCTGATCATATGATCAATGACTTAGTAAAGTAAGGTTAAATATATCAGGCCACCATTCCATGTAAGATCTATAAAAGGAAGCCATCCAGTTCTTCTGCCTGGTCAGGCGTGTATATTTCGGCCGACGTTTCCTAGGAAGGTTGAAGAATGAGTGAATATCAACGATATTGCGTTTTCTCTCATGATCTGAGATCTATGGAACGCCTCGGCAGACTAGGTGAGAACCTACATTAACGTTTCTATTATCAAACGCCGATTCTCCCCCTAATTCCATCATAGGCGAAGATACACTCGATACTTGGACTAGATGAAAAGGGTAATCATTTACAGACTTGTTTATGGGGATTGCCAGGACTGGGCCTGGTCGTTCCTATCGCGGGCTATACTTCTCCCTTCTAAGCAAGTGAGCTTGATAAAGTCGAATCCGGGGGGAACCACGGTACCCACCGACTGTTTCTCTCTCTCTCTCTCGTTCTCTCTTCCTGCACTCGCCGGCTTGTCGCTTGTACTCCGTGCAGATATCAATCATCCTTCCGATTAGCAGTCCTTCCCATCAGTACGTGTTCACGAATTTAGCAGGTTGCATAGTATTAGACGGAGAAAAGTCATAGTTGTGGACCCCTCACATCCTTCTCCGGATCCCAAGCAGGTTGTTAGTTCATCCGGAGTAAGGATGCTACTAGGAGTTGTACCCGCAAGCAAGCAATTGAAATTGGACACGTCAACCACATGACCAGGATTCATGCGGATGTGAAGGGATCAGGGTTGGCCTCTTGGAACTGTACACGATACCCGAACCTTCTAATGTTTGACTACGGCGACGGAGTGACGCCCAGTGGCAACGCACATCTTGTCGGGTTCGGCAAAGACGAGCGAGATGTATTTGTTCCCGAGCGAGACCCAGAAAACGCCATCGATGCCTTTCAAAATCAACATCCTGTGGAGGTGGAAAAGATGGTATAAGTTTCTGTCCTAGCAATTGTCCAAGAAAATCATTTACTAATACACATACATAACAGGGGTTTCACAATCGGAACACCAATCCCTAGTCTCAGGACAGGCCCGCCTGGTGACCACCAGAGTTCATACCCAAATCTCAGGACGAGCTGCAGGGCTGTCACGATCATGTTTTCTTTGCCTCTGCAGACTGGGCTCATGGGTGGCGAGCATCTATCGATGGAGCTTCAGAACAAAGATCCCAAGCAGCGCTGCAGATTACAGACGAGCTAAAGAGGTCTTGCAAGAAGCCAGTCAAGGCAAAAAACTAATGGGTTTGCATCATATAGCCTGTCTATCGTTCTTTTATATAGCCTGAGAGTTCATGAAAGTTTTAGAGCCAATCAAGCACATAGGACACCAATGTCTTCTCATAGAAACGTAGAAAAATAACTCCGCGAAGAAACCCTTCATATGATGTCCTCCTCAACTGTTCAAACCACGACACAACCAGGAGCTAATTTCCCTGAAACTGTTGGGTTTGAGGTAGTCTCCATAAGATTTCTACGATACTCCAAGGAAACGCCCCACTGATAAGATGATAAGCGCGGCTATTACAAAGCCCAATCTGGCTAGCCGATACTGCACGGACCGGCAAATCACCCACTCATCACCTGATCTTCGTGGGACATGGCTGCTGGCTATTTTACCGGAATAGGCAACCGGGGTCAGGGGCCGGGGAATTGTCGGACTATCTTTGACGTAAGTTACCCTCAACACCGTAACCAACTTCAAGGATTGGACCCGTTATATCCTGACCTAACCCGTGGAGTTCTTGAAATTTAGAGTTCTAAGTATACGACCGCCTAACATAACACCTGTTCAGTTGTCTGCAACTTATATATTGGGCAACTTCATTTCGTGTTACCCCTCCAAAGAGCTCAAGCCCTACTTTTCTTGTATCTATAATCCAGAAGACTATCTTTCCCCGATCCAACCAGACGCAATGGCAGCCACAGAGAAGCGCCCGGAGATTATCGAGTTGGCACGGGGTTTGGAGGGTGTGCCCATGTGCGAACAGTATGAATGCATGATCTCCGGAATGATGTACGTTTGATCCTAATTCCCTCTCAATATATAATCACTGCTGGATAACTAATCTGACCACAGGTACAACCCAAACACACCTAAGCTATTAGAAGCACGCCATCGGTGTCGGGGCCTGACAACGGATTACAACGATCTAGACACCAAGTCAGTCTCATACGACAAAATCGCAGACGAGCGTCTGGAGCGACTCCGCAAGCTCGTCGGCAGCGTGGGAGACGGCACCTTTGTAGAACCTCCTTTCAGGCCCGATTACGGATGTAATACGGTTATCGGAAAGGATTGCTTCATCAACTGGGGGTAAGTCCACGATTCCGCACTACAATTTTGTCTTTCTTTTTTCTTTTCTTTTTTCCTTTCCTTTTTTTTTATGTCCAAAATAAAGCTGACAAATACAACCAATCAGCCTGACCGTCCTAGACACTAGTCTAGTAGTGATCGGGGACCGGGTACAAATCGGGACCAATACTAGTATCTTTACTGCGGGCCACGATACCAGTGTGCTTTCGCGTCGGAAGTTTGTCGAGTTCGGTCATCCTGTCTTCATTGAGGATGATTGCTGGATTGGAGGTAATGTGGTGATTCTTCCTGGTGTTCGTATTGGAAAGGGGTCAACCATTGGTGCTGGGTCAATTGTGACTAAGGACATTCCGCCCTATTCGGTTGCGGTTGGCATTCCTTGCCAGGTGAAGAAGACTATCCCTACAGTTGAGGAAGAGGAGAACGACCCTACTAACCCTTACCGGAACTTGGTGCGGGAAGATAGAGAGTGATAGAATTCTTTGTTAGATCGACACGAATAGATGATTGATTTGTCCGGATTGCAGTTATCATCTGCAAGGGACGTACGACAGGGGCCTCGCAGTTCTATACTAAGTTGGTGACATTCAGGAAGTAGATTGTAAGATTTTAGCATTTCCCTCTGGGAAAACTGAAGCCGAAAACTCTCGGTGTATTGAACAAGAATCCTCGAGATATACGCTATGCTGAATGGACTACATATAATACAGGATATTGCAGGAGACTTGAAAGGATCCGTCACTGCAGCCTGTAATCGGAGCTGTTTGAGCCCAGTTTGGCTTCTATTCAGTCATGTTAACCAATAATGCTCAGGGGATAAATAAGCTTATAGCAATAGAATAGCAACAGGGGCCAACGTGGTAAATGTCGTCTAACTAGACGTAGCGAGTCGGTAATTAGTGCTTAGTTATTAGTGTGTGCTACGATGTACGTTCGAGGTGTTTATAATTGGATAGTGTGCTGTGCCGCCATATCTTTCATTTATATCGAACACTGACTTAGATAAAAGCAAACCTGCTCCGTATATAAACGGTCTCATCAAGTTAACTGAGTAATACTACTGGTTTTACCCTTCTTATTCAAAGGTAGGGCAAAAAACAACCTGGGAGGTGCGGGAACCTGTGGTCATACGTATATTTATTTCGTTACTTCGTTGAGTTATGTGCCCAGTACTTGCCACGAAAACGATGTAGAGGCTGCTATAAATGCTTTCGTCTTTTACGATTTTCCATTTTTTACATGGGTATTCGAATTTACTAGAATGGGAGAAAACGACGCTTAGGCCACCAATTCTGAGATTGCCTACGTAAGCTTCGACTGAGAAGTATTTCAAGAAAACAATAGTGTCGTTAAAAGGAGTTTTTAATAACGAATAATTCTAAGGGTATTGTTCTAGTTGGTTACGACATAATAACATCTTACTTCTTGGCCGCATCTTTCATCTCGCCCCGTTCCCGCACCAGAGCAGCCATGTCCCGACCAATATCGGTCCCAAGGTTCTCATAACCAGCAATAACACCGTCTCGGTCCCCCTTGCTCGATTCCTGGCTCATCTTATACTTGCCGCCGATATCCTCAATGATGATCTCAATACCGATGATGCTCTTCTTCATCATATCGATATACCGGTCCGGCGCATCGGTCACTTTCCACGATTCCGGCTTATCTCCCTGTCCGGTATAGCCCATGATTGATGTTTCGCAAAGTTCGGAAAGATCATGAATCTGCTTGGAGAGGTATTCCGAGGTCTCGGGCGCCGAGCTGTCATGGTAGATCGTAGCCTTGCCATGGACCTGAACCGCAGCATAGTTCCAGGTAGGGACCACTTTGGCGGTGGTGGGTTTGGTCTCGGCGTAAAACTTGGGAGTCACATAATGGTTCGTCGTCGTGGTGAACAGAACCTGGACTTCTTGTTGCAGCGGGGAGGCGGATGGTAGACCAGCCTCGTTCAGAGCATCGATCATAGTCTTGCTGTGAGGGTTTGCCCTGGCCATATGGCCACGCAGCTTTCCTTTTACTGGCGCATTGGGGTCGTCGGAGATGATGTCCAGTACCCAGGGAATGTGACTTGACTGTAAGAAGTGCTGTGTAGTGGAGGGAATGGCGGTGGTGACCACGCCTAGGGGACTGTTTTGGATCAGCTCAAAAAGAGCTTTGATCGATGTCTCTGCGTGAATTGCACGGAGATACATGGCGTCTTGTTTGATAATAGTGATTGAATTAGGTAAATAAAGAATGAACGAATAATTAAGGCCTAACAAGGCTGAGATTGTGGTTAGGTTGCTCAGAAAGTACTGAGGGGTTCCAGACATATTTATATATTCTATGGCGTGGTGAGTCATCACCCGACACACTCAAATAGCAATCTGATCCGAACTTTTAGCATTTAAGCATGAAAAACTTTTATACGTAAATCGAGGGGTATCGGGATCTCCGAGTGAGAAATGATCGTTTTCTGATTGGCGCATGGGGCCGAGCTACAGTCAACGGTGGGCCACAGGGCGTGACATAGTAAGAGGTCAATCATGTAAAGAAGTTTAGGCATTTCGTCAAAATTTCTTCCTTGTGTGCCACTGAGCGCTTAGAACAGAAGTTGCAGGTAGAAAGCTGGACTCAAATGTATGGCCAGAGCTTCGAAGGTATCACGGGACTAGCGTGTCCCTTTTGGGAAGTTGACGGTAGTGGGGCTGAAATCTCTCATTTGGCCAATAGGAGATTATAATCTCTACCTGAAGTATGCCGTTTCGAGGAAAGAAATGGGGAGCCACTACTCTTGGTGGTTCCCTATAAATTGGAAGATATTCTCAAGATTGAGCTTTAAAATTTATCATTGCCTCTTCCCAGGCTTTTGCCTTCTAGAAACTCACTCCACTCTGTGCAACCTGGCAGTCCCTACGTCACAGAATGTCCCCTTCAAACGATACTCATCGCTCCACGCGAGCATTGCATGCCGATGACCCTCTGAACCTCGTCACTGACGTTGCCCCTCCGATACACTTGTCGACAACATTCAGATTCCCGAGCGACCCCAATGACCTGCTACCTTCCGTCGATCCCGTGGTACGCTATCCGGCCCTCATTTAAAAGTTGTATCAGGAAGTTGAATTAACTCTTGTCCTAGGATGAGTTTAACGGGAAGAACTACGTATACTCCCGCGAGTTTGCTCCGAACGCAACTCGCTTTGAAGCCGTTCTTTCTTCGCTAATTGGCGGTAATGCAGTCTGCTACGCAACTGGGCTAGCTTCTCTGACTGCTGCCTTGGTGCTGCTGAACCCCCGCCGCATCTCGGTTGGCGAAGGTTACCATGGTAGCCATGAAGTGATCGGTGTTCTCTCACGCCTGTCTGGCCTTCAGAAACTGGACCTTCATTGCCCTGCAGAGAGCTTAGAAAAAGGAGATGTGATACTGCTTGAAACTCCTATAAATCCGCTGGGCACAGCTTACAGCATCGAGCAATTTGCCCAGAAGGCTCATTCTAGAGGTGCTTACCTCATTGTCGATAGCACCTTCGCGCCGCCAAGCTTGCAAGATCCGTTTCAGTGGGGCGCGGACATTGTGATGCATTCCGGCTCCAAGTATTTTGGCGGTCACAGTGACATGCTCTGTGGTGTGCTTGCCACAAAACGACAGGACTGGACGAAGAAACTTTATGAGGATAGACTTGCGTTTGGAAGTGTCATCGGCAACTTGGAAGCTTGGCTTGGTCTTCGAAGTCTGCGCACACTGGAAGTTCGTGTGGAGCGCGCAAGTCAGACGACTGAAAAATTGATCTCATGGCTGAATGAGGGTCTGAACGCTCAAAGTCCAGCTCCAGGGAGCGAGGAGCAGACCATACAAACCGTCCTTCAGAAGATCCACCATGCCAGCTTGCAGGATGAGCCTTGGGTTCGGGAGCAGATGCCCAATGGTTTCGGTCCTGTATTCTCAATTGTGCTCCAGAGCGAGGATTTTGCGCGAGTCCTGCCAAGTAAATTGCACTTTTTCCAGCATGCAACTAGCCTCGGTGGTGTCGAGTCCTTGATTGAATGGAGAGCATTGTCTGACTCTAGAGTTGACCGGAAGCTCTTGCGAGTTAGTGTTGGATTGGAGAATTGGAAGGACTTGAAGAATGACTTGCTCCAAGCATTCAAATCCATTCTGCCGCACGCTTGATTTATTGTTTCGAAGCCTTTCTGCTGTATATATTGATATTTTGTTCCATGAAATTTTAACGACAATTTTGTAGTAGTGTTTACTCAATGCTTGTCTCCACCTGGATCGATTGATCCTATAAGGCTTGTGCACAAAGGGCCAACATCGGGAACCTTAATCGATACTAACTTCGCGCAGGACAGCTAGTCTAGCGTAAGCTTTCAGCATAGACCGCAAGTCTAATCTAATAACTTTAAGCCTTCAATATGCTGGAGGATCCATCTTTATTATCGCAGCGTGTCATGTGACTGGAGACAGGAGTCGAGAAACTTGCCTGAAGAGGTTAGCGGTCCTGCGACGATCCAGCAGTGATTTCATCACATGGCAACCACAAAACTTTAACCCAACGTCTTGAGTCAGTTATTCCACAGTACTTGTTCGATGCATCACCTTGTCCCGAAGTGGGACTTAGATCTTTATAGGCCTTGTCCAACTGTACTTTACAGTATGTCTGTCCCTGGAGCTAGCTGGCACTAGCCCCTCAATGGAGCCGGCATCACGTTATCCATATTCTTGTGTTCCTTTGCATTGAAATGCACAATGTACGACCCTTGCTATACATGCCGGCGTAGGCGCATCCAATGTGACCAATCACAGACCCCTTGCAAGAAGTGTTTGAAAGCCGGGCTAGAATGCTACGATAAGAGACCACTCAGATGGGTCAAAGGCGTCGCGATTCGAGGCAAACTGCAGGGCTTAACAGTTAAAGATGCCTCGGCTACTTCCGCAGCCTTGGCAGCTTTGGATCGAGTACCAAGGAAAAAGTGTACTAAAGGAGTATTATCCTCTGCTTTGGTGGGAAGTAGTCATAATGGTGAGGCGTTCATACCACATTGCCCTGATCTGTGCGGTTGTTAACTCCCGGGGGTTCATGTTCCTATCCTATTTGGGACATCTCGTTGATCTGACTCTATACTAACTGGGACCCTTCGCATCGTTTAGGTACACACAGGAATAAGTTGGACCTCTCGTTACCTTTGGATTCTGGTCTTATCATGAACTTGGACCGCACGTCTAGGTACTACCTTGACTATTGTGAGTAGATTAACTTTTAGTTCACATATACTGGTGGTCGAACGTTCGACAGTTCCTAATGTAAACGTACAGATAATGAACAGATATGCAAACTTTTCATTGTATATGATAGCGAGGAGAATCCGTTTAGACGGCTAATATCCCTGGCTTTGGACAATCCAGTCCTACTGAAGGCGGCTCTCGCCCTCGCGGCGCGTCACAGGGCCAACTCGGGATGCCCCTTCGATAACCCTGCAGTGGAGGCTTCCACCGACCGCATACAAATCCATCGAGAGGCCCTCGTCTTCAAACACCAAGCTATACAGGGGCTCACACGCGCGTTGAATGACCCGGCAGTCTCCGGAAAGGACACCACAGTGGCTTCAATTTTCCTCCTTATATTCTTAGATCTCCTCGAGTCCGGAAGCGACAAATGGAACTTCCACCTTGAAGGTGCTAAGAAATTGATTACACATGGCCAACTACATGAGTTACAACATGGAACATCTCAGGATCCTGGACGGACTGTGCAGGAAATACGAACGTTTATTATCAAACAGATCCACCTGTAGGTGTCTTGACCCATTGAGTAGGTAAGGCGATATACGTATCAGCTAACTGCGTTTCTAATCGCAGCATTGAGACTCTTGGGGCTACCTTTGTACGTCCCAAATTACTATCTGGCTGCACTTCCCTAGATCAACCAGACAGCTTGCTTGATGAAACTGTTGAACAATCCTTTCTCGGATGTCCTGAGTATTTGTTACATGCTATCCAATGTCTCTCCGCCTACAGAGACACTATTGCTGAGTCTCAGCGACAGACTCCTACAACCAGCGCCACACATATGCAGGATATAGCAAGCGTGCTCGAACTAATACGGAAATTCGACTGTTACACATGGGCCTCGAGTCTTCCGGAGTCACACAAGTCTTCGTCACGAAACCTCGGCAACCTTTGCCGATTGGCGCAGTCATACAAATTGGGGGCTCTCATATACGGTCAGCGGGTCCTGGATTCTCTTCTTATTACGGTTACCCCACAAGACGAACCCGTATCTGAGTTAATCGGCGTTATAGATGCGTTAAGGGATGACGGGAGCTTGTTGAAATGTGTCCTTTGGCCTATTTTTGTTGCCGGTCTTGAATGCCGTTCGCAACCCCAGCGAGACTTTCTAATCAGTTCCTTAGAGAATTTCTGGATAGACACGAATTGCTTAAACGTCGTCAATGCAGCCAAGGCCTTGCAGTCATATTGGCAGAAAACAGACAAGGAAGATACGTCACCTACGCAATGGATTTTCGACATCGGTGATCTTGATCATGATTGGCTGTTTATATAAGGATATCCGGACTCTTTATTGTATATTGCAAGTCCTCCTTATTAAAATGACATTTTATCAATATGTTCCATTATGCTTCCACTGCCTATTTGGTTCGTGGCATGAGGGGCCTTTATAGCATGGGGTTGGACCTTTGTCACGATGGCAAATAGATAGAGCATCGTTATCCTAGCCCTTATCCTTTATTAATATAAGTTCAAACTATTTTATATACACTAGTATGTGTGATATACAATGGGACTTCCTTTGTTTTCTGCTCAAGCCGGGTTTCCTTCCGTACCCGCGTTTTAGGGGTCGTGAATGTCATCTGTGTTATCGGGAGATCTAGGGTGAGGGATCCCGAGTAGAACTCTAATGCCGGCACGGCGTATAAAGTGGAGCTGGGGCCTTCTCTAGCCGCATCAAAGCAAGTGTATGGAAGTTTATTTACCTCTATTCAATTAATTGGCGTGGCTATCTCTCTATTTTCTTTCATTTAGTTACTCCCCTTTCGCTAATTTGTTTCCCCTATCTTCCTCTAATCTCTCTTGTGAACTCAGGAAGAATACCTACCTACTTTGTACAGGAAAATTCTCACATGAAATTGTGATGTTCCTTGAATAAAAGGTTACCCGGTCCCATCTTGGTATAATAGTACCCCTTGCTATAGATAAATCTAATACAATAGGGATATCACACAGCCGAGCGCTTTAATTGGCTAGCGGGTAGAAGACCAGGTCGAACGGCATCAATGGTTTTCCCCGCCCGAACACTCCTCCCGTAGTCGCGATGAATCTCTCAACAGCGCCCAAGCCATCCTTGTTCAGACTTCGATGTGCGTTCCTTAGAGATACTATGAAGAGCTCTCGTGAGTGAGGAGACATTGTATACGCGGGTATACTGTGGACCTAACACATGACACGACGTTGAGCTCATATACACAGTCATACACAGAGAGCGCTTTTTCACCTCACAACATGTCGTCTCTCGAAAAGGGCGGGCGTTTTCGATCGCCACCTGCACCAGTCGTTGAGGTGGTATCGACGGGGGCAGTGAACATTATCCAAATCGATTATACTATTTCACTTGATGCTGTTCTGGGTGTGGGCTCTAAACCTCTTTTGCAATTCTACAATATGTTGACCGTTCCTTATTGCATCGTTAGGGGGCTTTGACTGCTGTTCATTCTTATGCATTGACAGATTCACTGAGATATACACACCGCTTGGAACCTGGGCCGCAGAGTCTATATTCTAAGATCAGATTCGGGTCAAATTTTACCCCGCTACTGGGGCGTTGGGTAAGTGAAACAATAATGGATTTGAATCCTACAGCTGGAGGGACCAAACCGGGAGGAGTCCTACAACCTGCTTTTAATGTCTTCAGCAATTGATTGACTACATTCCCCTGATTGGTACCCCGGCATGCTACCTACTACTACTAATGGGCTCGGAGATGGGAGGACTTTCTCGGCTTTTCTACAGCAGAAAGACGTACTGCTGCACGTGCCAACCTGCCCACCCCGCAAGCCACTAGACCACATCCAGTTAAGAAGAGTATAACAAAAGTCAGCCACGATGATTGGCTATACTGGATTCACGTTATCGGAGTCTGACTGACGATCTCTGACAAAAGATCCACTTTGTCATCCCCCAAGGTGTCAACCTCAAGTCTCTCCTCCATGTATTCCAAAACGTATTCCCAGTGCCCACAGAGGGAGAACATATCATGTCGGCGTCAATTACCCGTACGAGAACGGGGTGCTGGTCTTGTCGTTCGCGAAGAGTGAAATGCGACGGTAAGGGTCTGCCTCATAATTCTTGCTGACGACTCCGTGCTTACCTCGAGACTGCGTGTAGAAACACGCCCTGTTTGCTCTCGTTGTGCTAGGTCCAGTATCTTGTGCGATTATAGTGTACGTCTCACGTGGCATGAAGAATCGCTATCAAAAGGCGTCTGTCACGGTCGAGCTGGGGTGTGGTCGAAGAAGGGAAACAGCCGCAGCTCAAGCCGGGCATCGTATACACTACCGACACCACCAACATCTCCTAGTGGGGATACAGCTCACCAAACGCGACGGAGTGGACGGCCAAAAGCCCCGATAGTGTTCTTAAATACGACGATGCGTGATCTAGAATTATATTTTGATTTCGAACGTTCGTTGATGAGCGAAACAGACAACGGGTCTAGCGCGGTCGCAGTAGCTTACTCAACTTCGAACGCTTTTCTCAGTGAAGCCCTCCAAAGCCGAGCTATGTCACTCTCGCTGGTACGTCCATCTACCGGACCAGCCGAGTTTCGGGTGTTAGAGTACGACTCATCTTTGATGTCCTACTATGAGACAGTAATTTGCAGTTCATCGACCCTGCTTGATAATGCCCGACATAACCCATACCGTTCCGTGATTCTTCCTATGGCTATGGTATCTGACGGCCTATACCATGCGACCCTGGCTATCTCTGCTCAAACGCTACGTCTGTCGGACCCAAAATATCGTTTCGCCGCCCTTAAACACGGCCAAAAGGCCATCCAGGCTTTGATTCGCATATTGAAACGAGGCATAAATAGTGAAGCCGATATGGATGAGCTTCTTGGGCTGGCCTTGATGCTGTGCTGGTATGAGATCACGGACGGATGTCGGCCTTCTTGGGTGACACACCTTAACGGCATCCGTGCCATCAGTGCTCGGTGTCGAAAGCCTTCGCCTTTGGGAGCCGAATCATCTCGTAGCAGCCATCTTCGTCAGTTCTTCAATCGGTACTTTGCATTCCATCTGGTGCTAGCTCGGACTGCTTTCAGAATTGATGCCGACGTGGCCTCCAGCAAGGACTTTTTGCTTACATATCCAGACCCACCTACGAATCTAGTAAGAAAGATCTACGAGCCCTCCTTAAACAATGCATTAGTCCGAGGAAGCCTAGGCTCAAGGGAGTCAAATATTTCGGAGACAGAAGATCTTCAACAACTAGCGGCTACCTCCACAGGGTTTCTCGCTGTCACCATGCCATTGGACGAGCTAGACGTGATCGACCCCTATATGGGGTTCAGCAATTCTCTCCTTCTCCTCATTAATGAAATTGCTGAGCTGGCCTGGCGGAGTCCACCGAAGGGTCTAGATGACTGTGCGGAATCTCTCAGGGCCAAGGCTTTCCATATTAAAGAATCGTTAGAGAAACTGCGCCAGCGGCTTCCAGTGCAGCTGGAATTGGCCTCCGCAAGTGGGCACATTAAAAATGATGACCCGAGTAGAGATCTGGTTACAGAGTTCGTAATCATTGCCGAAGCAAATCGCCTTGGTGCATTACTCTTCCTACATGAGATTTGTTCGAATCGTTTTAGATTCGAAGGATCCTATTACCCCTCAGAGATCCACGACGAGTGCGATCAAAACACGATTCTTCCGCGATTTCCGGATGAGGACAGAAACAACTACATCCGTGTCATCCTCGACCTGATCGAACACAATCTACCTTGGATTATTCGCACTGCAGCACTACCACTCTGGCCATTGTTCCTTGCTGGCTGTTGCTCCGTTACTGAGGAAGACCGAATGACTGTGATGACTATTTTTGAGGAATCCGAGCAAATGAAGCGGTTTGGGGTATGTACACAGCCAACGAGATAAGTCAGTTGGACCTTGCTAACTATTACCCACAGAATATAAGACCGGCACGAGAAGTGGTGGAAATGGTTTGGCGTCAATATGACCTCGGTGTCCAGGATGATAGAAAAAGGCGTAAGGCGGCAGCTGTTGCTACGGGGCGCCCAGTTGAAAGGAGCAGGCAGTCCGAGCGTTTCGTGTGGGAGCGAGCCATGAAGATGCTAGGCGGGTGGAAGCTCAGTTTAGCATGAATCTGCCGTCGAGTAACCCATCGACTTACGAAGAGAAAACTTATAGATGACCTAGAATAGATTTGCACATAGATTCAGTATCATCGGGTGGCAGGTCGTGGCCTACTACTGTACATAGCAATGAAGCATATATCCCATGAGAGTGGGCTCTAGTCCTTATCCTGACATTCTTGCCATAATTTTTAGCATACAGAGCTCACCTAGGTCTGTACCAAGGGTTAGGCAACAACCCTCAGTGGCTGTACCATGGTGCATTTTTGGCTACGGACCGAACCTTAACGGCAGGAGGTCCATTTAAGCGCGCTGCGGATCGGCGGCCCGCAAAGACCCATCATTCTATATCATCAAGAACTAACGGTGGATCTCAATCCTTCCTCTCCTTAGTATGGTATCCACTCATCTAGTCCTGAGCTTCAATAGAAAATTATAAAATTAAATCTTAGTTCGGGATGAATCATGATCCCTGTCAACAATACTTACAGGCATACTATCTTCATCCCCCTTACTCAAGTACTTATCTGCAACAGGCCAATACAGATACCATCTACAACACCCTCCTCACTAACTACCACCGCAACAGACAAACAGAAACCCAAGTCACCCCTCCCTCAAAGGTGAATACCTTTCCATAACCTCCGTCAACCAATAATACTCACTACTAAAGTTCGGACTAATCGCCTGATCCCCAGACATATTACTCCAAGCCAACATCCTTATTCTCCTCAAAGAACTCCAACAACTTCCAAATAACCTCGGCACAGGCGTCGTTCGGCCCGCCCCCAAACTTCGTCCACATGGCCTTCGCCCCATGACTCTGCAGCGTACTCGTAGAGGTCTTAAGTATAGGCCAGAACAAAGCCCCACGAGAGACAATTCTTCGTCCCACCATTCAGGATGTCGAAGTATTAATGCAGGTCAAAGAGAACTTGCTCTTGGGCGCTGAATCTAGGAGCGGGAGGAGGGCGAGTGCGGAGCGAAGTTCCCAGGATAGAACTGTTACGGCGTAGGGTCCTGCGATGAGGATTTTGTGGGAGGGGGCTTGGGCAAGGACTGCTGTGATGGCTTTTTTCATGGTTGAGGCCACATACTATATTGTTTTCTTTTGCTAGAGGGCTAGCGTTTTTAAGAAGGTTGGTTTTGTTAGAGGGTTGGTCTTGTTAAAGGGTTGGTTTTGTTAGGGGTTGGGCGTTGGGGTAGTGGGCTTACGTTCGTTCATTAGTTCGAAGATCATGTTTTGTCCTTGTAATGGGAGGCGAGCTTTATCCAGAGGTTGACGAAGTGGTCGTCTGTTACTTTCTGGGGCGCGCCGGGGAGGTTGAGGAGGGTTTGGCCGATTACAGCGCAATAGTATCGGGCGTAGCTGTGCTGTTGGGGAGGGGGTGTTAGTAGTTGGATGAGAGTATTTGAGTTATGTGAGGGAATGTATGTACAATGTCCGAGATGACGGTGCTACCGTTTCCTGTGATGGTGTTGACGAGGTTGTCGAGACCTGCTAGTGTGGTTCCGTTTAGTGGCCCGTTGCATCCATCTTGGATGTGACCCCATGCGACGGGGAGTCGGATCAGGTTGAACCCGAGGTCTCTCCATCCGAAGTACACCCCCAAGAAGGGGGGTATCGAAATACGGTTAGCTGGTCTGATTGCCGCCACAGGAGGTGGAGGTGAACTCGGTATATGCCGTTCCGAGAAGACTTGCATCGGCCGCGAGGCCGATTAGGCTGGTCCTACCCCCGCCAGATGTTCAATAGGTCTACTTAGATTGGGTTAGGGCTTGGGGTTGCTCACCCTGCCAAAGTCAATTGCATTAACAGTACTAATGTCAAGAACACTGAAGATCACTAGCCGTGCGCTGATCTTCATCCCGCCGAAGAGTGTCTAGAATTATGGCTTGCAACCTGTTCTGCATTGGTGGTGATGCTGGAACGATCCTGCACACTATATAGATGGGGCTGGGATGGTGGAGCCGGGGTCGACCCCGCAGATGGAAATTATCAATTGTAACGCTCGCCAACATGTGTTAGTTAATCTGATAAACCATTAGGTAAGTTGATGAAACCCTGGGGTGAGCGTAAGAAAATGGCATCAAACCCTTTAGATTCGAGTACGCAGTTTATGTAGTAGCAACTTACGCTCTTAAATTTACGGCAGGTCAGTCGAAAATAATGTATCCTGACATATACCTTGAGCCCTAAATAAGTTAACCTGTCCTACTCACTTCCTTATTGGAAGTGACTTGTTCTCTGTTCCACGGGAGGGATCGGCAGACCCTAGGATTGAGCTAGCACTCATAGCTTAGTATTCTGTGAAGGTCCTGATGCAACCTTACATATAGTCTATGCGTAATTCAGCTAACATACATCAAATCTGCAACATTGCGTCCAGTATGTAGTTGAAATGCATAACTTATCTAGAGTGAAAACATTTAGGCAACGGAAGGTTAAATATGTTGATTTCCCATAATGTACACTCATATTTTCTATTTTGTATCATGATGATAAGTATGTACAATTTCCCCGTGGTCTGGACAGTATTTCCTTCACTGTATAGCCAATCTAGGAATGCCATCTATTTTTGCAATGAACTCATCGTCTGCTATGCAGCAAACCCTAACCTTGCCAAATTGAGCAATGCAGTGACCTTCCTATCCGGGTTAGCGCAATAGCTCTATCCGGTGAGAATTCAAGAACAACAAACAACAACAACTACTACTACTACTAATACAATACTAATACTTGATTAATGAACCACTCTGTGTTGTTTTACTGGCTAAAATGTCTGTTACTACGCTGCGACTGATGTTTAAGCATTCCTCATCAATATTGTCGACATGCGTAGTGCCATTCATAAACCCCGCTTTTCTCAGACGACGAGCCCTCTCCACAACTTGTGTTCCCCGCCAGTCTGAGGGACACTCTGAGCTATTTGAGTATACGTCTGGGAGATGGATGTTTGTAAATCCCCATAAGCTATATTTTATGTAATATGCAATAGGTCTGATTGTGCGATACTTGGCTATGCAAAGCTACAATGAAGCTAGGAGACTCGCAGAACGACGGCGTGTTTTCAACGTGTCTGAACTAAAGCGCCTGGCCGCGGAGTCGATTAATCAAGGCGTGAATGATGTTGCCCGCGTTGAAAAGCTTGAGGAAGGAGGTTTCAACCGGATTTTCTTACTCACTATGAACGACGGTTTCCAACTTATTGTCCGTATCCCTTATCCCTTTACAGAGCCGAAATACCTCGTTGTAGCAAGTGAAGTTGCTACTTTGGACTACCTTCATCTACATGATATACCCGTGCCCAGGGTATATGGCTACTCAGCCACGTCAGATAATGCAGCAGGGACCGAATACATTTTTATTGAATATATCCGTGGACGGAGCTTGGGTGATTTATGGTTCGATCTATCCGAGAGTGACTGTTCCACAATTATCAACAATATTGTTGAGCTCGAGACTCGTCTATTTGATATACGATTCCCTGCCAGTGGAAGCCTTTATTATACAAAGGATCTGCGCCCTGGCGTTGATCGACCACCTGTACGGATTGAAGATCTGCCAAGCGATGGCCGCTTTTGTATCGGTCCTGATACTGCTCTACAATTATGGTTTGGCAAAAGACGTGAGCTCCAAGTAGACCGTGGTCCGTGTATGTTATCTTTATCATCTATTGATAACCCTACTATCTCAAGGTTTACATTTCGTGCGTGAAGAGATCCACTGATTCGTAGTAGATGAGACCCCAGTGGCGGCTCTGACCGCAGGCGCCAAAAAGGAGCTTGCCTATTTGGCAAGGTTTGGCAAACCACTGCAACCTATCCAACCGATATATCGAGAGCTGTACGATTATCAGAAGAGATCACACCTGGATCATATGAGGAATTTGGAAGACTATCTACGTGTTGCGCCTCAACTAGTGCCGAAGAATCCTGAGTTTCTTTCATGGCCCACCATAAGGCATCCAGACCTGCAGCCAAATAACATATTAGTCTCTGAAGGTCTTAAGATTACCGGCCTAATTGATTGGCAACATTGCTCTATTCTCCCGCTCTTTCTGCAGTGTGGGTTTCCCGACAGTATACAGAACTACGGCGACGACGTTTCCGAAACGTTAGACACGCCAAGGTTACCAGATAATTTCGAAGAGCTCAATGAGAGCAACCGATCTGAGCAGCTTGAAATCCTTCGACGACGTCATGTTCATTACCTTTACGCCATGTATACTCCAACGTTGAACCCACTTCATGGCCTGGCCTTATCTCAAGATTTAAGCGTTCTAAAGCGCAAACTCTTCTGCCACGCAAGTGAACCGTGGAAAGGAGACAATGTGTCGTTAAAAGCGGATTTGATTCATTTGGCGCAGAATTGGGGCAAACTATCAAGCTCGTCGTCGAGCACCAATGCGAGTGTTTGCCCAATATCATATCCCAACGATGAAGCGAGCGAGTGCTTGGACCTTAATGCCGAGCAAATTGAATCCGATGAACAGCTACAAATATGCAGAAACTACATTGGCGTTGGGCCAGATGGGTGGTTACCCTCGGATCAATATGAGTTTTCCAAGCAACGTGAGAGAAAATTGAAGGATATTGCGCTCGAGGGAGCTGAATCTGACGAGGATCGAGCTAAGGTCGTCGAAAATTGGATTTTCAATGATTTCGATGAGGATCTATATACATAGCCTCTTATACATCAAGATAGCGACTTTACTCACATCACCACTTTCAATTATTAGTGTGTTGTACCGTCGCTCTAAATGCAGGGCTGTTTAGGACACTCCACCTTTGCTGTGAGTATCAAGATAGGTCATCGGATAAGGCTGTTCGACAGAGAGTCCAAGGTCGGCTGCTAGAGTATTGGTTCAGGATTATCAAGTTCTACTATAAGCTTGACAATATTAGAAGCCTCTCACGACAGATGTTGGTCCCTAGTTCCCCTATGACTATTAATCCTGACTGCAAGCCAAAATTACATAAAGCTTTGAATAGATTTGACTTCGCTCGTTATATTTTAATGTACAATTAGCACGTCTTCCATCCCGTTGATTGCAATAGAATGGTTATTAACGTATTGTATAGATAGCATCAAACAATTTCATTCCGTCCGCTCCCAAATCCCCTCCCACTTCCCCCATCCCAAAACCCTCCCTTCAATCATGTTCACAATCTCCTCCTTGTTCAAACCCTTTGCACCCAATCCATCCCCATTGACCTTCCCCCCAAGCGCCACAACCTGAAAAGAATACCGATGCGGCCCATGCCCCAACAACCCCCTAGGCGGCATATAAACTGTCCCCTTCCGATTAACCCCATACCTAAACCCACCCTTCATCGCACCCTCAACGACCTCAAAGTCCTCACCGACCACCCTCGTCTTCCATGGAGGAATACCATAGTACAACCCATGCACCACAGGCTCCGCAAGCGGCGCATCCGGGTCCTCAACGACGAGAAGATATTCGGTGACGTCCGATTGAGCCGGCCACGATAATGTAGGGAAGACGACTTTATCAAAGACACTGTATTCTTTTGGAATCGGGGATCCTGAGGGCCCGATATCGCAGTCCAGTGGAATGGTAGGAGTGGGGTGGTTGGCGAAAGGAGATGTCTTGTGGAATAGACCTGCATCGTGACCTCTTCTGTTTTGAAAAATGTAGGCCACGGTTCGTTCGACTAGGTCTGCCATGTTTCTAGTTATTATCATGGCGGTTGCAAGATTTGAGATGGTGGTTGATGGTATATGGGTTAATGTTTGGTGTTGGTTGGATGGATTGTCCGTTAACCTCAGATTAAGTAGCCGTTTCCGGTCCGGAACCGGGTATCGTTCGGTGATTTTGCTTATTGTCTACGGTTGGCGGTTCTTTCTCTCGCTGTGCAGTTCAGTATGATGAGATAGGCAGATTTATCTTGGACATTTGATAAGGACGGTCGATTTTTATTTCCTTTTTCTATCGTCATGGTTTATCTGCAATTGGGGCTTGGTTGGTCATGTGATACTAGCAACTGGACCATTGCAACGAACAATAACGAAAATCATAAAACCAGAGATAATATTAAGGTGGAAAGAATCTCTACAGTCCTGGAGACATTCATACAGTGTCTGTGCTTCTGAAGTGCTAGTATTCAATCCTCTAAATCAACGACATGCGGTGCATGCATACATTAAGGCTCCTAGGAAAACAAAACATTCCTTCAATCCATTCGATCACCCTATCCAGCCGGCCTTAGACTGACCAAGTCGCTTTAACTCCATCCTTTTCCCTCTCCAAAAACTCCCTAAACGTCCCCAAAGGCAGCCCCCAAGCCCTCACATTCTCCAAGTCCACATACTGCGCCATATCGCGCGCCAACAACTGACCTCCAATAAACGGGTTCTGTGCCGCCTGCTTCTCAACCTCCTTCTGCGACAAGAACGCCACCTTCAGCTCCCTTCCCGTTGCCCGGGACAACGCCTCTGTCACATCTTGTACATGAAGAAACTCCGACGCAATCTCAATCTCCTTGCCATGGAATCTAACCGGATCCAAAATAGCCGCTGCCCCAAAGGCCCCAATATTATTGGGATCCACCATGGGTAGCTGCGTCTCAGGTAACAAGGCCGTCGTCCAGACGCCAGTTTCTACAAAACCAGGGTACATTCGAACGAGCGGCTGTAGGTAATTCGACATGAAGTTTCCAGGGCGCAGGATGGTCCAGTACTCGAATCCGTATGTGCGGACCTTTTTCTCGATGGCTTGTTTGTTGAGGAGGAAACTTGCTACTATTGTATTGGGGTCCCAGTGCTTCATTCGTTGGGGCTCATTTACGGAGAAGCCGCTGGAGTAGATGACGTGGTTGACACCGGCTGCTTTGGCGGCGGATAGGATGTTTTCCGCTTGTTGCATTTCTGTATTGGGGCCCTGGAGATTGGGCATTAGGTTGAGGAAGACCGCGGTGCAGCCCTTCATGCTTTGTTTGATGATCTCGGGGTTGTCGAAGGTTCCTTGCGTGAGGGATACCCCGCGGGATTGGAGGCTTTGGGATGCTGGAGTATCTATGTTACGTGTGATGGCGTGGACTTTGGCGCCATGTTTGAGGAGATGGTTGGTGACGGCGCCGCCTTGTGTGCCGGTGGCGCCGCAGACGAAGAATGTGGAGGACATTGTTTTGGTTTGGGGGGGAAATTCGTATTGAATGTTTGAGTTTTGGAAAAGCGAGGACGTGAAGGCTAATTTGATATCCTGAGGTTTGTATCCGACGTTAAAGGGGGTCGGGTGTTATATAAGGCTCCGAACAAGATCAATATCACCACCTCTTCTGATCTCCACCAGCGGAGTTCCACTCCATCCGCAACCCTAACCCATGCGCATCGTCTCTTATTGGTCCATGTCAAGCTTAGCTTGCGGAATTCCGCCATAAAGCCCCACATCATCCGCTACTAAGCAGATATTCGAGAGCCAGGCCACGTTTCTTCCTTTCCTTAATTAACAGTCGGAAGTCCGCAAAACAACTAGGACCTTGTACTGGTAACATGAACACCTCATTGGCGGAGCGAGAAAACCCCCCACCGCGGCGCAAATCTTGCGAAGCATGCAAGACCGCTAAACGTCGCTGCGACCTCGCATTCCCCGCTTGCTCTCGATGTGCCAGAAGAGACATACCATGCATTTACCCTGGCAGACAGCCAACAATTCCACAAGACCTGATTGACGAGGCATTTGCCTCTGTCACTTACACCAATGATATTCCGTTATCGCTCGATGGTTGTAGCCTGTGCGTGACCGATTTCGATCTCCCCGATCTCCCCGGCCCACCCACGATAGCCCAAGCACTCGATGTCTTCGATCCACAATGGGATTATATTGATATCGCCCCACCATGCATATCACTTGAACCACCCAGCAGCGGTCTAATCCCCCGACAAAGCTTCACAATGACCGCCGCACGAACAAGACCCCCAATGCCTCTCTCCGCCGTCATAGCATCCCGCCTCCAATTTACCATTGACGTCCTCAAAGACATTCCCAAGATGATGGTTGTCGAGAATCAAACCCCCTGGAGCCACAAACAACTCTACAAAGACGGCATGCCGAAGCTCATGCAAGGCAAGTCAATCCCCTTCCCTCGTCTCTCCAAGTACCCAACCAAACCAAAACCCCCAACTAACACCCCGATAGAAGCCTACTCCAGCTGCGCCCTCCACATAACCAAAAACTCCCTCAACACCCCCTTAATCACTTCCCTGATAAATACCAACATCCAAACCCTCCTCACCTCCCCAGTCCCCACAACCCCCCTTGAAACCCTTGCCCACACCCACGCCCTCCTCCTCTACCAAATCATGCTCTTCTTCTCCCCGGATCCTCACCCCCAAAACCTCGTCCCAGATCTCGAAGCCTCCGCCCTCTCTCTCCTCTCTTGCATCTACTTCCCCGATCCCGCAACCCCCATCTCCACCCTCCCCCCAACACCAGAAGCAACGCTCGACTTCTGGTCCTCGTGGATCTTCCAGGAATCAGCCCGCAGGACCGTCCTCTTCTCCTTCTATCTGACGCAGCTATACAGACTAGTCCATGGGGAGCACAGTATGGTCTGCGATGGGAGGCTGGGGCTCGTGCACAGTTTGTATATGTCTGCGCATTTGTGGGGGGCGCAGGAGGCGGGGGAGTTTGCGGTGGCGTGGAGGGAGAAGGATCACTTTATCGTTGGGGAGTTGAATTTTGGGAGGTTGCTGGCTGAGGCAAAGGCGGTTGATATAGATGTTTTTGGAAGGATGTTGTTGGTTAGTTATTTGGGTATTGAGGACGCTAAGGCGTGGTTTTTGGCTAGGGGCGCGGTTTTATAGATTTATTCTGGGGGGTGGGCTTAGTAGTATTGGATGTGGAGAGCTTTGTTGGTTAGCTATCGATTAGTATGGTTATAGTTGGATTTTATTGTTCTCGAGGTGAGATTGGGTATTAAAGTACATGTATTTTGGCGTTATTTGGGACTATCGGTCTTCAATTCAAGCTGATGGCTTGCATAATTAATGTTGGGGATCAGTTTTCAACGAGTTAGGTACTTCGAGATTAAATGCATCAAAAGTATCCTCCTTCGGCAAAGGCTGTACCGCATTCAATCGAAGAAAGAGACCCAACGTATGATGGAACGAAAACTGCATATATCAATGTTTGACCTTTTATGTATTAGATTTAGAAACATCGAGTTTCGGATCTTTTCGTGAACAAGGAACATCTTTATTTGTGGCCTGCACGGTGCTAGCATTGAAGCCATTGCTCGATACCGAAGTCTTGGACGAGAGTTCGTAGAATCGACTCAGGTAGCACCGGGCACGGTCACATACCGGATCGGCGTATTGAGCAGCACAGCAGACTCTGGTTCTCTTCGTGGCACGTCCAGCCCAGGTAGATCCCTCGGTCGACGATTGTACCCGGTGGTGTGCTTCCATTCTCATCGGCCGTCTGCGATTCAGTCAAGTAGAATCTAGTATGGTGACGCTTATCGACATTGATAATGCTGATCCGAGGAAGTTTCTTCTCTTGCATCTCCTTCGGGTAGATCTCTCGACAAGCCTTTCGGATAAGAGGCAACTCTTCGGTCAAGCACTTGAGATATTGACCCTCCGAGATTCCGTCTCGGTAGGCAAGAATATTCTCGGAAAATGGCGCCTGCTTACCCTCGGTCTTCCATAGATTAAAGTGCTGCTTCATCATAATATCCAAGTTATCGATTTCTTCCTTGCGTCCTCGTGACTGGATCTAGGTGGTTGCAGGCCATTGCCCGAGCAGTTTGTCAACGCTAGCCACCATCCCTGCCACACTAGGTGCGAAGGCTTGAGAGCCCTTGGGCGCTCCAGTAGGGAGAGTGACATCTAAGCCCACAATCATGGTCTGATCCTCGTTGACAATACTCAAGGTTTGTCAACAATGTGATTTGTTTCACCCAGTCTAAGGTTGAATTTCAAGGCCAGGCTTTTTATATATATACCGAGGTTCCTGTGGTATTGATCTTCACTTTGACCCCTTTTTCCCGCAAGCTCGCAGCCAATGCTACAGAGGGTCTGTAGTCCAAATTCAACATCACCCAGCCGTTTAATCTTCAGGTACCCGAAGATATCTTTCTCAGGCAAGAGGATATGGATGAGGTCCAAGATTTTAGCTGCACCTCCAAGAATATTATCAAGCTCTGCAGTACTATCCTCACTCGCTTTGGCCACCCTTCCAGTCATGGGGGCTTCTGCAAGAAAACCAGCGCTAATAAGTGCCGTTCGTAACTTACTGAGGACAAACTTGAAAATAGTGACGCTCGGGAAGGCATCTCGTACAGTTGGAATTGACAGCAGAAGGTACGACCACTTCAGCAACCGTTGCCCTGGGATGCTAAACTTAGCCTTTACCGTATTACAGGAGCCAGCGGATTGTTTGGTGCTGATCCTTCCACCATACATAATATTCGGTGAGGGCAACGCCCGGCCCTCAACTGTGATGAGCTGCTTCGCCGCAGATATATCATATCGCGCCTACCATGTGAGCTCAGCAACGTAATGTCAAGCAGCTTCTGGTAGTGAGTACTTACCAGCATTCTATTCTTTCTGTGGTTTAATCCAACAGTATACATTCCAAGGGTAACGATCGATGTGACATTTTGAACGGCGGGCGTACAGCGAACTTAATCATATCTTGCGTCTGAGCGGGAGATAACTTTCCATTGTGGATTTTCCCGGGGCAATAATTCAAATCCCAGAGCCAGGATGTAACCAGTACTCAATCGTGTAGCAGTATTGATGACTAGTAAGTCTGGTCTTTGGTACCGGATATTGTACGCTACATACCAAGCGTTAGCTGATGGTCCGAATGGTTCTAGCTAACCTGGATAGACTCATTGTCTAGGACGTAATCATAGACGCTGATCCATCCTCCAGGTCCGGCTGGTGGGGGTGCAGGTCCAGAGTTCCATCCTTTCTCTCTTTGGGCTTCCAGCCAGGACAATACGTCTATAGAGCTGGCACCGAAAGAGCGTACTCTAGGTCGCCATTCTCGTGGAAGGCCGGTATCATCACCAGTCTTGGCCAGCGAATGCATTGCTTTGGGCCTGATGGTAAGCTCATCACTTCGATTTTTCTTTTCAGGCAGATGAAGTGTGTGTCCCCCAAAGCCACTCAAAAATTTGTTTAATTTCTTTTCGCACTCTTCCGGTTCGCCACTTGAAATAAGTTGATCAACCTAATCAAAGGTCCACTATAGAAGAATGCTCCATGGCTAACATTCGCACTGACCAGCTGCGGGCTGCAAGTCTCACGGTAGAAAAGAATCCACGGATTGCCGTCAGCCCACCAGCTAGCGAGACTTTCTCTGAAGGCGGGGGTCTTGCTGCTGAGTGTGAAGGCCCTGTTGACTCTACTGCCTCCACGTGTGACAAGATCAGCCGAGGTCTGGGGATAATAATTAAATATATTGAGTCCTTGGCCATGGGGAGTTTGTCCTCGTATTGAGTAAAGGTAGGTGAGGCCATGTACTGTATAATCTGTGAGACTCGTAGGGCGTTCGTGTACAGTATACGGAACACGATATTGCGCAGCGTCTTCTACAGCTTCATCCTCTCTCGACTCGATACGCCACTCGTATCACTATCTCGTCACTATTCTACGACAGTCTCTCGCGTGTGATGATCGTCGGCATGAAACCAGTTTCTAGATTAACAGCCACTGAAGCAAGTTCTGGTGCCTCGAGGGCTAATCTGATTATTTGGGTCTTTTTCCTGCCAGGACCAGTAGGGCTTACACTCACATCAATCGCGTATTTGTAGAGAGCCAGCTTAGGATTCAGCATCATATTGTTAGAGTTGATTCATAGCACGAGTGGCTTTCCTTTTGTCCCATATACTGGGCGATTGTGGATAGTCTGCTTTGAGCTCGAGTTTACTGTGTTAGAGGATCTTGAGCCGCTTTTGGAATCGCATCCTCGACTTTTCTCACGAGAATCAGGAGGAGGAACCTTGCCGTCTGGTGGTCTGCAGAAAGGTTATGTGTTAGCAAAGTGTGTCTGTATCTCATGAGTATGTCCGGTGGAGCAATTTGTATACGGCGTTTCTCATCTCAACCCTTCCTAGTTGAGAAATGCTATCCTTGAATCCTCAAAATAACATTTCGTGTGAGAGAACGTGTACTTCACATGAGTGAGGTGGAGGTGAATTGGTGAGAGCAGGATGACCTGGATAGATCAATGTATGAGAGAGGATGGAAGAGGAAAGGGGCAGGTTGTGAGAGGTAGAGAGATGTAGAGAGAGGTAGAGAGGTAGAGAGAGGTAGAGATGAGAGAAATCCGCACCAAGGGGGTCTGCAAATGCGAGGTAGGACACTGGATTTGTTGTGACCGTAAATGATGAGACTATCAGAAGAGGCCAACCCAACAACGAGCCATGAGTGAAATGAGGGTGGTTACACGACACCAGATGATCACTGACTGAAGGTGGAATGAGGTCTCATGTGGAAACCCGAGAGATGCCTTGGGGTTCAGGACCTGATCAGAGATGTCAGTACTCAGTAGTAAATCCAAGAATATCATGATCTAAATACGCTTCTTTTTTCGTAGCTTAATTTACCTTAAAAATGGATCTAACCCCTGATATCCACACGTGATTCCGTGGTGTGTTTTCTGTTGTTTTCTTTCCAATGGCCACCAGAGGACAAATAAAGAAAAGACAAATAAGATAGAAATGGTAGTAAATAAGAACCAAATATAACCACATGAAAATCACTGTCATGTTACTGATGAGAAGGAGAAAGAAAGCAGAAATGGGATTCAATTTTTATGTCCTAACGGTTAGGGTTACATGTGACACGGGAGTCCCTCTGGGCATCCAGGCACCTCCGTAAATAAATCTGTCACATAACAAAGACCACACATCTCACGCCATCAGTTCTTTAACATGCCTCGTTCAACTCCCTTGTTATCGGACAAGTAACCCATAGTAGTACCCGTCTTCTACTCCCTTCCTACCAGAGATATGCTTCTCAATCGGGTTCCGAGCCTCGTTGGCTTCCAGCTTCTCCGCTCCCTCGGTCTACTTATCTCCTCCGCAGGCGATAATGATCTCTTCGATCTGGTTAAGCAATTCTTCTGGGATAACCCTGATGATGTATCAGGTATTCCCAATTCTATCCACTACTCATATATATTTGATGTGGTCACAAACAGTCTTGTAAGCACCCTAGCTCCTTCGAATTAAACCATAAGCACGTTAATCGGATTCAATATTCAAGATCGACTACTATCTTAGCCATGTGGTCGCCATCATGCTCATTCTCGAAAGTGAAAGGTTGCTTGCCACCAACAGGAGTACAGCAGACTTTGTTGACGACAACATCCGCAACCAACCAATCACTCGCAGTCTGACCAGAACCGCCTCATTCCTGTATCATATGGGTGGTCTTCCGATGTTTCTCAAAGGTATCCAGACAGGTCTCGTATACCGCGTAGCCCACTTTGCCATCACCAGCCTTCTCCACATGGTCCTCTTCCGGCATTATCTCCTCAGCCCCATCGCACCTATAATTTCCACCGTGGTGTTAGCAGAGCTCCACATGGCATGGACGCACGCCACTATATCCGCAACCTCGTCCACAGGCTCACTGTTGAAACTGCGCCCCAACCGGAAAACATGGAGAAGGCTGCTCATCCCGTCCCTCATCTACGCAGCAGCGCGAGCATTGATAGAATATCTCCCTGACGCCGCAGACTCTTCATTCAATCTGTTCTTCAAAGGCTTTAACTATGAGGAGCACTCGGAGCATTATATCGCATACTTCGAGGTATCAACCATGTTGCCGACTCTCATTCTCCGCATGACTGTAGTGCTCCCCGCTTCTATTGCTCTGATTTTGATCGAGGCGAGCTTGCTCCCGGAAACAGAGACCACGATCGTCCCATTCACCCAGGGCCGGAGAGCAAAGATGTCTGCGTTGGTCTGGGGGAAGATCGATAAAGCTCGATCAGGGTTTAGTGATGTTTATGGGCTTGTTCGGGGCTCCACGTATTTATGGCTGTGGGAGTTACATGCTAAGAGGTGTTTACTGCAGACGGCGGTTGAAATAGTAGCGATATGGCTGGAGGGAGGGTTCCAAGGCTGATGTCCTTGGAAGGCGACTACAAGCGGCATGATCGTCATCTATCATTAATATAATAATTATAAGGCATATGTCCTGACTTATCGAGAAGGGGGAGGAGGAAACATTCCCGGTAATATATGACAAAAGCAACCCCAGAAAAGAAAAGACAGAGAAGAGCCCCAGAACTACCTGCAGTAGTACATGTATAGCAAAACAATTACAAGATCGTTAACCTCTTTATGGCCCTTCTGCAGCTGATATACATCTGCGCTTGAGAAATTGGGTATTGACTGCCCTGTAAGGGGGACTCTCCCGAATATAGATCACTTGGTCACAAGGAGAACTCCAGTCAGATAGATTGTAGGAGTCACAATTACTAGTACTAGAACAATGTTAGCCGGAGGTTGAACTTGTAGCAAAGCGGGGTACACTTATTGTGCCGCCGATAAGAGTTGTCTGCAAGCGAAAGACGATCTTCTACCCTGATGCTTCTCCGTCCTCATTTTCCCTCCTGTTGTACCTTCAAACAACCCCTAACCTCATTCTAACTTTTAAAATGGACCAACCACGGAGCCAGATCATCTACCCACCGTCAGACGAAGCTCCCCGCGGCGTAAAGTCCGTCTTTCTCGCGGGCACCACCAGCAAAGTCGACACGAGCGACTGGCGCGAGACCCTGTCCAACTCCCTTTCGGATGTGCCCATCACCATATACAATCCGTTCTGCGCTGGCTGGGATAGCTCATGGCACGAGGATATCGATTTTACTCCTTACCGCGAGCAAGTGGAGTGGGAGCTCGAAAAGCAGGACAAGGCCGATATTGTCGTCACATACTTCCACCCGGCTAGCCAGGCGCCCATCAGCTTGCTCGAGTTTGGACTTTGTGCGCGGGTTCCAGGAAAGGCTATCGTTGTCTGTCCCGAGGGGTACTGGAAGAGAGGGAATGTGCAGATTGTGTGCAAGAAATTTGGGGTCGAGATGATAGAGAATGTTGATGAGCTGAGAGAGGCAATTGTGAAGAGGTTGTCTGTTGCCACTTAGCTCTCTAGCACCATTCCCTGAAGAGCGAGAATGGGCCCTGGAAGACAGCGGATGGGATTGTAGCATCTCGGCGTTTTAAGCGATTCTTTGTTACTACTACCCTTACTGTATTGGGAATGCCTAGAGCTATACTGCTTACTTGTATGGGTAGTCCACGAATTGTAAATTGACCCAGGGTCGGGCATGTACATAAGCTTCTGTTATTATGATATGACATACCCTTGAACTCGCCTGTCCAATCTAAGTACATATACCTAACCCACCCAGATATCACGTTGTTGCCTGCAAAGCGAGGCATCCAGGCTACCGTGCCGAAAAGGGTAAACTGTGTTTCAGCACGGGATTACCAGCCACTGATTTGTTCAACTTCAGGGTTAAATTCCAAACTGACAACTCAACCTTTATATTTAGCTGTCAGTCAGGATCGGCATGCTTGTCGATCTGCTATCGTTTCTTCCTCTCATTCTTTTATCACTCTCATTCTTTTCATTTGGCAGGATCTTCTTACAACCATCTTTGGCCACCTCAAATTATATATCCTAGTGACATCACACACGCTTGTGTTCATAAAAGGCATGTAAGAATTGTCTCCTTTACCCTGCCTTTGATCTCTCTTTCCCTTTTCTGAATATATATATATATATATATATATATATATTTGACTAACGCAAGGCGAATAGATTCCCTAAACTCAATGCTGGTCCTCCCTCTTCTCACCTGGGTCTTAGGATCGGCGCCATTTGCAGTCCACGTACTAGCAGACGGCAACTCATCCATCTATCACCACAAGGCAGACCTAGACACATACAATATATTAAAGCGCAATGCGGCTATTGAAAACCAGCTATCCCAAACGCCCGTCCAGGGTATCAGGAAGATGAGCGACGATGAAGGAGAGAAGTTCTTCCTTGACTACTGGCGCTTTGAAGAGGCCAACCAGACCGATCTACACAGCTCTCAAAACTCAGAAATGATACAACCTGATCTTCCTCCCCGTCTATACCCCTATCAGCCTTCTCACCTGGTTGAGACGTCTGACTCCCACGGATGGATGAGCCATTTCTCACCGCTACTTCGGCGAGATTTCAAATGCCCCGCGGGCACAGATTCTTGCACCTCGATTAATCGCCCAAACAGTTGCTGTAGTACGGGATCGACCTGTGAGCTGGTCCAGGATACAGGATCTGGTGATGTAGGATGTTGTCCGAACGGACAACAATGCTCTGGTACTATTGGTTCATGTCAGCAGGGGTACACTAGCTGCCCTGCGTCATTGGGCGGCGGTTGCTGCATCCCCGGATACGAATGTGTCAGCGGTGGCTGTAAGTCTCGGCCAATTTATAACAGGGCCGAGTTCTGAGCTGATGAATGTTAGGTGCCAACGTCTACACGGTGACAATCACGCTGAGTTCGACCATCATGGTATCCACGTTCACGTCTACAGTTCCCGCGACCAGCACGGTTTCTAGCAGCAGAAGTAGCAGCAGCTCGACGAAATCATCGTCGGAGTCCACAGGAGAGTTCACTCCTCCTGCTCGACCCACAAGTCTTTCGACGGCTACTGCCTCCCAGACCGGGTCGATCTGTCCTATTGGCTTCTATGCCTGTTCAGCCGTCTACCACGGAGGATGTTGCCGAACCGGTCGTGACTGCGACACCACCTCCTGCCCGGAGACCCCGTTGACCACAATCACGACCAACGACCGCACCATCGTGGTACCTGTTGAGACCGAGGCACCGCCCGTGACTACCGGGCGATGCGCGAGTGGATGGTTCAGCTGTGCAGATACAGTAGGTGGGGGATGCTGTCCGACAGGGTTCGCATGCGGCTCGAGCTGCACAGCCGTGGCGACAGCGACAGCAACGGGGACGGTCGCCAAAGAGCAGCCCACCAATTCCGCCGGCGGCCGACGACCTCTCCTGGAAGGAACGAGGATATTTGGAATCAGCATGGTAGGAATACTCTGGACGATTGGATGAGATGATGATTTGCATGTATTTACACGGCATAACGAGTATAACGAAGACAAGACAAGCCATTAATAATAAGCGTAACAACAAGTGACAGAGAAAGATATCTCCCCCGTGGGGGGGAGAGGGGGGCAATTGTTGCTCGGCAAGCGTTGTGGGGCCGTCGGACGCTCACCGGGGCTGGGATTTTTCCCCTTCGGGAATTGGTCCGATACACTCCGACCTCCTCCCTCTTCGTTTTGCGTGATCAACTTCTACTTCCTTCCCTCTCCTCCCTCCATATCTTGACCTATCGAATTGTCGCGCAATCCCTCTTGCCGCTCCCACCTTCCGCGACAATGTCAAACACCCACCAGAAGCCGCTCCCTTTCGTCTACCAGTTCGCCGCCGGCGCGGTGGCTGGTGTGTCTGAGGTGCGTTATCGGAGCTGACAGGTCATGCTAGCTAAGAATTAACTGACTCATTTTTATAGATCTTGGTCATGTACGCCCAATTCCTATATGAACAGTCTTTTTTTCATTTATTCATTCTAACCAACGCACCAGGTACCCATTGGATGTGGTCAAGACGCGAGTGTAAGCACCCAACCACCAAACAAAGCACCCCACAAGGGGAAAAAAAAATAAACTAACCCAAAGAAAAAACCACACATAGTCAACTGCAATCCAGCGTCCGCGTCCCCGGTGAAGAATACTACAATGGCATGTTCGACTGCCTTCGCAAGATCGTCAAGAACGAGGGGTTAGTCCGAACCCCCACCCAAGAAAAAAAAAATGAGACTAACGTCGACGAAACGTAAAGCTTCTCCCGCTTGTACCGCGGCATCTCAGCCCCCATCCTAATGGAAGCGCCGAAGCGCGCCACCAAATTCGCCGCAAACGACAGCTGGGGCAGCTTCTACCGGGGACTGTTCGGCGTGGAGAAGCAAACGCAATCTCTCGCGGTCCTGACGGGCGCAACGGCCGGCGCAACGGAATCCTTTGTCGTGGTGCCCTTCGAGCTGGTCAAGATCCGTCTGCAAGACCGCGCCTCGGCAGGCAAGTACAACGGCATGCTGGACGTAGTCAAGAAGATCGTGCAGAGCGAGGGCCCGCTGGCGCTGTACAACGGTCTCGAATCCACCCTGTGGCGCCACATCCTCTGGAACGCCGGATACTTCGGCTGTATCTTCCAGGTGCGGGCGCAGCTGCCCAAGGTGGAGCCCGGGAATAAGACGGAGCAGACGCGGAACGACCTGATCGCGGGTACGATCGGTGGAACGGCGGGTACGATCCTCAACACGCCCATGGATGTCGTCAAGTCGCGGATTCAGAATAGCCCGCGGGTGCCCGGGCAGACGCCCAAGTATAACTGGGCCTGGCCGGCTTTGGGGACGGTGATGAAGGAAGAGGGATTCGGGGCGCTGTACAAGGGATTTATCCCCAAGGTGCTGCGGTTGGGTCCTGGTGGTGGTATTTTGTTGGTGGTATTTACCGGCGTGATGGATTTTTTCCGCAACATGCGCGGGGAGAATATCTGATTGGAGTGCTTTTCTGTTTCTTTTTGCTTGCAAATAGAGAAAGACTTGGTTTGGTTAGATTGTGGGGTAAAGAGTTATCTTTCAGATCAATCGAGTTCCATGACATACGCTTCCGAAACATAAGACGACTTTCATACTGGGAGGAAAATTGATGACCTACGTGCTCAATCGTGTAATACTGAATCTCATTGAAATAGTAGCAAGAAGAAAAACAAGTACCCATCGCAATGTATAATAAACTAATCACTATATAACACAGAACAGTAAAGAACATCCGAGATACTATAGAATCGCGAAATGGGAAACGGCGATCTTGGGCAAGCAAAGAAAGGGTATCGATGTAAAAACGCATGCAAAAGCCCCTCTCAGACGGGCAGCGTTGCTAGCAGAAAACGAGTTCGCACCGCGTTCTGGATAAATAGACAAAAGCAGAAAATTCAAGCAATGTAGAATCGATCTTGTCCGTCATTATGCATAAGATTAGGAAAGACAGAGAAAAAGCGATAGGTCTGAGTTTGTAGTCAAGCGTGAAGCATAAGAAAAGGTAAGCAAAACAAGGTGTGAGAAGACAAGGGGAAGGGGGTACTGCTATAAGAGAACAACAGACAATTGGTGATAAAAAGATAACACGATTGATAGAGGGCAAAACAAGTAAACCAAGAAAATCCACCACGGGAAAGTCAAGCGAGGAAAATATCATGCCAACCAGGTGCAAGTGAACCAAAGAATTAGTCTGGGTTATGTCAAGACTTCCGTACGCCAGATCGCTCCATCCCTCCCATTTGACGCCTTGTATGCAATAGGTCATGCATGGCATGCATTCGTAGAAGCCCAAATGGGCATAACAACGCCATCAAAGATGTCTAATTCATCTCCATTGCGTACTCGTCTTCTTCCTTGAAGCTCATGCCCGCGTGGCCAGAGCTGCTCCAATACTGTGCCTGACCAGCCCCACCGCTGTTGCTACTAGCGCCGCTGTTGAAAGAGGGGCTCAGATTCTGTGGGCTCAAACCGCCATTGGACGCGATGGAATCTCCAGCCATGTTTGTATGCTTTGGCACTCGCAACCCACTGCCAGGTGCCCGGCTATAGCTAAATGAACTGGGGTCATTCTTCTCTAGCGCATCAAGGATCTCCGTTCGCATGCGTTTCTCTTCCTCGGTTTGTTCAAAGGGCCAAGTACCCCCCAGGCTGCTAATCAGCTCTGCAAGTTCAGCTTCCTGTTGAAGCTTCACGTGCAGCGACCACATCAAGTCCCGCATCCAGCCAACGGCACCGTTCAGGATGTCACCCTTATTCGGGCCCTTCTCCTTTTCCTCAATCGGCAAACCCATGGTAATGTTGCCTGCCGCACGGCGACCGTTGCCACCGGCCAACAAGGATGTGGCTGCGTTTGAGCTAGCTCCAGTGCTAGACATGGCAGTATTATTGACAAGCTGTTTCCGGACCTTATCATCTTCGAGCCGATGTTGAGGAACGAGATGGGAAAGATCCTGGATACGCTCATTGATGTTGTCACGCCGGCGGCGCTCGACCAGATTATGCGAGGCCCTCCGACGTCGTCGCTTGGCTTCCTGCGACTCTAAGTCCTGGGCAGTCCCGGGCATGTGTGTATCAACCTTGGCCGGCAAGGAGGCATGTTTGCCAGATTTCAAAATCTCGGAGATACCAACGTGGTGGGGATTAGGAGGAGATGAGATAGGGGATTCAACACCAAACGAATGAGCGCTTCCCGGCGTGCCGTCCCACTGGTTTGAGAGAGTCTTCTGGTGTCGGGGGTGCAGTCCGGTCCGGATGGGCTGAGCGGTGGGAAAGCTTCCTGACTCCGGAGTTCCGAGGGTCAGTGCGCCCAAAGCAGGAGTTTTGGGAGTCATCGGACTACGTCCATCCGCAGAACGGTCCATGGTTTGCAAGGTGGGTCGTGCCTTGGTATTCATGTAGTTCTGCTCGAAATGAGAACCGGCACTTTGCATATGTGCACCCGGTTGCTGTTGATTCATGGCCCGGAAGTGGTCGTAATTGAAACTGTTATGCAAGAAGGGACTATGCATAGGCGCCCCATCCGGCGTGTTCGAATACATTTGGGATATCTGGTTTGGATGACCCATCGAGATCCCAGCGCTCGAGTGCTGATCCTGGAGGAAATTCATACTATCAGGACGCTGGATCCCATTCTGGCCATTAATCTCCAAGTCGAGCAACTCGTCCGTATCGATTCCGGAGTTGCCGAAGTTGAAGCTCGTTTGTTGTGAACCAAAAGAATAGGGCACGAACCCGTTGTTGTGCATGGTCAGTTCGGAGGGGTCAACACCGTCATTGATGTTGCCGAATTGATTGGACGTAGAATAGCCGGCGTGCGACATCATGAAAAGGTTGCGGTCACTGCTGCGGTCGTCAGGATCATGCTTTATGAAAATGCTCGCTTCCGCCATCGTGCAGCTGGTTGGCAGCTCCGAACAGGCAAGTCAAGCACTTATCCAGAGGGAACGCCTTACGATCCAAGATCCGAAATTTCCGAGATTCTATGCAGGACCTGAGAAACCGACCCCAACTTATCGAAAGTAGCGCGATTGGGCCGAGAAAGACAATCCTTGGGTGGAGTGGCGTCGGCTTAGGAGGCTTCGAAGGCGAGTATGATCTAGTTCGATAGGTTTCTATTTGGGAGACACTTCGAGCAATCGCACTGAGTCATGAAAAGGAAAGGTTCGGTAACGGCTGATGAAACCCTATGGTATGTGCCAAAAGGGCATCAGTAAACGTACGCGCCAAGGTCCAAAAACCGAGACCGCAAAATGAAGATCAGGGGATACCAACCAAGGAACTAAGCGGATATACCCCTTAATCGAGCAAGGACACGATTGGAAGTAGGAACGGGGTGACTTCACAGCGATGCAAGGGATGGTCGCTGTTAGATCCAGGAAGAAAAAGAGGTGTGGTGACAGTACGAGTCGAAAGCGGACAAGGCGGAATGTGCCACGATGTGAGGCGGAAGTCACAGCCCAATAGACTGTTGCACCGTCGATCGCACAAAGAAAATACGAGATACACTGGAAAACTAGGGACGTAAGCAATTAAATCTTAACCAACGAGGTTCACAACCGGATGGGAACAGGCTAAAGGAGGCGAGAAGGATGCGTGGCCATAAGCGAAGCGGGCAAAAGTGAAGGGGAAAAAAAAAAAGGTTGACCAGAATAGAATAATGGGTACGGAGGCGACGGGGTTGGAGACAATGAGGAATAGAGAGGGGGGGAAAAACCGTGGGTCAGAGACAAGATAGGGTTTGGGGGAATGTGCGATTAGAACAGTAAGGCTTTGAGATGGGTTTGTCTTGTGGACTCGGTTCACACGATATTTGTTACAGATGAAGATTGACCGTATGCGACAGGGAAGAAGATTGAGAAAGGTGGGGAGAAGAGAGATAGAGCAAAAAGAGAATGAACTGATAGGGGACTTGGAAAAGGCACCGAGTGGGGGCGCAGTAACAGGAGAGGCGGTGGGCAATGGCAATGTCTCCCGCAAAGGCGGTCACCGTCGGCATTTACCCTTTTGTCGCAATGTACGGTGCCTGAGTGGAGCAAGGCCAATCTTTCCCCAGGATTCGGTTTAATTTGGGGATGGAGGCATTCTGGATAATTGCCTCTCTCGGTTCATCCATGCTCTTGCATCCGGGTTACTGTTCTCCGCTTTCTTGAACCGGGAAGGTCCGTCCACCCCCTGTGAGATGATGTGTGCCTTGAAGAAATAGTGCCCCGCGGCCAATTCAGCCCTTGATGTCTGAGCAATGGGATCGTCGAATAAGCGCCCGACGGTCTGAAGATGCGATCGGTGGCTTCGGTCCCCGCTGAGAAGAAGTATGCAGGGTTCGGATTTCAGCGACACCGCGCAACCACCGTTCCCAAGCGAGACGCCCAAACACGGACATCCCCAACGAGGTGAAAAGAGGGGTATTCTCCCGTCTCACATCGTTTGAGACATCGTGTTCACCATTACTCTCTTCTGGAGCGCCACACCTCCTCACCCTTGATGACTCTGACGTGTAGGAACAAGGTGAAGACACACAAAAAAAAAGGCAGGGAGGGGAAAATTTTAAAACGAAAATAGAATATAGAAAAATAGAACAACGAGAGATATTGTGGGGGTGTCCTCTGTCTCAAACCTGAAGAAAAATATAGAAATAACGCATACTTACCTGATGACGGTTTGGGTGTGATTGATCAGAGGTTGGTAGGCTGACTATCGTGGAACAGAAAAGGTCAGCAAGGACACTTAGTAGTCTATCATGGTGCCCTCCAAAGATACCAGTTGGGGAAAGGCAGATATAAGTAGGGACAGGAACAGGAACATGTACATGAGGCAGCGGTGCCTTGCACGTGGCAGTGACCACTTGCGCCTCAAAGTCCAATCACTGGGCCCGACTAAGGCAAAAAGAAGCAACGGGTTTCAAAGGCAACTATGAAGAGCCTCGTCCCCTCACAGCGAAAGGTCATGTACGGATACGTCGGAACTAAGGATGAAGCAAAGAGAGAGTCACCGCGATGATTACTTACTTTAATATACTCGGGTTGACACCAAAATGTCGCAAGGACAAGAGGCTTGAGCACCCGGGGTTAAGCTGAATAGTTATAATCCGAGACCCCCTTCATTAAGGGAAGTACACAGACGGGTTGTTGATTTCAGAGCGAATAATATCTGGCATGGGTATCCTGACCAAGTCAGACAGTGTCGGAGAGTCAAGACGAACAGGTGAAAAAGAAAGCAAACGAAGATACAAGAGGAACATGAACGATGAGGGAACGAAGGCTTTAAAGGACTTCGGAGGCGTTTGTCGGAGCTTCTCATTTGATATATCACGGTGAGGGTCATGCAGGCTGTCGATCTTCAAATCAACGAGGCTTAACAAGACTGACTTCAGGACTTACGTGCATTGCGGGTTTCCCTTTCAAAAAAATAAAAAATAAAATAAAATAGAATTTCCTTTTTTTAGTTCACTTAGAATGTTTTTTTCCCTGGATTACCTCCCGTGCCAGGGAGGGAGGAGAAAATTATAAAAATAAAAATAAAATCGAGAATTACTGGCAGTGAAGGTAAACGGAAGCTAGGTGGGTATGTGACAATACCTAGATGGAGGGGGTCAATACATAGAGCCCAAAGAGGAAGAGAAATTATTATTAGAATAAATTTAATTCCCTTTTTTCTTAAAAAAAAATATTAATAATAAATAAGTTATTTTTTGTAATAGGAAAAGAAATAAAAAAAGAAGAAAAAAGGGACTCAATGTGGCTAATGTGGTGGAGGGAAAGGTATCGGATAGCCTTCCATCAAGGAGGGTAGCACACCTACGAATAGAGGAGAATAACATCCACCGTAATCCCATGAGCACCCCAGGTACTACTGCTATATTTGTCACCTGTTCCCCCTTTCTAATCGACGTCATGACTCACAGCAGTCGGGCTATTTTTTTCATATGTCCGACTTTTCTTGATTCTTTTAGCAGTGAGAATATCATATTTGCTGTTATTATTATTTTTCTTCTTCGGACTTACACACCGAAGTTCACCTTGAATGTATCAGATGCCCTTTTAGGGCAAACTCCAAACATGCCAAGATCATTCAGCAGGCAGAATGATCAATGGACATGGGTCTAATAGCTTGTCTCATAGGCAGTAGTAGTAGTATACTAGTCATTCATTGGTAATTAATGGATTAATGCAGGACATACTTTTTTCTAATGATAATAGGATTATCATTCATTTAGTCAGGTCTCTTCCCCCTCCCTTATTATGATTCAACCATGCTATTGTTGCCTCTACATATGATTAATCAGTCAATCATATTATGCAGAAAATCATTGGATAGTTATACTTCTGTAAAATAAAATGAATAACAACGAAATAAAATGAACATAAACAAAAACAAAAAAGCACCCATGACATCATAGGCTAGAAGCACGAATTATAGGCCTTTCCCAAGCAGGTTTAGGTACACAGTATGGTCTCGCTGGAATGTATGGATGATCGTGGGACACCATGTGGAAGGGATGAATGGATCTCCTTCTCGACCGAAGTCTATCTTTCGGTCTGAACTCTGACCGTGACAGAATGGAGTGCCATCCATCCATTGAAGCTAAACATGAGAAACGAGGATCTACAGGTTGGAAACATCTGCCGAGGCGGCTATGCATCGAAGGGACAATGTCCAGGGTTACCGACTTGAGACGGACTAGGAATAGTATGTATTACTTACTACTCCCGGTTATCACTCCCACACTTCATGATTCGAGAGGATGATTATCGTCCGAGCGTTATAGAGGCTGACACCCAGCAGGCGGTCCGTGACACTCTGCAGTTGGGGATCCTGTCGCCTCCCGAGTCACTGGCATCTCTGATTGGTGGTGAGCCCAGTCTAGTTGCGATATATTTCATGTGTTTAGATGAATGGTATCCCCAAAAGTCTGGTTATCAGGTTTTCGTGGTTTCTTGGATCGATTTCCTACTCAATCGGTTGGTCGAAAATAATGATTGTAAACCTTTTTCATTTTCGTTGTCTCCC